GATATGAACAAAGAGATCGTGGCATCAACAATCGAATTTAAAGTAAAAAGTTGCTTCAATAATAAGGTAATTCAGTTTTGTTATTTCATGTGTTTTTTTTACTTCATCGTCATATTATTAATTACATTGTTACAAGATATATTATTCTCACATGCTCGGAATACTTTGATCTGAAATTAGTTTTTATCTAGATTACGAAAAAGATAAAAGGTGATTTTTTTGGTAATTCTCGAATTCACACACATCCTAGTTTTGCTATGAATTACTTAATTTTGAATTGTTTTTATTTGATGCTGAATAATGAACCAAATTTAGATATTTATTTCACTGAACAGTTATAACACTTTTACATAGAGGATATTTGTTTGTTTGTGTGTAAGATGAAATTTTATTTCATCGAGTGGGCTTTAAAAACAGTATTCTCACGAGTGGCGTAGCCACGAGTGAGAATACTGTTTTTAAAGTTCACGAGATGAAATAATATTACATCTTACACAACAAACAGACAAATTTTCTTTTTATTTTATGCTTAAAAACAAGTTAAAACGAAATTTCCATAATTCTAACGTTAATATTAAAATCTGTTTCCCCCATTGAGAGCCCCATTTAGACGGAATTTCTCATTTAAAACAAGAAATCTTGAGCTGAAAAATAAGTTCGACAGACAACGTTAAATGGCGGTGATATTTATTAATTTTATTAAAAAAATATGAATGATCGCTTGTTTTGATAATAAAAACAAACAATTCTTGTAGGAGAAAAAGTCCAACCATCCATCCATATTTCTGTTACTTACTGCGAATTTATATTAGACCTGGCTTTGTAAAATGTAAGCGGCAGCCATTTTTTAAAGTTGTGTATTTCATGGGAGGAAAATAATTGTGTAAGATTCAGAAGGATATAATTTGGATTTGTTAGTCATACACCTTTTTAAAAGAAAGAAAACTTATTTGAGGATTGTAACAGACAAAAAATAAGTGTTGACAGAAGTGAAAACTTTCAGAAAAGGAGCTAGGAAAATGGAAAACTTGGAAGCTTGCTAGGGAACGCTGCCGCTGGGTTTTTTTACTTATTTTACGAGTGATGGCTGTCAATGCTTTTCAATTTTTCATAAAGCATACGGCAGTTATTGCTCGTAGGATACTTTAATATGCCCAAATGTCATCAAGAGCAGGTTTGCACGGGGAAGGAATGTATTTTTCAGACTGTAAAAACGAAACAAAAAAATTTAGAGATGGAATTTGAAGGAATAGAAGTAAGTTTTCCCTCTTTATTACTTTTGACATTTAAGTTATTTATCTATTTCAGCTTTGCTATTTCTTTTAACAGCCCGACATTATCAGAATTGTCAGTAAAAATAAAATTGAGGTACCACATGGGGAAAATCTTAAAAAAGTAGTTTCGTCATTGAAAAAAGTGAAATTATATTTTGATAATTTTCACTGTGAAATTATCAAATATAATTTTCACGGATAAATCAGTAATCCACTGAAAAGCATAAAATAAAATAAATTATTGTATTGTTGTTGACATGTGTCTTTTTAGTTTCATAATATTTTTGTACATAGGTGACAATGTCATTTGATGAGGCGAAAGTTAAACCAGGCGCTAATGTTAACTTGAACATTGGTGCGAGCCCTAGTTCAACATGCTTTGTCGGGATGCTCGATAAGAGTGTGACCCTCCTTGGAGGCAATAATCAGCTCACCCCGGATCAGGTAAAAGCCTTGTTTTATTCGTACAATATGTGGTCAATGATTATTTCTTATATAGAATATTATATTAACCTTTAGTCTGCCGAGTTTGTGTTATGGATTTGCCAAGCTTTGAATTTCGAACAGTCAATTCTGAGTGTTTACTGGATTTAAATATCAAAATACAAGGTTGCATACCAACAGTTTTGAACCTGGTCAGGCTGACCGGACGTACATGTTGTCCAGGCTCTAAATTGGTGCAAAACCCTAATCACTTATTGCTTCAGTAGGTTAAGTGTTAAAAATCTTTAATGCATATTTTATAGAAATACCAATTGATAAGGAGCTTATGGTAAGTCAAATATGACTTCTACGGACCGATAGTTAGTCTGTTTCAATACTGAAAAATTGCGAGCTGAGTTTTATTTTAATTTTAATGTTTAGCTGTTTGAGAAGGTGAAGCAAGTTTCACGTCCATACCATTACATCAGTTACTGGGAGGAAGACCGGGCTTATTGTGACAAGAAAACTGGTCCTAGAGGTAATGATAAACATTAAATATACTACTTTACGTTTTATTCGGGTTTTTCCTTTGTTTATGATCATGTGTACTAACACATTTATATATAGAACACGGATGAATGAGAATTTAATTGTCAGAAGCTGTGCCGCTTTCATAACGCTGTTGGTAGACAAGTCTGTATGGTGACTCCTCTAAAAGAATGTCGCTCATTTGTTCTTCTTCAAGTGTAAGGCACAAAGATTCTTCATGTCAAAATAAATCATCTGATTATTCATCATGTTATTTGAATATTGCTAAGAAATATACACAGGAATATCACGTTTTATCCAAATTATTACAAGCGCATTTAATTGCATAAGGTTGAGGTCAAACTCTTGTCGACCCGGCTTTCATTTAACAGGTGTTGATATATTCAGACATGAAATGCTGATAAATGAATAGGTTTGCAGAATTTGAACTTGCTGTAGACAGCAGCTGTAAAATAATCGGTATCAACCATTATCGTCACGCCCCATTTATACATATAGACGCTAATTTGACCTTTATGAAACACAGACAGAGGCGAGACGAATATATTCTATTTCCTTAATCTGACTCATTTTCATTTTTATACATATTTATCTTAATTCTTTTTAAATGTTTATAAAGTTCTGATATTTTCCTTTTACATCATCAGGACCTGAGCAATACTATTATTCTTATTCATCACCAACCGGTGTCGATGCAGAACAATCATTTAGGGTGAGTTTGGTTATATTGACGAAAATTATTAATTTTAAATATGCGAATATTTACAATATCCTGGTTATACCCATTTTGTAATATTTTGAAATATGCAGAAATTTACGATTTCCTTTAATACCTATCTACCTATCTTTATGATAACTTTAAATATGCATAAATTTACGATATCCTGATTTTACCTATCTTTATGATATCTTTAAATATGCATAAATTTACGAAATCATTGTAATACCTATCTTTATGACCGCCTCCGTGGTCGAGGGGTTAGAGTCGATGACTTCTAATCCAGTTACCTCTCTGGCGTGGGTTCGATCCTCGGGAGATGTTTTGGTAGTTTAGCACGGAGGAAGGTAGTCTTGAACTTGTGTAACTCTCCAGGAACGATGGTTAGGAAACTACCCGCCTATATGACTGAAATACTGTTGGGAAAAATGAAACAAACAAACAAACCTATCTTTATGATAACTTTAAATATGCATAGATTTACGATATCCATGGTCTAATTGTCGATAATGTGAAACATTATAATCTTATTTCAAAATTGTAAAACATAATTATGCTTTTTATTTTACAGGATGTGAACTTGTGGGTAGAAACAAATGCTTTGTTACAAAGTAGGCCGTGTACAGAACCGACACGAATGTATTGTGAGCATTTTTTTTGAATATATATTTTTTTTATCGGTGTCTATTTCATATACATAAGAATGATGTACATGCTTTTTTTTATCTTTTTATTTTATACACATGTTTTTTAACTTTCCATTGTATGCATGTGTTATTTGGTATATTTGTTACCGTGCGGGTTGTGAGATGAAGTTCGACAATAGCTAATTAGTTTAATTAGTTCTGATTAGCTTTACAGGGATTTTCTACTTTTACTGAAGAGTTATTCAAAGTAGACAGATTGATCATAACTTACAAATCAAAGAATGTAGTAATTATATTTTCAACCTTTTACCGGAAAAAAAATTAAAATCCGTAAATTTGTAACATTCCTTTTAAAATTAGCTATATGGTAGTGTAAAATAAAAAGTGTCCGTTTCCCAATGTCACGTGATTATGGACTGGGCGAACTCTAGACTTTTCGCTACCTTAATTTATAATTTCTGCATGGACAAATTTGAACTGTCAATCGGCAAGTAAAAGATCACAGTAAGAGGTATCCAACAACATAAGTATAAGGTAATTTAATTAGAAATCATAAAAGAGTATAAAGCTTTATCTAATGAAATATTTTTATAGAATTTATAATTGTATGGACGATTATCTCGAAACGATTTCTCTGTTATTTGACGCGTATGAATATGGTACGTAAACAGGATAAAAAAATTCTGAACTAAATATTATCCTCCTGTTTTATTATGATTTTCACAGTTTCGCAATGATTTTGTGCATGTACCATTTCATTTCTCTCAATGAAATATGAAAAAAATAATTCTTTTACACCTGTGTCAGGTATTTTTCAAATTATTATTTTTTAAAACTCAGACTATTTTCATTTATTGTTAACTACAGACAGCGGATGTATAGCTTTATGCACTTTAAGTTTGGATGAATTTATACATCAAAATGAATAAAATGGTTTTAAGATTACCGGCCAGGACTCGAATCAGCGGGATCTATAGATGATATACCAGTGCCAATGAGTTTGGAGGGAAATATTACCCCTGTAGAAAGTAATGTAAAAGCAAAACAGGACGATGGAGATGCAGAAGAAAGTATCCGTACATTTTTCCCCGAGACTTGGCTGTGGGACATTATCAAAATAGGGTTTGTTAAAGTTTGTGTTGCAACAATAAATCTCACATTGTTTTGACACTTCCTGTTACCAAGGGCTTCCCTGATTCAGATTTATTCGATTCGGAAATGTAGTTTCATAAAACTGAAGACTCCTCACAATCAAGGTAGCACTTCCCGTTTTAACAATTTAAAAGCCATGTTTCTAGAATTGTATAAAAATAATGTTGCGTTTGGGATTTACAAAAATATCTAGTTTAGGGAGATATCACCCTTTGAGTTAACGATAGATATAATTATTACCTTTTGTCTGTGAAATCTGAATGTGAGGATCAACAGCGACACCCTGTAAGATTTAGTCGCACCTACAAAACAACATTCAACTTATAATTATGAACAGAATTTACCCAAGACTTGCAGGAGAACGTCTGCTGAATAATACAGTTACGTGTATCTACCATCCTGAAGAATTCTATCCAAAACATGTCAAACATCATCAATGGTGGCAGACTCATTTCCTAGTGCAGTCTACAGTATTAATTCAAGAGTGATATCATATTTGGGAGGAAGTATCGGTTATTTTATCAGTTGTACAGTGAGAGGATATTTGGACAAGATGACATGGAATCTATCTCATACCTTGATGTGCACAAATGCAGCCTATTACTGGAATAATGTCTAAAGTTTTCAACAGTTTTGTAGCTTAAAAAGTGTACCAATGATATATTTTGCACTGTAAACTAAACGTTAATGGGAAATAGTGTCCAACAAAGAGGAATTAGTAAGAAAAAAGCTATTCTAGTTTTAGTGGCATCGTCCTTGACCATGCACCGCAAAGGGAACAAAATAAAACATCCATTCAACATGATAAAAGATATTTCTAAACCACATTTCCATTAATACAGTAAAACCTTAAAAAACAACAATATATCAACATAAATTGAAAACAAAGTAAGATATCGGCGCAATAAGAAACGGTCAGTAAAAGTGATATAAGGGATGATAAAAATGTCAACATGGCCACTATCACCTTTTTCATTACTTTTATTTATATTGAATTATACTTAAAACACGTTTAATCTTTTTGTACTAGTTTATATTCTTATAACTGGGACTCATATAAGATTATTTCGTTTATAAACTGATTGCTGAACATGAGCTATTTTTATAAAGTTCCCATTTGACTTTTTGGAGGACATCATTTGTTTTCTTAACTTCATCAAGAGCTAGCTAAAACTACCTTCTGTTGTTATTAAATCATTTATAATACTAGAGCCTGTTATATCACATTGTTTTCATATTCAAATTATCATATTTTGAGAATGTTTTAACAAAGAAGTGTAAATAATATTAAACGCAGTCACATAGATACATACAAAAACAGAATTCAACTATAATTCCGAAACAAAATATTCAGCCGCTAAATACACGTATGTAGTATGTTCAGTAATGATTTGTGCAAGCGCCATGTACTTTATCTTAAATTATAAACATTATTCTATCAATAAGGGTCATTTTGAGTATATCATAGATATGCAAAAAATGTCTTGACGGCGCTCAGACATGTTTATTTTGAAGGTTGCATTTTTCATTTAATTCCCTATCAGTTCCTTTCTTTAAGATACTAATAGACGCGCGGACTGCCAGGACTGCCAGGACGGCTGCCAGGATTGGACGGACCTGAAGGTGAAATACAGATAAAAGACACCATTAACATAAAAAGGGATGTGAACTACAAATAATATTCTTTAGCCTCCAATACCTTCATGTACTAATACCGAGGAAATAAATGCTTGCGTTAGAACTGACAATGCTGATTATGAATGTCTACGATCAAGCTTAATAATGATCAGACCTGCAAACAAAAAGGGAATGTTACCCAAAAGTGCATTAAATTATTTTCAAAATTGTTTGTTTTTTTTGTCCCCCAGCCTTTTCAAAGAAAAAGGGATGATATAGAAATAGGCTCCTACCGTCCGTCCGTATTTACGTTCGTCCGTCTGTCCGTCCGCCACACTTGCGTATCCGGTCAATAACTACGTCATTTATCAAAGGTCTTTGAAATAACTTGGCACAATCGTTTGTTATACATAATTAGACTTTGTGTCATGCACAACAAGCGGACGCCTACCTTCAAGCTCAAGGTCACTTTTTGTGATAAAAGGTCAGCATTGTATATTGGAGTTATTACTTACTTATCCATGAAGGGATTTTTAAAATATATAGCACCAATGTTCACAATAATTAAACAGTGTGTCTTGCGCAAGAACCAATGGCCTACCTCCGAGGTCAAGGTCACACTTGGAGGTCAAAGATTAGCATGGTCTGTTATAGGGTATATTTTGTGTCCGGACCATAACTTCTTCACAGTTTAAAGGATTTTGAATTAACTTAGCAAAAATGTTCACAATAATAAGTCATGTGCTATAACCAGACCTCTGGCACCAGTGTCAAGGTCGAACTTGGAGGTCAAAGCTTAATATAGTCTGTTAGAGGATATATTTAGCTTCCAGTTCATAACTTTCTCATCCATCGAGGGATTTTGAAAATACTTGGCACAAATGCACAAATGTTGACAATAACAAGTCGACATGTCAGAAGAAACCCCCGGCTGTCTTCCTTTAATGTCAATGTCATATTTCACGATAAAAGGTCAACACTGTCTGTTCGAGGGTATTTGTGGTGTTAGGGCCATACCTTTTTCATCTATCAGGGGATTTTGAAAATATTTAACAGAAATGTTCAGAACAATAAGACGATGTGTCATGCGTAACACCAAGTCGATTACCTCCAAGGTCACACTTAGAGGTCAAAGCTAAACATTGTCAGAGGTCAAAGCTTAACATGATCCTTTATAGGATATATTTTGTGCTCAGTCCAAAATTTTTTATCATTCACGGGATTTTGAAAATACTTGGCACAAATGTTAACAATAATGGAACAATGTCTCATGCGCAACATCGGACACCTACCTTTAAGGTCAAGACCACAATTTGGGGCAAAAATTAAACATGGTCTGTCCTCTCTGTCGGCATGTTTTTTATATTAAAACAGAATATTAAGTTAGGTTGTACGTCCTTTCTGTTTTACGTACATTTGTAGATTAAATGTCAAGATACCCATTTTCTTACTTTTTGACTGGGGTCAGTAAACATTAACTCAAGTTTGACCAAATACCGTAACCGCAATGTAACTTGAATTGGACATGAGAGCAGACGGGTTGCAATGGAGTTTTGCCTCGTGTTACATTATTCAAATATGACGTTCTATATATCCAGTGACGAAATATGGTATTTATTTAGGACGTCATCCTACTTCTTCAGATTATGACTATGGTGCACCCGAAGCATTAGACGATTTGTCAGTCGCTGCTGTACCACCAATGCCTGTAGCAAGGTCAGACTTTGATATCAGTGATAGATCAGAATCTGAATCTGAAAGTGAAGTAACTATTCGCAGTTTCTTTCCAGAAACATGGCTTTGGGATGTGTTGAAACTTGGGTGCGTACTCCTGAAATAAATATGCAACAAAGTTCTTGTTTCCATGCTTGTTTTGGACATAACAAATATATGTAAGCGTAACAAAATACAGGGTCTCCCCGAGTAAAAGCTTTACAAACGAAAATAAATAGCAATGATAATAAAAAGTTAATTACACTCATTAATGTGAATAAGCAAACGAAAGGAAGTTTCAAAATTGGTCATTACATTCTTATATTTTTATTATACGTTTTTATTCTGTAAAATATATTATTCAGCAGACAATTGTACTTACTTGAGTTACAAAATCATGCCCCAGTCTTTTAAACTGTTATATCAACTCAATTAAAAGCACACCTATTTGAAACCTCTTTTTTACTATACATATCTAGAAACTTTTATTATTCAAAGTTATCTCGAAAAAAAATCAAATTTTCTAGATTCGCTTTTTTATTTAATTTATACTTTAAAAGTTGTGCTTCTTTATGTTATCAAATGTCCAAGTTTACATTTAACTTCATTATCCTCATTATCAAACTCTTAAACGTGTTACGGATTGTTAGTATGCTTGCGAGATATTCATTGAACGGGTAATATGATAATTTGTTATAGAGAAGATGGAGCGCTGACCGTAACCACTACAATACCCGACACTATAACAGAATGGATTGGTAACACCGTATGTACACACGAAAGTGACGGCGTGGGCGTAACGGAGATGACAGGCGTTACTGCATTCAAACCTTTCTTTGTGTCACTTACGTTACCTTATTCTGCTATCAGAGGAGAGGTGTTACCTATAGTTGTGACTGTATTCAACTATCTCTCTGATTGTATAACTGTAAGTGATTCTTTCCTTATACATGTGTCTGTATTTTTCCATAAATATCTTTTTCTGTGGCATATCTCTCAAAGCTTCTGAGAAAATGTAATAAGTGAAACGATGTATATTACTAATAGTGTTTTTGCAGTTTTGAATCAATTCTCTCTCATTCTCATTTCTAATTGATTAAGTATTGAGGCGCCGTGTAAGATATTTGCGTGTGTTTTTAGTGATTTGGCGTTTAAAATGTGCCTCAAGAAGTTTAACATAAATCATTAAAACTGTGAGAAATTACGAGTCATGCTTTATATTGCCATATTCCAGTCTCTTGACTTTTTGACTTTCATTGCTGTGGCTTTATTTCTTGATGACTCTAAATAATTTTGTGTACCTAAGCAATTAAACTGTTTCAAGAATAATTCGTGTTTAAACTGCGCCTAGCTTGTATATGATATAATTCATGACTGGTCATCTTAGGCCTTCATCCATCGGTGAAGCCGGAAGGTCGTCATATGAACTTCGTGGCGCTTGTACATGCATGTATTAAAACTTTATGAAACAAAGTTTTTAATGTATTTACTTTTCTTTTCAGCTCGAGGTACAGTTTAGGGAAACAGATGGTTTTCATTTCTCAGAAACTAGTGCTAAGTCAAGACAATTTTGTTTATGTGGTGGAAACAGTGAGTCAACAAAATTCTACATCATACCAACAATAATTGGGGAAATAGATCTAGAAGTTGTTGTAAGTTGATTTGATTTAAAACTATCATGGCTTAAATATAGGCTAGTAAACAAATTTTGATTCTGACAGTCTAGTGAATCTGATTTTAAAATTTGTCATTTGCTAGCCATATGTGAAACAGCGACAAGTATTGAACAGTTATAGGGGGGACAGTGTCAAAATGCACATTTTGTCAGTGCAACCATTCTAATATGATACGATTCAGCTATAGATTTTACTTTGGCTATCATATAATACCCTTCTATTTGAACATTTTACGGTACCTTAAAGTTTGTTACCCAATGTGTTTTAATAACATTAATTAGAGTCATCTTTTTTTCTATTTTACAGATTGATAATGTGCATAATTCTATTTTAGCTGAGTATATTGATGCGTTACTCATAAACAAATAAATATGTCATACATAGTTAACAATTAACATGTATAAAGTTCTAAGAGTATTATAAATGTTTTTTTTATTTATTTTTTTTTTCATTATTATTTAATTTTATTTTATTTTATGTTCTCCTTTTTTTCTTTTATTTTTTAATCATCAAATGAAACATATTGTGTTTTAAGCACATCTATATGATTCGGAAACATTTTGTTTGAGTATTTTTTCTATGTCGGACTATTTTTCATATCTATAATTTCTCTACCTTGTCCTGTATTATATCATTCCAGGCTGTGTCAATTGATGCTGTTGGTTTATGTGGAGACGTTGTTCTTGGTGAAATAGAAATAGGCGTTACTGATGGTGTACAAAGACAACTTCTCATAGAGGTATGATGTATGAATCAATAGTTTGTCCGTTCGTGTCTTTGATTGTAGTAGTGGTAACAAGTGCATGAAATATTTCACAGAGATGTACATTCTCTCTTTACTGTGAAGTAGGTAAATGTGCATGTTGTGAATCAATAGTTTGTCCGTTCGTGTCTTTGATTGTAGTAGTGGTAACAAGTGCATGAAATATTGCACAGAGATGTACCTTCTCTCTTTGCTGTGAAGTAGGTAAATCTGTATGGCATGTGCTTGTGTCATTGATTTTTTTTATTTTATTTTTCAGGCTGAAGGCGCACCACAAGAACAAACAAAAAGTTCATTCTTATGTGTTAAAGGTAAGTCAAGTTTTATATTACGTTGATATTCTTGTATAAGTCTTGGTAAACACCGGTTTCATCTGTCTGTCTTGTTTTTATTATCCGGGCTGGACCTAAGCAACAAACGAAAGGATTTCAACGGCAAACCTACTTCACTACAAAAAGAAATCATGGATAATTGCAGCATATTCCTTTCATAGGATGTCACAAATGTGCAGCATGACCAGGACTTGAAGCCGGGACGTTCAGAATACCATTAAGCGGCTCTACCGAGTCGCGTACCTTCATTTTCCCCTGATGAACAGTAATTTATCGTGACATATTCCCCACTTTTGAAATTCGTATTGAAAGTTCTTATGGATTCAGAGAACACTTTAAATTATGCCTGACCTGGACTCGAACCTTGGACCCTGTCTTACCGTTACTTGACCGACTGAGATATTCGGAAGCTTAAACAATTCTATACCGTGATGATTCAATTCGTTACGATCCTACAGGCGGCAAGGAAGGACCAGAATTAGAAGAAATCACGTTTTAAACGATAGGAACTTGTTATAAACTATTTTACAGTTTCATTATTAAATGCCCCTTCACCAAAGTTCAGATCATAACATGAACTTGGCTATGCTACTGGATTAAGAATTTCACATACAAAATCGTGTAGAGTTAAAATGTGTGTGTATAATATTTACTCAATAACATATCAATCCCACTCAAGTCACACATGCACGCCCCTATTTGACATGACCTCTTTCGACTTAAGTAAACATTCTTTTTTCGAGTGTATACCAATCTGACTTATAAAAGTATAATTTCTAGGGGCTTTTTGTTTACCTCTGAACATTTGCACATGTTTTAGTCCATTAGTTTTGTTACTGTGTATTCATATAATTATCATTAATAAAATTTCAGAATCAGAATATATAACTGAAGTGGTTGAATTGAATCTTCCGTCAGATTTGGTAGATAGCTCGGAACGTGCCACCGTCTCTGTCGTCGGTAAGTTCAGTGGATACAAAACTCAACCTTAGTCATAGTCTTCACTTTGTTTGTTTTTGTTGTTGTTCTTTTATTATTCTTATTTATTTGTGCATATTATATTAGCTTTGTTGTATTATTTTATCTTTAATAAATCTTTGACCGTTTCAATGTCTAATCTGGACTTAACCATTGAAATTTAACATATTAATTTAATAGATAGTAGTATACTGTATTATAGTTATTACAAAATATGTATTTGCTCAAAAAACAATTGCAGGTGATATCATGGGTCCAACGCTTTCAAATTTGAAAAACCTATTACGAATGCCGTATGGTTGTGGAGAACAGAATATGGCATCGTGGTCACCGAACATATATGTTTTACAATACTTGGAAAATACTGAGCAACTCACAGAAGAGCTTGAGAATCAGGCGGAGGGATACATGAGAGTTGGTTAGAATGTTATAACACATATAAATAATATAAATATTTTTTTACATGCGTTCGTAAACCTACCTGTCATTTATACGGGAAAGTCAAAGGCCGAGTCAGGGCTTTCGAATGCCCGGCTTTAGAATGCATGTGTATATTTAAAAGGAAATCAAATAAATTGCAATTTAAGATAGATTTATTTCCATACCTATCAGTGAAATTATCGGTGTCATTTCTAGTTGGACGCCGCCATTTTTAAGGTAACTCAATGATAATCGGCAGGGTATTCCGATAACGGAACAATCGCAACTTTTCAGCATAAGAATAATAGTCAAGGTGTTTTGATTGGAAAAAGAAGCGTAGCATGAATAACCAAATAATAAAAAAAATTGAACAATTTTTTATCTGACTATCCCGTTTATAGGCTTTGCCTGCTTTCACATTATTTATTTTGTTCTGTTGTTATTGTTGCTGTTACATCTGATTTAAAAAGTGATACACTGAAAGGTGTATCTTTCGTAAATGGAACGTTTTACATGTAAATACCTATGCCACAGACACATTGTTTAGCCTCATAAATATATATGATGTATTTGCAACTTCAGGATACCAGAGACAGATGAAGTACCGACATAACGATAATTCTTATAGTGCATGGGGAGAAAATAACTATGGAAACGCTACCGGAAGTCTGTGGTTGACGGCATTTGTCGTAAAATCTATGGCGCAGTCGTCTGCTTATATTGTAGTGGACAAAGACGATATACTTAGAAGTGCACGCTGGTTAGTAAGCCATCAACTTGATAATGGCTGCTTTCCTCAGGTTGGAAAAGTTTTCAGTTCCTACCTTAAAGGTGGACTTGATGGGGACAATCCAGCAGGACTTACGGCGTTTACCCTTATAGCACTTGTTCAAGCTGACCTTGGTAAAGAAGTAAGTTGTTCCAAAACTTGCCGGAAGTACAAGATAACTTTGCTCGAGTTCAACACATGCTATTTCAAGATAAAAGATGAACATTTCAATATATAAAAATAGCATTTCTATTGCTCTCGACTCAAATTTGAGAGAGAAAAAAAAAACAATCCACTGAAAATCTTGCAGCAATGCTAGTATATTCCGTTGCTTTTTTCTTTTAAATAGTGTTACCGTAATAAAATGATCGTTTTTGAAATATTTTGGCCGTTTTTAATGTAATGTTGTAGTAGTAGTAGTAGTAGTAGTAGTAGTAGTAGTAGTAGTAGTAGTGGTAGTAGTGGTAGTGGTGTAGAGGTAGTAGTGGTAGTGGTAGTAGTGGTAGTTAGTAGTAATGGTGGTGGTGGGTAGGGGTAGTGGTAGTGGTAGTAGTGGTAGTTAGTAGTAATGGTGGTGATGGTAGGGGTAGTAGTAGTGGTAGTGATAAAAGTGGTGGTAGTAGTGGTAGTGAGAAGTGGTAGTTTTGTTGGTAGTGGTGGCATTGGTAGTGGTAGTAGTAGTGGCGGTAGTGGTGGTGGAAGTGGTAGTTTTGGTGGTTGTGATGGCAGCGGTAGTGGTAGTTAGTATTGGTAGTTTTGGTGGTTGTGATGGCAGTGGTAGTGGTGTGAATAGTAGTAGTAGTAGTCATCTAAAATTTAATAATGATAACATGCTTTTATACTCACACACTTAAAAGAATGTTCATTTTTGTATTTTCAGTTTGAGGCTAATATAACCAATGGATTTTATTCATGTTTGGATACATTCTATCCAACAGAGACCGACACTTATACTTTATCTTTGATGTTATATGCGTACACATTATATGACATTGAAGGTCCAAGACGAAGGAAAGTACTAGAGGAGTTAAAAAGCAGACGTGTAAATAAAGGTATAATTACTATTCATACTTAATTTAGTGGAGGGTTCATATCTATTGCTTCGAAACAAAAATAGCCAGATAAAAAATTCAGACCTTTTTTATTTTGTTTGTCTGCATCGCCTGTGTATAGTAAGTTTAGTTTCTCTTAGCTTCTTTGACACGTTGTTTTTTTCTGCATGTATCGTTTTTATTTTATAACATTATCTGTATTCCTTTTTAAACTGTCTACGGTCTCTCTCTTTATTCTATCTGTCTGTTCTCCTGGTACCGGTAATGGGTGAATCAGCTTTGCATATTTGTGTTGTTCTCTGCACTGATGCACTCATATCGTTATCAATGTCTTTTTATTCTATTTTTAGGTATCCTGAACAAGTTCTCTGTGCATTATACGGTTTGTATACTTTTTATATGAGCCGTGTCACGACAAAACCAACATTATGGGTTTGCGACCAGCATGGATCCAGACCAGCCTGCGCATCCGCGCAGTCTGATCAGGATCCATGCTGTTCGCTATCAGTTTCTCTACTTGTTATAGGGTTTGTAAGCGAACAGCATGGATCCTGATCAGACTGCGCGGATGCGCAGGCTGGTCTGGATCCATGTTGGTCGCAAACTCATTATGTTGGTTTTGTCGTGGCACGACTCATATGCCCTTTGCTTGTTTTTTACCCTGACCAAGCTCGCTTGTTCTATCTGTTATATATCCTGAACGAGTTCAGTTTGTTCTATCTGTGTTGTTTTTTCATTTCGCTTAATATCCTGCTCTGAAACAATGGCAAACGATTGCATCTAAAGGCACTTTATAATCTTTATTGTTACACCGACTAATATATAAAAATGGATATCAACTAATTCCTGCATAAAGTAAGGCCTAAAATACTATTTGTTTTCAGCAATCTCTTTATAAAAAAGTATGGATTTTTTGTCAATGACAATACTAGCGGCATTGTACATATGTAAAAAATAGTTCTCTAAAATGTCAAATGCTGTTCACAAAAAAACACTTTTTCGTATTCACCTATGTCCCTATTATTTTCAATCATCCTTATCCTAGTTCGAAAATGAGTAAAGCACCTTTATTTGCAACGATCTTTACGTTCGATTACTTTCAGATGGGCTTGCGCATTGGCAGAGAGGGAAGGAAGAGGAACCGGAAACAGACGCCGACTATTACTGGTACCGAGCACCTTCTGCGGAAGTTGAAATGACGTCATACGTCCTATTATCAATGTTGGCTGAGGGATCTGACGTCATTGGAGATGTACAGCCGGTTGTTCAATGGTTAACAAAACAGAGAAATCCTTACGGAGGCTTTTCATCTACTCAGGTTCTAATTATCTTAGGTCATACGGTTTAAGCAAAAAAAAGACTAGCACTAGTATCATATACTTTTGAAAATACATATATAAATAAATATATCTGAAATATACCATAAATAGTGATTCACATCTTCTCTAAAATATTGAAAACAGCCTTAAAAATTAATAAAAATTATTTTGGCGGGCCGTTTTATTTCCTTTATTAGAATGTTTAGTTAATGACAACCCGAATCTGAAGTTAAAGGTCCATTATGATCCAGAAATGCTTTAATTTTTATTCATTAAAACATTATATTTCATGTCTATAGCTTGAACGATCTTTTGCTTCTTCTGCATTTTGACAAATTATTGTATTTGTAATGGAAGTGAAAATACTACTTTATTTGAATTTTGATACTTTTACGACAAATCATTTCATATTATGCGCTACTCACTACAAACAGTCTCTAACATCATTATTTAAACATTTTAAATTCATGATAAGGACAACTATATATCCGTTTCTGGGGCATAATGTGCCAATAAGTGGTACGTTCTTTCCTTCTCAACCAAAGGATATTAGATTCAAGTCGAACCTCGGTCAAAACTATGTTTCCTCATATTACCTGTACTGGTTTCCAAGAAGCGGCCAAACACATAAGCATTTAGCTTTCATTGTAAATTATCATGATGCATCTAAAATTAATATGATTAATATGGTTGAACAAGAAATTGATAGAATAAGAGACAGATTAACGGACAAGAATGATATTTAAACCAACATTATTGCGCTTGTGAGCGTTAACACAGTCCCCGACAAATCAATTATGATGTATTTAAGCAATCATGATGATTGGGATATATTCAGAGCAAAGTTATCAGGTGAATCGCAAACCCCGTCACGTTCATTAAGCAAGAAACTTTACACCTCATCGCTCATTACTGGTTGGTTCAAGGAACGGATTCGAAAGTGTACCTATAAGCTTATAGCTTCCAAACCAATCGCGAACATTTTGATAAACGTAATAATCAGCCTTAATTTGATATATAATTTTAAATATTTTGTAGGTAAATGTTGCAAACATTTTTATAGGTCTTACACAATGCAATGCGGCCGATTGATATAACTATAGGTATTTCAAACTTGTTGCCTTACAAGCCCTTGCTGAGTTAAGTTAACATATTCCGGAAATATTGCACTTTTGCTTATATGTCTAACACAATAATGCAAAATATATTGTAGGACACAGTTGTTGCATTACAAGCTCTCGCCGAGTTCGGCAAGTTAACATATTCCAAAGACACCTCCGTTAGAGTTACGGTCAGAAATCAGGACATTAATCACGTGTTTTCTGTGACCCCAAAGAACAGTTTGGTATACCAGTCAGTAGATATCGCCCCTAACCGTGGAGCAGTGGAGATGAGCATCCATGGATCAGGCTGTGCATTGTTACAGGTAAAATATTCAAAAAAAACTTCTTGAATTTGTTGAAATGATATATATCACTAGTATCTTCACGCCGACACGATAGACTTCCTAGATTACTTCTGACTGTCATCATGTTTTTATTACCACCACAAAAATAATAACAATTACGTTTACATCAAATAGAATAGGATATTTTTTTTAATATTTAATAGGCTTGCGTCTTATGTTAATAAAATAAACAAAAGAATGTATGATGTTTGTATGTATAAAAACTTAAATTGTTTGCTTTTCAGGTTAACATGAAGTATAACATATATACAGAGGACGATAATGCTCCAGCTTTCTTGGTCGATGTCAGGTCTTATAGGTCCAGTAAACAGAAGAGAAACTGTGCAATAAAAACACTTGAAGTTTGTTCCAGGTTATAATTTCTTATAAAACATTTGATATTTGAATCAAGAAGTTTTATGAAAGTAAAATAAAGTTTTAGTGATTTCATTTATTTCATTTGCATATAGGAAATTTTTATTTGAAAAGGAGAAGGTTTATATGTTATTATTCACCATTATTAGTTGTCCATCTGTAAAACACGTGGCAAGAATTTGATTTTAAGGTTGAAAAGAAAACAAATCTTCATGTACATATACATATAACTATTTTACACATGTTTTATTATTTTCAGTTATGTTAAGGGAGGGGTTTCAAATATGGCCATTGTGGAAGTTAAAATGCCAACTGGCTGGGTCCCAGTCTCGTCCACTCTTGATGAGGTAAATCTGGAAACCAGCATTAGACTGGGTTACAACCTTACAAATTAACAAATAACGTCGTGGAAAAGAATAATGAATAAACATAAATAAAATATTGCAGTTGCAAATCAAAATAGATTTTTGTCTTGCATAAGATTATCTTGACAGCGCAACTTTTAATTAAATAAACTTTTTAATTGTCCCATCTAAAGTTGTATTTCGTAAGTAAATATATGATCAAACAATTTTTTAAGACTATTGCAAAATGTTAATCTTATCAATGCTTTGTTATTGTTTATTCTTAACAATAGTTTCCTCCAAGGAATAGTGAAACGCTTTACAAACATTTTTAAAGTATTTTGGTATGAAAACACAAAAACTTCGAAACCTGGTCTTCATGTTAGGCTGCTCTATTCTTAACGTTGTTAAACCATTGTGTTTTCAGCTTCTTAGGTCGGAGAAAATACAGAAATTCGAAGTGGATAAGAACTACGTTGAGCTTTACTTTGATGAGGTAGGTATAGTTTTATTACGTTTTACAAACCAATGATATTACTTAAAATCTGATCAAATTTTTCTATGAAATTTATAAATGGTCAAATTATGATGTTTCCATGCTCTTATGATCGTTCTCAAAAGAGTTGAAACATGAAATGTTTCTGTTGTTTAAAACAATGAAAACTGTACTTAAACACAATAAAATGTTACGGAACGAAATATTATGCTGTCAGTTAAAATACTATTACCGTTAAGCAATGACTTCGTGTATGCGCTTAATCAAAAGGAAATATAACATTTTCTTTTTATGCAGGAATTTAGGAATTACTCTTTTTCAAAACTCAAACACAAAATGTTTTCTACAGACAGCGGAGATTTTTAACTTTAATCCTTAACCTTCTTGACCTGTCCGCGGACAGCGCACACCACTTCTCAGTGCTATATAGTAAAATAAAAACATCATAAAAAGGGGGACATACTCTGCAAACGTGTTTATCAGACTTACCTGCCATTGATAGTCAACAAATATTTTAAGTTTGAAAAGAATATCTATAACGCTTTTTGTGAAAAAGGCAAATATTTTAAAGTCAAACAAGGGAAATAATAAAGTGAAAAAGAAGGCTTTCAGGATTATCTCCATCATATAAATGTATGTCAAATTTGGCAAAGGCTAATTACTTTTAGTTCTAGTTGTAATTTGTTTTGCTTTAGGAATTTCAAGAAAAATGTATTTTTCCTCTTGTTATTTTAAAGATTTTATTGACAATGTATAAAAACAGTCTCATTTATTGTATTCCTTTTAGATAATGATTACTAGTACTTCCAATACACTTATATTTCTTTATTCCATTAACTGTGCAATTAAAGCGTGAATTGAATAAGCTTCTTCAAACGAAGATATTCCGCAGTTGTTTTACAATAAAAAAAATATGATCAGCGTTTGTTTAAAGTGGAGCTATAAAAAAACTATTCAAATTCTTGCTTTCCAAAAATAATCATTGGATACGTAAAAACAAATACATGTACTTTAGTATACTTAATTAGATATTTTTATGGGAAGAAACATTCATAAAATTATATTTTCAGTTTTCAAGCACAAGAACTTGTGTAGATTTTGACGTAGAGCAAGAAATACGGTTGACCTCTAAACCGGCTTTAGTTAAAGTATATGATTATTATGAAACAAGTAAGTATAAAATCGTCTGACCTTTAACAAATGATATATTCAATACTTTATACAATTAATCCTAGTAATACGAGTACGATAAAATAGCAAAGTCGACAGGAATTGTATTAAATATTGTTAAGGTCTTTTTATCTTGTGTTTTTGGAAGAAAACTTCAAACGTTTATGATGGCTACTGGGCCGTCGTTGCCGTCATGCAAAAATCTTTCATGTTAGCCCATTATTCTAACATTTTATAAGTTAATACCATTACATGAATGTTGGCACACTTGCTTATCTTGACAAGGTGAAATTGTTAGACAAGGGACATAATTTTGAAAGCTATATTTCTAGAGTTTTGTGCATGCAGTGCTTTTGTTTATAAATGTTGTTTTTGTGAGATTTTGACATATTTATATTTGCATACGTGTCATTAAAATATGTTATTTGCAGCGTAGAATATCGTTGTTAAAATGTGCATATTTGGTGAACATTTTATTTCAACCTACTGGTTTATTATACTATATTTTCCAACGTAATACTGTTTATAGATCTTGAAATGTCAGCGGATTAGGTTAAAAAAATGGACACGTAAACCATTTCAGAAAGATCCTATATATTGTCTTACTTATGTTAAAATGGCTAATGAAATTCCCAGATTACAGTTTGTAATTTTTAAATGACCAATGAAAATTCTACCAATATTTAGTTCTTCCCTGTATATGTTACAGGGAGTGTCAGACTGAATTTTGATACGGTTTGGTATGTATAATCGATCTTGTCTATTACAGGATACAGTGCTACACGGAATTACTCATTAACGACAGTATGTGGGACGAAGGAAGAAATATCATTTGACAACAAAGATTTAGATTGTTCTATCGTGCAATGCAGGGTGACTAGCACAAGAATACCTAAAAGTGTGAGTAGTTCGATTCTTTGTCTAATTTTCATACTACATTGTTGTATAGTAGAAACCCTACTTACATGTGAAACCACCTCACAATTAAGACCACCCGCTATCAAGAACGATTTTTTGACCACCATATTGAAATATTATACCTTCCATGAATATGTTCCTTCTTTATTTCTGTAAGTGTCAGCGAGCCTTTCAATAGATGACATCAGCGGTCCGTGAGAAAGAGGTAAAGTGACCGTCTCAGCGAGCACTATTATGTTTTTATCGGACAGCTAAAATTTCCAGTATATTTAACAAACAAAAACAATATGATTTCCAACTTTTAACAGTTTTTTCTCGGATAGTGCGGTATAATATAGCACACAGTGTTTTGGACCCCAAATTATTAAAGTGACCTCCCACTCAGCCCAAAACAATGAATGTATGGACCTCAACCTTCTGCTTTGGTACATTAACAATTTGTAGGCTGACTGATCGGTCACTATAATGTTAAGAGGCCCTCAGTGCTGTGTACTATTTTTAATTGATGTAATCCCCTATATGAACCTAGAAATTCTGCTCCAAGTACTTCATTGCAGGGAAAACGATCCAGCTTGTTGCCCATAAGACATTGATCTATTTTCACTTAAAATCTTAAAATTACCGAATTAAGTTGGTCCTGTTGATAAGAAAAACTAATGTGTGAATACTTCCTGCAGACTTTAACTGAAGCAGGATGTTATCTTTTTGGGGAGTTGGGTTTTTACGTCGCACCAACATAGTATAGGTCATATGGCGACATATCAGCTTCCCCACATGTAACAATTCAAGTCTTATCAGGATTTGAGCCCACTGTGGTGAGAGGCAAGTGCAGGAGCTTAGCTAAGCTTAGCTAAATTTGAATTTACGTGTAGGCAGAATGTCTCTCGTCTGTGGATTTTTGCAAGTGTGTGTTATTTTGTGATTAGGACAATTAATTCTGGGCTTAAATATATTCACGGAAAAGTGAAGGAAATCTATTAAGTGTTACCACTTGTTCCATGACCTTCATAAAGCTACACCCCTGCGAAAAAAATGAAAGTATATAATTATATAATATTATATAATACATGAAATGTTAAAGCAAATATCTTACAGAATCAAAAGTAATGCTATTGTACAATTTTAATATATGTATTATATACTTAGTCTACTTGTATTTTCATCTGTTTATTTTCTGACAGAGCTGTCCAAGATGTTTAGAATCACTTGATAAAGATGCTCTGGGAAATCTCTTCTGCGATTCGGAAAAGGGTATGTTTTAAATTTGTATGCCCCCACAAAGTGGGGAGCATATAGCGTTGCACTTGTCCGTATGTCTGTCCGTACGTCCCGAAATCTTGTGAACGCAACTCTTCTTAAATTGGATGGCAGATTTTGCTTAAACTTCCAGGTATGAACAACCTTAATGTGTAGATGGTAGTAAAGGAAAGAATTTTCGCTGCAACCAAATTAAACAGAATTATGGCCCTTTGTTGATTTTTTCACTATATACTATGTAGAAATTTTGTGAACGCAACTCCTCTTAAACCGGATGGCAGATTTTGCTTAAACTTCTAAGGATGAACAACCTTAATGCGTAGATGGTAGTAAAGGAAGGAATTTTTGCTGCGACCAAATTTAATAGAATAATGGGCCTTTGTTGATTTTTTCACTATATACCATATAGAAATTTTGTGAACGCAACTCCTCTTAAACCGGATGGCAGATTTTGCTTAAACTGCCAGGGATGAACAACTTAATGTGTAGATGGAAGTAAAGGGAGGAATTTTTGCTGCGACCAAATTTAACAGAATTATGGCCCTTTGTTGATTTGTTTCACTATATACCATATATATGTTAACAGTGGGGGCATCCGTGTCCTATGGACACAGTTCTAGTTTTCATCTGAAATTGTATTTTAAATATTAAGTACTAAGTTAATGTAGTATATATGCTATATGTGGAGTAACACATCGACAAATTTCGTATAATATCGAGATTAAAATATGCTTTGACATGATCAAAATCTGAAGAAAAAAAGTTCGTATACTTTATTTAGAAAATGATTTTAATCAGTTTGATATGACATTGGCTTCGTATTTTCAATTTTTGTCAACATCAGAGAGGTATTAAAATGACCATGGCTTCGTAACTGAAGTGTCGGTAAAATCAAATTGATATGACCATTACCTTTTCATTTTCCGGTAAAACTAAAATAAACGATATTGAACCATTGCTTCTTACGTTCCGTTGTTGTTGTTTTGTTTTTAGTTTGGTGTTATTGTTGTTGTTGTATTTTCTAGCGAACATCAAATAATGTATATCTGTCGTTGACTTTATAACTAAACATTAAATGAATGTTAATATCACCATGGCTACGTACTTTTAGTTATTTGTGAATATGAAATAATTCTGGAATTTAGCGATTTACCTCGCAACTGTCAGTCACGTGATCATCAGATATGCGTTGATCTGACGATGACGTCATAACTTTGATTATCTTGTTAACATCAAATAAGTGTTGATATAATCATGAATTCGTATTTTTCAATATTTTGTGAACATCAAATAAGTGTTGATATGGACATGGCTTTGTAAGTGTCAGTTCCTTGTTAACGTCAAATAAACCATCATATGACCATGGATATGTACTATCAGTGTTTTGTTAATACCAAATAAGCGTTGATTACACCTTGGTTTTGTTTCATCAATTTCTTTACAACATCAAATAAACATTAATATATCAAATTGTGTCCTAAATTTCCATTTCTTGTTAACATAAAAATAATCATGTATATATAGCCATGGCTTCGTAATAGCTGTTCTGTAGGTGTGTGACTTCAATTGTATTTGATGTGTTTGGTGTGGTACATGCTAAACGATAATTAGTTTAAAGACAAAAATTGTGATAAGCACTTCAGCATAACAAATGATTCACTTGACAAAAACAATTATTCGTGATCTAGACAAAACGTTTTAAAATTTGAGATGATTTTTGGGCTACCCAACTGTATGTAATATCGTAACAAAATTTTATCTAGATAGGCGAAATTTAAGGAATTATTGAAGAAAAGACTGATTCTTAGTCCATGTTATATTGTGACATATTGTGACATGATAAATGTACATGTATATCATTTGGTATTAAGTCTTTGACAAATTTTATTGCTTTGCATATACAGTTGTTTGCAATATAACCCTCGACGACCAGTCTGAGTTATAAGTTAACCACCGTTTATATTTGGCCATTTAACCTGTCAAAATAGTTTTTACTAATTATTCATTTAAATTAACCGTCCAGTTGTATATTAACAGTGTACAAGTCTGTTGCCCGGAGGAAGGGAGATTACTCTATCAAACTGAAAGCAGATCTACGGGTTAAAGGAAAGGATATAATAGACAAGTTCGTCAATTATGATATGAATGATCAATGTGACTGTCCAAATGTTCAAGAAGGTCCAGGTAAAGTTTATTTCTCTTTTTATTTTCTAACACCAGCTCTGACATTTACTTGTGTATGCCACCGTAAGCCTAGGCCTGTTGTACACCAGTAAGGCTAATGTTTTGTCAACTTCAATGACCTGACACTTAAACTAACATGGAATATTTCCAGATTTGAATTTATAAAACAAGTATATCTAATACATCAAGCAATGTGAACAAAATAGATTTCTAGTAAACAAAAGTTTCTTGGCTTTGCATAACTGTTGCTGTTATATCATCTATTCTGTTTTGCCATGTGTACCCAGTAACACAGAAATTGGAAAATAACGCACGAACTGTAAAGTAGAATTGTGCTGGTCTATGGTCGTTTTATATATAATGATATTGTTTTATATATATTCGGTATGCTTCTGCCAGACAACTCTTGTCATATAACACTTAAATTAGCAGATAAAATGTGACTAAGACCATTGTTACGAGGAAACGCCGTTTTCATGACTGATACATCATACTTTATTTGTTTTTTTTTAATATAATCATCGTCGGATACCCACAGTTGTTTATCATGTTAATGTTAAAGGTTCGGCCATGGATAAAATATGATATGGCTTTTATAGTTTGACAAATGTCTCAGGTATACCGGATATAAAACAGTATTATTTTTTGTGTATTTTTGTACTTATAAATATCGGCCAAACAAAAATGCCACTTTCAAAACAGTAGTCAAGTCGTCATTATCTTAAAAAGTAAAGAAATTCCTGGAAATATCTGTAATACCGATTAAAGAAAATGTCATTGCAGCCGTCATTTCTTGTAATTTGGTTACTATAAAATATGTTGGTCCGTTGTATTGCATAATCATGCATAATTGTAACATTCCTGCTTACAAAAAACTAATTAGTTACTTTCATGACTTTGCTCTTTGATCATAACAAATCCAACTTTGGAAAATGCTACATGTTTACTTGAAACTATAAATGCATGATTCAAAGGGTGTTAGGTGTTATGATTAAAAGATTAACTTTCAAGTCATTAGTGCTTGAAATTAATAAAAGCATCCTCGGACGTAAATTTTATATTCTGTATTTCATAAATAAATTAAGAATCAACGTACCTGAATATGAAATGTAATATATGACCTTAACATTATTTATGATTTAACTTATTTCTTTAACTTTTAGAGTCTAGAGCCTTTATTTTCACAAAGGCCGACGCATTCGACCCATCAACAGAAGTGTTATCGTTACTGGACTCTGAAACAATCATACGTTATGAGAGGAGTTATGAGAGAATAATGAATAAGCTCTCTTCAAAGGCACATACTTGTGACAGACTGAAAAGTTTGAAAAGATCCACTTCTCCTAAAAGTGCTGCCAAGCTTCTGCGACTAAGACGGAAGTTAGGGTTGTTATAGAAACGTTGTACATATGGTCATATATAATCTAAGAATTAAAAAATTGTATTTGAATTTTAAGCCTTAAATAGAACATCGGGAGAACATCGCAAAACAATTGAATATTTTGTTACTATGATTTAACCGTGATCTTTAAATGATTTAAATGATTGTTTTACGACTTTTAATTGAAAATTAAATTGTGATATATGAATAAACTTGATAGGCCCTAATCATTATGACTGTTTGAAATCTTGGTATTATATGTCCTATTCTTTTGTCATGCGTTATATTAGGTTTAGCTTTAAATATTAATCCGCCATGATTCGAACAATTCTTGTTTATGGGTATGCTTCAATTACATTTAAACTGGAAGTTACTTGTTTTTAAAAATGGCACATTTAATAGCTGGAAGACAAGTTAAGTAGTGATGTTGTCTATTGGAATGTAGTTGTTGTCTTGGGTCGGAACGATCCTTGATATGACATTTTATAGTCGACTGATAAGGCTTACTGTTTGAAGCATTAAACGTTCCGTTTTCAACAATAACTTCTGGTAATAACTGCTCGTTGGGTTTATTTGCACAAATGTATGCAGCGTATCACTTTAGAAGTTTTCATACTGACATTACTCCAGTCTTTGGCGCATTTCTTACGGCAATTTGATTTGGTACGTCTCATTTTTATTATAATATAAAATGGAACAACGGTTTCGATTGGTGTTTAGAAATGATGTCATGACTGTAGAGTTATGACTCAGTCTTGAAAGTTTTTTATGCCAAAGAACGTCACGTTACTTGCATATCTAATGTATTTCATAATTTGGGTTAAGTATTCATATTAATACAAAATGAAAAGGGTAGCAACCTTTGAATATCTGAATTATGAACTACATTTGGAATACTGACGTTATGAAATTCCGGTGCAATTTTTTCACAGCTTTATGTGTCCCGATTATGAAAAGGTCATGGCTGCATGTAGATTATGGCTACATGAAAAGGAAATTTCATTAAGAAAACATTTTGTGCGGATAAATCCCAAATATACTGCTAAATTACAATATTATTTGCCAATTACTTCATTATGCCTAGATTTGTAATTTGTAGCATAAATATACTTTAATTTGTTTTTACTTTTATAATAAAACCTCATTTATAATCAAAACCAGTAGGTGTTTGTTTATTGTTTATAACCTGAGTCCAATAGACTTACATGTTACGATCAAGTCAAATGTACTTTAATAATAAAAACTAGCCCAATGTACTTACAAAATACGAACTAGTGCAATGTATTTACAAAATACGAACTAGCTATAGCCAAATGTACTTAAAATACGAACACGTCCAATGTACTTATAAAATACGAACTTACTAAATACGAACTAACCCAATATACTAACAAAATACGAACTAGCCTAAATTACGTTTTATAATTTTATTCGAACTAGTTCAATGAACATCCAAGATTCGGACTTCTCCACTGAACTAAACAGAAACTTACTATACCAATATATTTACAAGATACGAACTAGATCAACGAGGGTACAATCGCTAGAAGAGAAATACCCTTTTTGCTTTAATAGATTTGATACACTGAAGGCTTATCTAATACTGTCAAAATCCACTTATTAAACCATTCAACGGTTCAAACTCATATAAAGAGAATGTGCAGCTTGGTTTCGTGACTACCGCAATACCAAAACATCAATCAGCGTCGACGAATAACCCAAATAAGCGTTCTGAATCAGAGGAATTTCTTTTCTCCCCTATCTGACTGAGGACATATCATGTTATCAAGAAATATACATTTTATGACTCTTAAGAAGAAACATTAGAACATTCATAGCCCTTCGAACCTTAAGAAACCATTATTATCATAGGACTTCTTCTCAGTGCATACTTTTAGCATTCAATTAAACGCTCCCCCTGGGTGACTCGCAACTAATATTCAAATTGGTGTATCTTAGTAACCGTCTTTACATTTTTAAGAAAATTATGAATTAAGCGTATTTTTTTCTTTTTCTTCAGTACACATCACATCATATTCACGAGCTTAAAATCCATATTTGTATAATATCTATTAGCTAACGACATCAAACTTACATATTCAAAAGAAGAATACCGAGATACTGGTTACATCCTACAACCATTTCTACAAATACCTTGTGGCTCTGAAAGACTCTAAGCACCCTAACGTTAGTTTAATTACTTATTCCAAATATACAAAAAAGAAATTACATCAAAATATCTACACAATGTACAAAAACGACGGGCCATTACTCTTAGACCCTCGCAGGGACGTAGACGTGTCTGTGATTCAAAATCAAACGAAAATTTAAAAAAAGTTATTTAAAAGGTGATAAACGAATATTAAAAAGAATATTCAAAACATGGGGCTGGAAAACTAGGTGAGGCATGTTCAATGCAAGCTAAGGCTGTACTGAACTGCTCTGGGGTTGGAGGAGGGCAACTGCAGGGGGTAGGTGGTTCCAGTGGTATTCCATCTTAATCTGAAGTTGCTGTGAATAACCTTAAACACAAGAGATGGCCATTGCGTGATGTTCCGGAGAGGGGTGTCAAATGTTCTTCTACGGGGATAACCACCAGACCATGGTGAATCTTTAAGAAAAAAAAGTATGCACTAGCATCTATAGTCTGAGTCCCAGTTTTGAAGCTTAAGGAAGTAAATCATGTTGGTGACGCTAGAGATCTGACCACAATCTAGTGCTTACGTGTGAGTAACTAATACCTGCACTCCAGATAACGCACTGTGCATGTATGAGTATGCGATTTAACACTGACACGTTTTCTAAAGAAAGGTCATAAAACTACTTAAATCCACTTAATCAAGACTGATTACAGATGGACAGACAAACAGCAACAACAATTACAATGTAGTCATATTTTCTCACAAGGCTAAAATACTCTAGAATAAACAATCAAAACATTGTTATATTGTTTTTGTAAAAAAGAGTGAGAGATCGACGGACGGACAGTTAGACAGCCAAAAAGGCAAAGAGACAGACAGCCGAACGGTACACGGACGGAAAGACAGAAATATGATAAACAGACGGACAAAATGTTTTGCAAGACAACATGAAATTTAAATACTATTGTATCAAAACTTTATATTTTGTCATGCTTGTTTATACAAAATATTTATACTACATTAGTCATCTGATTTATATTGCTAGAGTCAAATATTGTATCCCGTTAGGGTCATCACGACAAACACAGAACTCGAAAAAACGAAAATACGAAAATACGATGGTAATAAAATCGAAATAACGAAACCACGCTGGTGAAAAATCGTGTTTCAAATTTTCAACACCTTGGCTTCGTGGTTTTGTTATTTCTACTTTTCACAATTTTACTTTGCTTTCTATTTTTATCTTTTTATGTATTGACTGCATGTTTAATCATTATGCAATTGACAGGTTAAAAACAATACATACTTGACCAATTTCATCAATTGGTAAATATATTCTTGAAATTGTCGTTTTGTTGACAATGATTTGTAGTTCAAGGTTATGCAGACGTTTTTTCACACATCATAAAAGCGACGAATTATTAAACATGTCAAAGTTAAATAGGTTGCAATGCAATTATGCAGGCGCACCATAAGTACTTTATTTGCAGACGAGTGTATTGTTGCTTTTCTTACATACTTGTGTTACTATTAAAACTTAATAAATAGTGCCAATAACAATCGGGCGTGCAGTGGAAATGCTAGCCCTTATATTTTTAACCTTTACGTTTGTTTCGGGGTAAGTAAAAGGAATCTTTCTTATATTGTTTGACAAGTTTTCTTAGCAATTTATTGCCAACTTTTTATTTTCGTTATGTAAAAAAAAGCAAATACTCTATTCCCTATGAATCATATAAAAAAATCTAAAGCTCTGTTAACATGTACATCAGATCTTCGGTTTCACAGCATAAGACATTTTTACATTCATTTACATATTATTCGAATTCAGTGAAATATTTTATTTATTCACTGCATACATATAATCAATTCAGGCTATAAAAACCTATAGATGTGACTTGAATATAATCGTCTTTATCTTTATAATTCAAGGAAAACTGTTTGCGATCTTTTTCAGTGTATGTTTTTGTAATTAATGAAATCAAAGTGACTTTCAAATATCTTGTCTGTTTGTAAATTTAAATAATCCTTTGAAAAAAGTGACATTTTCTGTTGTTGTCTTTTTTTCTTTTTTTGTTGTTGTTGCTTTTTGTTTTTCGTTTTTTTCTTCTTTTGTTTGTTTCCTCTTTTCATTATGCCTTTGCTTTGCCTTTTTTTTTTTTTTTTTTTTTTTAATGCGTTTATTTAAGGTCGCCGCCGGAAAGCCCATATGGGCGACCGTACACTCAAGTCGGGTCATCCTAGAGCGTCCCGCCGAGATTTTTCGTCGATTTTTTTTCCAGCTTTATTGGTGGAGGAAGACCCCAGGTGCCCCTCCGGGCATTATTTCAGGCACGAGCGGGCACCTGGGTAGAACCACCGACCTTCCGTAAGCCAGCTGGATGGCTTCCTCACATGAAAGATATCGACCCGAGTGAGGATCGAACCCACAGTGGTGAGGGACCTGTGATCTCAAGTCAGCGACTTTAACCACTCGGCCACGGAGGCCCCTATTTGTTGCTTTTTGTTTTTCGTTTTTTTCTTCTTTTGTTTGTTTCCTCTTTTCATTATGCCTTTGCTTTGCCATTGGTTCAGAAAAAGGGTACTTGTACAGTCAAACCTGTGTGATGAAGACCGCCTCTGAATAAAAATAACACTGTAAATAATGACCACTTTTTATAACCCTTCATTTATAGATCTGAATAGAATAGAGAGATGTCCAAATAACAAATAAAGACTACTTGTCTGTAAAAGCCATGTTTTGTTTCTCCCTAGGATGGCCTTTTTTGCAAATTTGTCAATTATTAAATAGAAGACAGAATTTCTTTTACTTAGCATGATAAAGAAATCATAATTGAAAATAATTAATGAAAAAAAAATATTCACCCTGCTATTTTCTTATGCTTTTGGGTCATTTTCAAATAAAACAAAACAACATTAAATGCCATATATTGATATTTAGTTTGTTTTGGCATTGTCATTTTTTATGATTTACTTAGACAAGTACGAAATTCTTTATACTTTTTTTTTTTTTTTTTTTTTTTTTTGGATTTGTTTTTTTCATTTCTTTGTTCTGTATCATGTCAATTTGCTCTTTAGTATAATAGGTAGTTAAGATGGTTATTATTTTGTAAGTCGCAATAAGATTTCATCAACTTACTATAACTCGTATCAGAATTATGGCGACCTCATTTTATGTTGTTGTTTTTTTTTTGTTTTTTTTTCCTTCTTCTTAATTGATGAATGTTTAAAAACACTGCTGAGGATCATTAGCAAAAATATCACTTTAGTCTTGAAGTAGTACATCCGGGGATTTTGTCAATAAAAAAATGTTAAACGCTGAACTCTAATGGAAGGATAAGTATTTTAGCCGGTGTGAACCTAGTTTTACCATGAACAAATTGTTTACACTATTTACGGAGTTATATGGTGTAGCTTACCATGTGAAAACGCAATAACTTTTTTTTAAATATTCTTGATTTTTCTTAGCAACACAATCGCTGACGTAGATATATATCAATAATTTAATTTCGAGTCGTGGGCAAGTGGTTGAGGTCGCTGTCTTTGAAACATTTGCCCCCTTACCACATTGGGATTATTTTATGTTAGGACGCTTTCTAGACCAGATCTGATTATCCTTGTTTCTATACTTTTAACGATTATTTCCTATCAAATACGAGAATTTACGAAAGCAAATAGCTTTTTTGCCAAAAAGCAAGAAAAGAGGCATGCATATATTGTTGCCAATAAACAAATGGCGCCATTTTAATAAATGCATGGCTAAATAGAGCCAGATCATGATAACGGCATGTAAGATGAATAATGACTCCGAGGGAAATTTTTATTCACGGTCGGTCCGTCCCTCTCGTACATTAATGATTTTGATACAGATATTGACAGATCTATCGATTTCAATAAATTAGATATTTCTGTTGTTGGAATTTCTTTTTTCTAGGGAGTTTTGCTACTAGACGCGAAATGCCTCCTCGAATTTAACGCAAGTATTTTCAAAAGTATGATGGTTTTGAAAGGTTTGGTCGAACGTAATTTTCTTAGATGGGTAGTAATGGGGATAAGTTTGAGCTTTTCATTCGGAGGTACGATGACCAATAATCCTTCCACGTAGTTTCACCACAGGACATTATTTTCTATGAGTATTTACCCGAAATGAGACTCTTGTCGAGATGGAAACATCCTATAATATTGTGTAATGTTGATAAAATGTAACAGATTCAAACATTAATAACAGCACAGATTACATAATTGTAGTCAATATTGCTACTTACATGCCTACCAACATATCTACCTACCAATGAAATAGTTTCAGATATAATAAAATAATTACTACACAGATTATTATAGTCAATATTGCTACGTAACTACGTACGTACATACCTACCTACCTACCTACCTACTAGTCTGCTTATTTTACCTTCTAACTTTACTTACTTTTACTTACCAACTGACTTAGTTACTTTTATGATAAGAATTCTATATCTAACAGAATCGTTCTTTGAACCACTGTAACTTCTTTTTGTTGTTTCAGGGAGTACATATTCACATTCCCCCGGGTCTTGGAAGCAGCATCCAAAACCAGTTTCTGTTTAATCCTCCATGACCTTGACCTCGATAGCTTTGAACTACAGCAAGATTATACTGTGAATGTCAATCTAACGTATTTGCCGAGTGATGATACTACAGGTTATATGCCTGACAATTATGATTTTAAGTTTGGTGCTGTCAACATGGATAGGAGTAATTATGTCTTTTTTAATCTTTTTTATATTTGTACAAACTTGATGTGCAGTTTTTTTCAGTATTACAGCAAGAGCCTTTTTGATAGTATGATATGAGAAACTTTCCATGTTTTATTCCTAGTTTTGCAAAGTCTAATTTAAATTGTCATAATGAATTTGAATTTATTAAAGGTATCAATTTAGTGAACGGAAATGTTGAAAAACGGTTCAAGTGTTATGTGATAGGTCACTAGATTTAGTTAAAATGTAACAGATTGTTTATGAAATAAGAAAAGAAACAAATGATAATATAAAGGTATTCAACCGTCTCGAAAATATTAAAATGATATTAAAAAAGCATTTAATCATATTTTATCAAGCTCTATTTTATAATCACTAAATTATATCTTTGGTAAATCATTACCGGGATAAACTCCTTTGCAGAACAATTGACATATTAAATAATTGTATGTATACATGATTGTCATAAGTCCCGAATAAATGAAGCTTCAATGTATATTTTTGACTACAGCTTTTAAAAAATGTCATGAAGTAGAGACACCTTTTGTTGTTGAGGGGAACTTTTCTGTTGTCGTCAACGCGAGTCTGACGTACACTGAAGATGGATCAACGGAGGTCAACAAATTGATATTTGGTGCGGAAAAGATGGTAACAGTTAAACGACCAGACCTGATAACTCTTGTACAGACGGACAAACCTATCTACAAGCCAGGGCAGACGGTCAAATTTCGTGTGATGACGATGGATTACAAATTAATGTCCAGAATCGATGGTGTAAGTTATATTTATCACATTAAGTGTTGGTAAAGCCCTTATTGTTAAATTAACATTGATGGAATGTAAGCTACATTTGTACAGAATAATGTATGTGAAATGTATAAGATATTTTTTCGTGATTTTAGTATCAGCAGATAACGATAGAGACACCCAACGGGTTAAAAGTTATGCAATGGGATGATATACCTTCTCCTACAGGTAGGTGTAGTTGTTGTTCTTGTTGGTGTTTGTTGTTGTTGTTCGTTGTAGTTGTAGTTGCTGTTGTTGTTGTTGTTAGTTGCCTTTTTCTTCCTTGATATAAGTAGAGTTCGGATGTGTGAAAAATACATTAATCAAGGAACGAAAACACATAATTCATAGCCAGCATTTTCTAAAACAAGAATCTCTTGAGCAAAGGTCATTTTATACCTTGAACAAATGTCATGTGCTACCTTCAGCAAAGGTCATGTGCTACCTTGAGCAAAGGTCATTGCTACTAGAAGATTAAAGATGTATTGCATTATGGAACGAATCATACATGTAAAGGTTCTTTTATATATATCACCTTTGCAGGGGGGTTTCAATGGCACTAGTTTGTTTATTCAATTAATTGCAAACATGTATTCTAGTGTTCGACACTAAAGCATTATATAGGAATCAATTTAAAATGAATGATGGCATTCTATATACCATGTTTAAGCTATACATTTATATATGTACATCCTCATTCTGTCAGTTTTAATGTGAACATGTAAAACATTATATTAAATCTATCATGGTTAATGTATAAGTTTCAATGCAAATTGTCATTTTACAATTGCCAATTTATACATTTTTATGTTAATCGTCAATCTAAACGTTCTTATGAATATCGTGTATTCTGTTATCGACATTGTGACATGGTTAATTTATACGTTTCTATATCTGAAGCGATTCTATCCTATTCGATTATACATGTTATATATTTAATATACAGGGTTGGTTAGTCTTGAAATGCCTCTGAGTTCTGACCCTGTACTTGGATCATGGATGATAAAAGTTCTATACGGATCAAAGGAAATAAGACAATCGTTTAAAGTTGACGAGTACGGTAAGAACGGACAATAATCTTTAGCACTTAGTCAGTTAGTAAGAACAATAGTAGTTGAATCATGCAGTTACGATGTGAACTCGTGTACTCGGTGCACCGAACATTACCGTCATGTGATACATATCGTATTTGCCACGAAAAGAACCGAATATCAACAAAAACAGGCTTGTGTTATAACATAGGGTTCGTTGTGGTAAACTTTATTACTTCTAACTTCTTTATAGTTATTTCAACTTCATTAATTCTACACGACGATTTAAAAGTCATGAATTCACGATTTCAACTTCATGACTTCACGATTTCAACTACGCAAACTTATCATTTCAAATCCATGAATTTAACTTGGTATCATGGTTTCAATTTCGTGAGCTTGTGTAGTCTGGGTGGGTGATTACATAACGTTACATTGGTTTACTGTAACATTTGGTCCTTTACATGCCAATTACCCTCTATTGTAGCTTTTACTTTCTCGTAATGTGGCAATGTATTGAAGAAAATATGTGGTAAGTGTGTGTTACAAATGTGTACAAGCACATCGTGAAAAGCACAATAGCTCCATTAGAAAAATATGTACTATTTTAATCGGCACACATTTGACTGATGGGCGGGGTCATTTGCTGTTACTCGGTGTTTCCGTGAAGAACTGTCACGGGATCACTCACCCTAGTAGAAATTTAAGTCATGTTCAAGTTGAAATCGTGAAATCGTGAATTCAATATGTTGAAATCTTGAATTCCTGAAGATTAAATAGTAATTACATGAAGATGAAGTGAAGAACTCATGAAGTTGAAATGTCTTCAACCGTCATCAGTTTCTTTCCTGTCATTGCAGTTTTACCGAAATTTGAAATTACAATAACGCCACCAAAATACTTACTACCAATGACAAAGGATATCAGAGGAACTGTTTGTGCAAAGTAAGTCATTTCATTTAGCAAACTTAAGGAACACTAGCTTTCTATGACAGACACAACTTACAATAAATATACTTTAATCCGTAGGTCATTTATCTTGGATTTGCCGCTTAATTACATATCCTATCTCTGGATAAATTGTATGAAATGTAGAAGTTGTGTATTATTTTTTTATTAACTATTTCAAACGGAAGCTGCGCCATTTTTACATTTTTTTATTTTCTTTGATTGAATAAGATCATTGATTTTCAAAAAAAAATCATAAATGGTTATAACAAAAACATCGTAAGATAATGGCGTCTGCTTTACAGCTTCGGCTTGGGGTGTTCACGTTCTGTCGGCAAGGTAAGACGCGCACAAACCGCCATAATTTAAGGTAGACCCAGCGTCACAATTGATTTTTCAACGTCAACAAGGAATGTTTTAATATCATATTGAATAATGAATGATGAATTGAAATGTTCTGCTAGCAAACCATCTATCGTCATTGAATACCGTGCTAAGATATGAAGCTGGCTCGACATAAAGCACAACATTTGTTACAAAGAAAATGACGGCCAGTTTTACATTAAAGCTTAAGCGGAATGGATTACAAGCTTCATTTTTCAGATGACATTTTTGGTGTACAGTATATTACACCATCTTAATATATTCAGCTAAATATCTTGCCAGATTCATATGCTACCTTCTCATTCAAGGAAGCTGACTGACGTGCCAGGTTCACATTTCATCGAATCATTAATTTAAGCTGAATGTGGAACCAGGGTCACATTTCACCTAATCATAAATTAAAGCTGAGTGTCGCGCCAGTGTCACATTTTACCTAATCATAAATTTAAGCTGAATGTCGGACCAATGTCACACTTCAGCTAATCATTAATCTAAGCGGAATGTCGTGCCAGTGTCACATTTCAGCTAATCATTTATTAAAGCTGAATGTCGGATCAGTGTCACATTCAGCTAATCATAAATTTGAGCTGAATGTTGCACCAACGTCACATTTCAGCTAATCATTAATTTAAGATGAATGTCGCACCAGTGTCACACTTCAGCCAATCATTTATTAAAGCTAAATGTCGGATCAGTGTCACATTCAGCTAATCATAAATTTAAGCTAAATGTTGCACCAACGTCACATTTCAGCTAATCAGTAATTTAAGATGAATGTCGCACCAGTGTCACGTTTCAGCTAATCATAAATTTAAGCTGAATGTCGGACAAGTGTCATATTTCAGCTCAATATAGCTGGAATAACGAAGCAGTTTTAGATCTTAGCTCGTCATTCAGGAAAGATCAGTTTGTCGTTCAATGAAGTATAAAAGTAATTCTGAATGCTATGCTGGCACACTATTTTTGTTAAGCATTCATTTAGCAATATCGCGGTAATTGATTTCCAGCTCGACATTGAAAAATCGAATGTCATACTCAAGGTAAATTTATCTTCGTGCCAAATTCACTGTTCTTTATAGCTTCTTACAATGCCCAGACAAGCAGAAACTTTTTAATAATTGCAGCAAAAATTTTGTTTATTAGCATATGGTTAACTTATCAGGGACTCAAAAGTTATCAACATTAATGACTGTTAAACTAAACTGGTGAACAAACATTTCGATGAAAATAAAGTAATGTAACCGATTACTATTTGATTATTTTGTTTGGTGAGGGAACGAATGAAGAAACCTAAAAGACATAAAAAGATAATTGAAACGGTTATACCCTAGAACTTAACGTTTATTCTAAATATCATACTGAGACTTGGAATAAGTCGGGTGATCTTTTCGATCATCAGCTAAGAATTCATCCACTTCCTCTATTATAATTATTATAGATATACATATGGGAAACCAGTAAAAGGTGATTTGATAATTGAAGTGTGTTACAAAAGTTCATACAAGAGAAATGTTATAGGGTCGTGCGCCTATCTTATTAGAAAGGTTAGCTATTTTTTTTATTTTTGTAGTTCAATTTTATTTTTTTATTTAAAAAGAACAACGTTTTAATAATCAATAACAAATAGACATGCTTTATATTTAAAACGATCAAAACGATTATACTTATTATTCCAGAGGTAAATATTGTCCATTTCATGAGATAACGCAAGTCAGTCACATTTGACCTCATATCATACCAAACAAGTGATATTAAGACAAGTAATTGGACTGGACCAAACTCCCACTATGTTGTTTCTGTGTGTCTAGATACCTAACATAATTGATTTTAGTGTTGTGTCTACGACCCTTTATTTAGAGCGAAAATGTCCTGCATTATCAATTGACTTATTTGTTGTACCTACCTAAGTACACTAAATCACTTGAAATCATATCAGACTGCTGACAACTATCATCTGTTTATAGTAAAATACTTAATAAATTTTGGGAAAAACTATCAGTGCTAGCAAACATTATATGAGCGCCATGACAAGACCAACATAATGCGTTTGCGACCAGCATGGATCCAGACCAGCCTGCGCATCCGCGTAGTCTGATCAGGATCCATACTGTTCGCTATCAGTTTCTCTACTTGTTATATGGTTTGTAAGCGTGGATCCTGATCAGACTGCACGGATGCGCAGGCTGGTCTCGATCCATGCTGGTCACAAACACATTATGTTGGTTTTGTCATGGCGCGGATTATATGATTTATTGCAAAGTAAAATCATTTGAAAACAAATTAGTGCTGGTATAGATCATAATTAGTTGTACAAACTTATATATTTCACTTGTTAACAAGGGCCCGTTTTCCATCATTTGAAGCTATTACAAAAATGATTTTCATTTGAAAGCAAATCATTGCTGGCGTCCGTGACCAAGAGGTGAATGTAAATTCTCTAATGTGAGAAAGTTATCTAGCTGGCTCATAGCACGCCGATGTCTTTTCTCAGGTGCCCGTTTGTGCCTTATATAATGTCCATTTGACCTTCCTCCACCAGTAATGCTGAAAAGTACTTTAAAAATGTGTTTTTGATAATAATAGTAGCAATAATTATTATAGTAATAATAATATTGTTGACGCCTGTCATACTAGTAATTTGTAATTTAACTTACTAAAAAACAAAACAGCGCTGACTCCAACATTTTCTTTCAGATTAATGGTTGTTACGAGTTTTTTATTCCTGCTAAAAGTATAAAACTTGGATACAAGGAATATGAGTTATGGGGGTTGTTGACGATAACAGTCAATATCACCGAAGAGCAAACTGGTAGGCTTTAACTTTGGTGATTTATTTATTTATATATTTATTTATTAATTTATTTTGGTCTGCTTTTCATCTTACATAATTAAACGTTCAAAATGCAATAGTAGGCAAGCCTCGTTACAGCCCAATGGGCGGGTCATTTCGGGACGGATATTCCGGTCCGAACCGCAACATATGACATATATATTATTAATCTATGAAGAAAACAACATCTGTGTATGCTCATGTTTTTCAATTCCAGGTATTAAGTTGTCGAGCTACTCAGAAAGCCCTGGTATGTCAAATATACCTGTTACTCTCAAAATAGAGGATGACTCAAACTATTATTTCAAACCAGGCTTCCCTTACAACGGTCGTGTGAGTAACCGTTGGCTTTTTAATATCTTCCTTTTGATACATCTTTCTTCCTTGTTTTGTTTAGTTTTTTTCCAAAGGTCAATGCAGTCTTGGCCCGCTTACATTTTCTAGGACAAATACAGGTAGCTTTAACTGTAATATCCTCTTTACTTTTTACCATTTATCAATATCTATCATAAATCTCTTTTAAAAACTGTTCCGTAATCACTTCAAGTTTGAACAAAATTGTTAATCCTATCCAACTGATTTGCATTTTAATGATATGAAATGATATGAAAAGCGATGTATCCCGAAGAGGTGTGGGTTGTTTTTTACTCGCTTTTACCCATTTAATATAATTTAGGTGAGGTAAGTAGTCATCATTTTAGATTGAATATTTTTCTTGCTGGAAGTTTTTAAAAAATGTCTTAAACCAACAATAATTTTGATGATAGGTTGTGGTGACGAATCCTGACGGGAGTCCGGCAGCAGGTGAAGATATCCTAGTGGAAGCTTACGAATCTGAAGTTAATGGAAGGTGGTATAAAAACTTTACAACAGACGACACCGGTATTATTCATTTCACTATAACTGGAATAAGCAGCAATATAGTAGTACTCTTTGTGCAGGTAAAGTATATTAAAAAAATGAGCATATGATGTGTAGAAAATCTTGTCTTCCATAATTGTATGGAAAGTCATCCTCTTTTCAGTCAATTACACACTTTGAATACTGGTGCACTATTTTTTAAAAAGCATTCACACCGTCGTAGAGAGCTCTCGTTATCAAAATTATTATAATATAAAAGTGACACCGGATCTTGTTATTTACCATAGAAAACATAAGCAAAATTAAGGGGACAAAAGTGGTAAGTAGCCTTATAAGTTTAATAAGAATCATTCATTGCAAAAATGTAGGAGCCATCTGGGCGTTAAGAATTATGATTTCTGTAACTTTAAAGTAATTTAAATAGGAAAAAATCATGCCTTACAACAGACGGACATAGAATTAAGGCTAAATAGACATATATTCTCATAAAAGCTAAGAAAATCTTCGAATTAACAACCAAAATCTTTTTAATTAAAGACAGACAAATTAGAACAGACGGACAGATGACAGATATACTTTAAGGTAGACACACAGAGAACTGAACGATAAATTACAATTTTGTCTCCATGTGTTTGTATTGCAATGAATAACACATTTTTCGTTGTATCACATAAATGAGGATATCCAACAGCTACTCCTTACACAGCTGAGATTCTCGGGGACCTTAATACAACAACAACGAGAAGTGCACCATCTCTTTGTGCTCTATTTGAAAGTATGCCAATAGGGTGTGACATCGCTTGGTACATCGTCTATTCTCTTTGCCGTATCGTCTCGTTTTGTCAGTACTTAAGCTCATAAGCGTAATATCTGCCTGTGATTTTGTCTTTCTTAATAATTAATTTCCAATTTGTTATCGTTGCCGTCGTCATCACTGGTTTCAGCTGACAAGGAGTCCACAAATAAAATAAAAATGCTTGGTCTAACCAAGTCAACGTTTAACAAACTATAAATAACATTAATTAGATATTTAACGGAAATCAGGTGCTATGGAACTTCTAAGACATTATGTTTTCTTCCTTTTAATTGCAGTAGCAAAACTGCAGAAAGTACTTTTAAAGAAAAGTCATACGAATATACCGGACGTTCATATCCATGACGGCAAAACGCTCATAAAAAATTGGTACAGTAAATGTATCAGGATCAGTTGATTGTGAAGTTTGTCAAGAGATAAGGAGTTAGGCCAAAGATAAAAACGGACATAATGTTATTATTAATGAATTAAGTTAAATGAACGGACCATGGTTGAGTCGCCAATAAAAAAAAAAAAAAAAAAAGTTCGGACATCTATTAATAATTTCTCCTGCCGATCATCTCCTCGCTTCGGCACATCGTCCCGTCGTGTTATCGCGTAACAGGAACATTTTTTTTTCGATTCGACTATTTACATTAGGTACTATTTTGAAGATTCAGAACTGTTATTACAAAATGTATTAAGATTTTAAGATTAACTGTTACATGATTGTTTACTTTTCATGAGAAATGATCGTATCGTTCCTGTTTGTTTCTGGTCGCCGGTGTAAACAAACGACCGTCTTTACAAGAGTTAGTTAACAAATACTTGAAATACTTTTTCTGTTCCTAAGCTATCCAACGTATTCCTGAGACTTTGTTCTTTGTTTCCCTACAGGCTAACTTGATAGAAAATGAAACTGATTGGCGATATAAATCTGACGGGTTACATCATTCTACATACAGAGGACAAGCAATTATTATGCTGACAAAAGTGTTCTCTCCGTCAAAAAGTTATGTATACGTACAGAAGGTCGATACCATCGCTGATTGTGACTCCGAGCTAAATCTTGATGTTTACTACACGGCTGAAACCGGTGTCGACTATATATTTACAACAATTGTAAGTAAAATAATTGATTGATTATAAGTTAGTCCTTGCAGTAGCTGAAAGAGTGAAATAATTTATTGACTGTATAACTACGAATGAGTTTTTGAATGTTAATGATTATTTCGGATTTTCAGTCAACCTGACTGCATTCATGTTATGCTCATAATGGCGAAAAAGTAAGTATATCCGTTTCTGTATGCAGTAATTGATCCTGTCCTTTTTGAAGATGAAAGAGAAAGGGAATTTACTGTTATCTGTTATCGTAACTTTTCAAATCACTTGCCCTTCACCGCTGTGGGTTCCCATCCGACATAGACTTCGGACTACTTCATGTGAGGAATCTATTAAGCTAACATACGGAGGTCTTCCTCCACCAGTAAAATTTGGACGTCGCTATATGACCTATACTATGTCGGCGTGACGTAAAATGCAATCAAACAAACAGTAACTTTTCGCAATTTTAGTTGACTTTAACGATATTTTTGTTCGGTTTATAGTTTTACAAGTTGTTTGAGAAACAACCCGGGAGAATTCCGAAATCTATTCTCTTCAATTCTTGATTGGTCGCTTTAATATTCTGACACTAAAAGTATCATGTTGTTGTGTTATTTTTATGTTAATTTCTCATGAAACTAAACGTTGCTGAAAACCAAAATCAAATCTTGAAATAAACTGTTGGATGAATGTATTCTTGTATTCAGGTAAAGGCTGGTGACAGGATCATATATGCAGAAGTTAAAGATATAAAAGCCGCCGACAATATTTACAACACGGACATTCTCGGTTTTGATCAGAATTTGGTCATACAGAAGCAAGAGAGAAAACCTAGTAAGAACATTGTATTCATTTTTTCCATAATCAACTAAATCATTATGACGAGCACAACGATGGTCATCATTGTCATCACGAGATGATTGTCAACATGTTGTTGCTGCTAATAATGCAGATGTCCATCTGAAAAATTTAAATACTGCTAACGATGGTGACGTTTATGATAATGGTGATTATGAAGACGATTAGATTCCTGATGATGTTATAATTTCAATTAATATCCTTCCATTTTTTTAATATGACTATGATATAAGACCAAGTGCATGTTTCCCACATTCATGAATATCAGTCAATTAAAACATTAAATTTAACGGCATTAATTTATTGAATTTCCTTTTTAAAATAGGGTTTTATTATCAAACAGTTGTAATTTTATTGAGAGTTTGATAACAAAAATCACTGCTTTCAGACATTCTGTGAACATCATAATTTCAAGCATGTACCTTAACGTTTCGGTACATTTTCTCTAAAACTATTTATGTCAAAGGAACAAACATTTAAGAATTGACTGAAATGTATAAAATGTTGTTCAGCATTGTTAGTTAGATCTTTTGCACTTCTTGTTTTCGTTAAGAATCATGATATCTATAATAATTGTTAAAGGGCTTTTATACATAAAATATTCATACGATGTAGAAAAATAGAAGTCATTAAATTATAATACATCGATCTTAATAGTTTCATTTCGATTAATATATCTGTATTTACGAGATATATAATTAGTCAAGCCGATCAAAAAAAAAGAAGTTCATATGATTTCAGAGCTGTGAAATAATGTCTATTTCTATGCATTTTCGGAGTTATGCGGACGACAGTTTCGATATCACATATTTCTTCATTTACATCAGTCAATACTTGTTTAATATCAAAGCTGTTTATCAGAATTATATCCCCCTTTTTTTTGCTTTTGTCATATTTTGTCATATTTTGAAGTACCGAGACAAGTGGCGGAAGCTCTTGTTTGTATTTCTATTTCTTGTTATTTATTTTACGTATATCATATTGTTTACACTTCACTAAAATACAAAAGAAGACAGGTAGGTTTATATTTTTTTGGTACTGTAAACACTTTGACTTGCTGCTCGATTGTTCTATTTGTTTTTAGCTACGGGGCAACCGGCGACACGACGGTTACAAGAGGATTGTACGAACAAACCAATAGTGAAAGAAAGTATTGAACCGGAAATTGGATCAAATACCAGAGAAGATAGGGAAAGAAGAGGTATATATTATCTTTTTAAGTCCCAACCAGAGAGAGGGGTAAATAGTTTAGGTAACTGCAATGATCTGTTATTGATTGCTAAAACACATGTAATCATATATAATCAGATACTCGTTTTCTTTTATAAATGTCAAAAAAATCATTATCGAATCTTTTTTGTTAAATGTAAACAAATGATGGTCTGAAATAAAGGTTTAGCATGGTTGAAAACAAAAAGCTCGTCCACGGCTGCAAAAGCGTATATCAGGCTGGGCAAATATAGTTCTGACAACCCTGATACTCGTCCATTGGAATTCAGAATTGTACTCAACAATGTTTAATAACCTCAAATTACTTTACGCTAACCAGTGAGATACTGGGTTTTATCACAGTGATAAAACCATATAACTCAGGCATACCTTTTTTTTAATTTGTATGATCACTAAATTTGTAAATCAACATGAAAATCGATGTTTGAACATAGGATATTTCTCGATTCAAATTTCATTATTTCTCTAAAATTGTTCTGCAGTATATTATGACTACAAACCTTGAATCACCTTTGTCTGCAACCGTTAAACGGCTGACGTAATCTTTACCTCGGTGTGTTTCCCGCGCTTCAATGAAAACAGCCGAAAATTTCTCTTAGTAAATTTATTGTGCATTATTTGTTTTTTCGTTTTTTAGGCTAGTACATATATCTTTCATCGATGTGAGGAAATATCCATATTTTTTCTCACTTCTTAGCTCCATTGCGTATTTAGCGTGATTTTTTACAGGGAATGGGACATTCGAAATGTATAGCAAATGTCGATGTGAAATGTGTTTTAAATAGATTGATTACATTTTTGTTCCAGATACTGGGGAAAAATTGGTAGGATATTTCAAACTTTCGATCCCTGTGACCAAAGACATGAGTCCTAATGCAAAGATACTCGTATTTTATATGAGAGATATGAACAAAGAGATCGTGGCATCAACAATCGAATTTAAAGTAAAAAGTTGCTTCAATAATAAGGTAATTCAAGATGATATTAGTTTCACATATTTATAGTCTTTAGGTGATTTTGCAGTAAAATTTATTGCAAGATATAAAGAACTTTTTACCAAATCTCATTCTGAGCTTGATTTAAATTGGTTACTAGTATAATCTAAGTTTCCTGGTCTTAATTTTATAGCCTATGTCTCCTCTTCATGACAATGACCTACTTTAACCTTTTCGTAATTAATACCAGACGAACACCTAATATGTCAGACGTACACCTATGTCGGTTTACTATTGGCGACAATGACTTATTAACTTTGAAAACATATGCTTTGACGGTAGGATTAGTACGTAACTTTGGACTTGATGCGTTTCTTGCACTCGCTGCAACTCTGGACTTTCTGCACTTATTGGACTTGCTGCACTTTTGCCTACTACGTCTCTTTGACTTGCTGCAACCTGTAAACTTACTGTTCTACTTTTACTTGAGTGATTCTTGGATAAGCTGTACTATTTAGACTTGTAGCGCTTACTGGACTTGTTGCACGATTTGGACTATTTAGGTTGCTGAAACTTGTTTTTATGTAAGCAGACATACCTTGTTCCTGGAAAGTATACCTCCTCTAAGTCTTGATTTGTGGTTTTAAGTGGACTTTTTCAGACTTGCTTGCTCATTGGAGACTATGAGAATAAAGGTACTGTTTGTTTGGATTTTTTATTTCTTTCAATTCATATGTATGTAGCAAGGACAAAATACTGATAGAAAACAAATAGGTGACGTAACAATAAAAACGACGACGCAGTAAAATAAAACAAAAGTGTGTTTCTTTTAACATATTAAAATACTCATTACTAGATTTTGAATAATCACACTAACATGAACTATTAAGTTCAAACAACTAAGTTTAATGTACTTAAACCGATATTTAAAAAATACATTTTATTAGATTTATTCTACTAAAACGATAAAGAATGTAGTATAGTAATCTTGGCATATTGGTGTAAATAATAAATCATAAGTTTCGTGGTCTTAATTTTATAGCCTATGTCTCCTCTTCATGACAATGACCTATTTTAACCTTTTCGTAATTAATACCAGACGAACACCTAATATGTCAGACGTACACCTATGTCAGTTTACTACTTGGTGACAATGACTTATTAACTTTGAAAAGATATGCTTTGACGGTAGGATTAGTACGTAACTTTGGGCTTGCTGCGTTTCTTGCACTCGTAGTCCAGTCATTCTAGCTCAAAATAGAGTGAAACCTCAAACAAATTGCAACAGAAAATATTTTGAGTGTTTTGAAACCCCAGACCTATATTGTATAACATATCAAAAGTCTAGAAAAATCTAAATTGGAGAATGTTTTCAAAAATCGAGATCAAATATATGGGTATCATTGTATTTAATTTTTTAATTTGAACTCAAAGTAATTAATACACACAAACAATTTTCCAATCATTTTTTATGTAATATGCATAAGAATATAGCTTAATCTATCCCTATAGTAACATAAAGTAATCAAAAAGTTGTTTTTGTTTAAAGAAACTACTTTTACCTTCTAAAATTTATTAATTAACTTAAGTGGTGGGGTAAATATTATATTTTTACATTGCTGTAGATCAACAATTTATTGAAAGGTCTATTGTTATATGATATTAAACAGAAAATACATAATGTTTTACGTACATGTGAAAACTGTCAAGTTTCAACGTTTTATGAATTTAATTTACATTCCATCAATATTTAATGCATATATTGAAATATTTATATTAACATTGTACAGCTAGTGGGTGGGGTAATTTTATACAAAATAAAAAAACATTAAGGAAATCTATATTATCTATGATAATAATATTGAGTTTTATATTAACTTGAATACTTTCAAGCACATCTGTTGTATTTTTTCTGAGTCATTATATAACATCATGACATTGGGTCAAAGGAGGTGACATTGACCTTTTGGAAGGTCAATTTCAAATATTTGATACATTTGAGCATAAAATGTAAAAAAAAAAAAATATTTGCAAATTTTAATTTGTAAAATATCTTCGCATAAGCACAAGAATGTCATGACTTCTACAAAGCGTCACTCGCTTCTGTAATTTCTGGTCAACCAATCTTTCACTTTTTATCACTAGATGGTAGCACCTGAAATTCTTCTGGTATATATTTTCCAGTTCTGAAATAAGAGGAGCATAAACATGTTTGATGGTAAAGAGCATCGGCTACAAGCTAGTCGTGAATCTGTTCTATCCTTGCTCTCACTGTATCAGACAAACAGTCATTCCTCTGTATACATATATTCAAAACAGTAGGTTCTAGTGTCCATACTGGCGAAACACCACACTGCCTTGTTTTACCCGTACTTATTAAAGATTGACCACAATATAAACAATCTTTTTTGTATGAAAACTTATCAGTCATTGATCTCAATGGTGGCTTCAGTGTTTTCGTTTTCTGTCTAAGTGTCTTTTTTAGTGTAATGTGGGTTACAGTACATCTTTCTACACTCAATGTGTATATATTATTCCGATTCAACTTTTAAACTGTCATTTTATTTCTCATTGGCAGCATTTATTCCCTTGCATTCCTCTTCGTTGCCTTTAACTGCCTTTGTATGATCATCAAACAGCCGTTAACAAATCCGACAGGAGTTCATCTTGAAAAAAAAAACAAAAAAAAAACAATAACTGATATTGTAAGATTAATAAAATCTGTTTTTTTTTACATTATATGGAGGTTGATCCAGAATTACCCAAAATTTGTTTTGATTTGATTATTAACACCCTGTACCGTCTCAGGCCGCCTTAAATAACCCTGGATACACCACAGCAGCGCAACTCAAAGAACACGACGTTCGTTGAAATTTATTATACACCAAAGTACCTGACACAAAAAGGGATCATGTCCAATATTTGCCGAAGGTTAATGTAAAGCCTGCCAAAATTTCACGTCGTTTGAACATTGTATAAGTGTGTAATCATTTGTAACTGCAACGTTTATTTATGCAAAAACGTTTTTCATTAAGGCGTCGGAAAACGGCACTTTCATAAACATGTGTCAACTGTTTAGACAGCCTACCATAGAAACATCTAATATGATAAAAGAAATTCGACACAAGTATTTTGTTAGTCATGCATACAAAACTTTTTGAGGGGTAAAGAAGTTTTTTTTACCAGACTGTTGGAGTAATTTTAAAGATAAATACATATCGTTTGCAGCATAGAAGAATACGTGTGAAGTTAACGTTCTCCGTCGCTGTGGCGATTGAAAAATACAAATCTGCTGTCATATGCGGCCTTGCACAATTTCAATGCGATTTAAAAAAAATGAATTATAATTGACGATTATGTGTGTTTTTTATACTTTATTTGTTTTCTTTTACATGCACTTTTTATCTAATTAAATTAAATGAATCATATATTTTATGCCATCAACTTTAAGTTGAGCATGTGTATGAATCACAGCAATCAAAGCAATTAGCAGTTCAATAGTCATAGGTTTAGGTTGTTATTACACTTACAGTGAATGGCATCGGGAGGATTCCCTATGTATAAGAACAATAGAACATCAACCTTTTTTGCATAATGTGACAAATCCTATGTTTGCTTATATGGTAGGCATACTGTGTTTAATTATCATATTCTTGTTTCCTTGTAAAGAGGATATATTACGCAGTAATAAAGTGTTTGTTATATGAACTTTGAATAAATATTATTGAATTTATTGTTTAAATTACGGGTATTTCTGGATCATCCCTTGCATTCTTGTATTCTGGTTATTGGTAGCTGATTACGTATTGTTTCAGTTATCCCAGAACAGAACGTGTTATTATAAGATGTTTTTTCCTAAAAGACTTTCCTTAAAATGTTTTAGGTGTATAAATTATTTGATCAAAGTTGCTGATATGACACACTTTTCTTGCATATCAGACTGGCGTTTCCGTTAAGTATTACCCATGCCGGAAATTTCATATGGCATAGGGGGTGCCAGATGAGTCGCGTGCTGTACAATGTCACGCTAAGGATGACGTAATTTTACCGTTATGCATGAAGTTGTAATTTCATACGCTGTTGTACGAAAATAGTTTCGGTTGTAATGGCATAAATTCCCATTGAAAATTACATGAATTAAGATAAAGAATTCAAAATATAATGTTATTTCGTAAAATATGCAAGAAAAAAAATCTGACATATGTTTGCGGTTCGGATCGGAATATCCGTCCCTCGGTAACCAGCCCATGTGCGGTAACTCGGCAAGCCTCGTTACCGCCAAATGGGCGGGTCACCTCGGGACGGATATTCCGATCCGAACCGCAACACATGACCGATATTATTATTATTTTCTAAGGTTTTAATCTAAAATTATAAATATAAAGTACCTACTTGTTAAAGTGTTTGGAAGTAACGTAAAGATAAAGTCACATATTGAGTTTAAAAATGTCACCTTTCAATTTTAAGCATTTCTAATGCCCATCCGTGCATGCATTCAAAATATTTGTACTGATGTGTTACTCTATGGAACTTAATACATACTTTAAAAGTTTGCTTATATGAAAAATATCATTAAAGTGATTTTGTGAAACAAATGTCTCAACTATGCATCTTTACCTTTAACTCGTGTACATCACAGTGTCCTCAGAACACATGATCGGGCATACCCATTGGCTCTGGTGTGTTAATGAAATTTGTAACATAGAAATTACCTCAAGTTTGAAAGGATTAGAATCTTATTTTCATACTATTTTACGTGAAATAAGGTTCTATAGAATACACAGATGTTTTTATTGTTACATGTATTTGCTTAAATTTTGATTTTAAAAGTGATAAAATTATACTATAGTCAACTTAGGTGTGCATTCCGAAAGAAATACTAATATATCGCTGTGAATTAATCTTATACACGTTATGCACTTATTCAAATTCGCGCAGGTGCTATTGTATGCATAATCTTTTAAATTATGGATCAACTGTGCATGTTTACATTGAACTCATACACATCGCCAATCATGAACCATAACTAGAAATCACGTTTGTTTATTGGTGAATTTTTCATGTCACCTTTTCATGTATAAATTTCTTCTATGTCTATTAAAAACTGAAAATAATTTCAGATATATTGAATTATGCATACGACGCTCTATTTCCTCCATGTTTAATATTCACTTAAACTAGTTAAAGATAATGTTTGATATTTGTGTTATATATGTAAAAATATTACAAATGTAAGCACAGGAAAGCAAACTTACTCATTTTGTGTACATATAGTTTACTGGATTTTTTTTATTTTCAAAATCAAGCATACATCAATGAAGACTACCTCAAAGCGGTACCCCTGAAATAATAATAACATTACATACATTATATATGTAAAACAATTTTAAAAACCTATTAAAAAATACAAAAAAAACAACCTTGAATACACATTTAACAATAAAACATGATTAAAGTATTCAGAATTTATTTAACGTAATTCGTCATAAATAAAGTGATAATGGCGTTCCATAGTTTAAAATACTGTCAAAATTAACTTGTTATAAATACACATTTTTAGGCCGTTTTTGAATGTTTTCTAAGACAGGAGTTAATCAGAGTTGTAATTTAGATAAATTAAACTGTTTTCCGTGAAAAGTATAATACAGATCGCTTGAAACACCTGTTCACCTTCAACGAATAAAGAACTGGTAAAACAAGTAATAATTTTCATCTAATACTCATAATAAACTTACGACCCCACATTTATAATACCTATTATGATCTGTAATATTTTAAGGAAAATATACCGACCCACTTTACAGTGTACTTTACTGACATTTATTTTGTTTACACTTATTTTAGTTGTCGCCATTATGCAGTCGCTATTCTGAGTATCGGAGACGCTTTGTTCGCCTATGGAAGACCGTTGTCGTCAGAAAAAAATCACAAAAAATAACGCGATAAAAACCCGTTTTTTTCTATGTTGCGCAACTTAGATTTTGCTAGACTTTTGATATGATTCATGTTTTTCCATATACTTTCTATACCAGGTAAAATATTTTCTGTTGCAATTTGTTTGAGGTCGATTTACAGACTGACTGGACTATCGCTGCAATTCTTGACTTTCTGTACTTCTTGGACTTGCTGCACTTTTGCCTACTACGTCTCTTTGACTTGCTGCAACCTGTAAACTTGCTGTTTTACTTTTACTTGAGTGATTCTTGGATAAGCTGTACTATTTAGACTTGCAGCGCTTACTGGACTTGTTTCACGATTTGGACTATTTAGGTTGCTGAAACTTGTTTTTATGAAAGCAGACTTACCTTGTTCCTGGAAAGTATACCTCTTCTAAGTCTTGATTTGTGGTTTTAAGCGGACTTTTTCAGACTTGCTTGCTCATTGGAGACTATGAGAATAATGGTACTGTTTGTTTGGATTTTTTATTTCTTTCAATTCATATGTATGTAGCAAGGACAAAATACTGATAGAAAACAAATAGGTGACGTAACAATAAAAACGACGACGCAGTAAAATAAAACAAAAGTGTGTTTCTTTTAACATATTAAATTCTCATTACTAGATTTGAATAATCACACTAACATGAACTATTAAGTACAAAACAACTAAGTTTAATGTACTTAAACCGATATTTAAAAAATACATTTTATAGATTTATTCTACTAAAACGATAAAGAATGTAGTATAGTAATCTTGGCATATTGATGTAAATAATAAATCATAAGTTTCGTGGTCTTAATTTTATAGCCTATGTCTCCTCTTCATGACAACGACCTATTTTAACCTTTTCGTAATTAATACCAGACGAACACCTAATATGTCAGACGTACACCTATGTCGGTTTACTACTTGGTGACAATGACTTATTAACTTTGAAAGCATATGCTTTGACGGTAGGATTAGTACGTAACTTTGGACTTGCTGCATTTCTTGCACGAGCTGCAATTCTTGACTTTCTGTACTTCTTGGACTTGCTGCACTTTTGCCTACTACGTCTCTTTGAACTTGCTGCAACTGTAAACTTTGCTGTTTTACTTTTACTTGAGTGATTTTGGATAGCTGTACTATTTAGACTTGCAGCGCTTACTGGACTTGTGTGCACAATTTGGACTATTTAGGTTGCTGAAACTTGTTTTTATGAAAGCAGACTTACCTTGTTCCTGGAAAGTATACCTCTTCTAAGACTTGATTTGTTGTTTTAAGCGGACTTTTTCAGACTTGCTTGCTCATTGGAGAGCAGCTCTGACAATAAAGGTACTGTTTGTTTGGAATTTTTATTTCTTTCAATTCATATGTATGTAGCCAAGGAAAGGACAAAATACTGATAGAAAACAAATAGGTGACGTAACAATAAAAACGACGACGCAGTAAAATAAAACAAAGTGTGTTTCTTTTAACATATTAATACTCATTACTAGATTTTGATAATCACACTAACATGAACTATTAAGTTCAAACAACAAGTTTAATGTACTTAACCGATATTTAAAAAATACATTTTATTAGATTTTATTCTACTAAAACGATAAAGAATGTAGTAAAGTAATCTTGGCATATTGCGGTAATAATAAATCATAAGTTTCGTGGTCTTAATTTTATAGCCTATGTCTCCTCTTCATGACAATGACCTATTTTAACCTTTTCGTAATTAATACCAGACGAACACCTAATATGTCAGACGTACACCTATGTCGGTTTACTACTTGGTGACAATGACTTATTAACTTTGAAAAGATATGCTTTGACGGTAGGATTAGTACGTAACTTTGGGCTTGCTGCGTTTCTTGCACTCGCTGCAATTCTTGACTTTCTGTACTTCTTGGACTTGCTGCACTTTTGCCTACTACGTCTCTTTGACTTGCTGCGACCTGTAAACTTGCTGTTTTACTTTTACTTGAGTGATTCTTGGATAAGCTGTACTATTTAGACTTGCAGCGCTTACTGGACTTGTTTCACGATTTGGACTATTTAGGTTGCTGAAACTTGTTTTTATGAAAGCAGACTTACCTTGTTCCTGGAAAGTATACCTCTTCTAAGTCTTGATTTGTGGTTTTAAGCGGACTTTTTCAGACTTGCTTGCTCATTGGAGACTATGAGAATAATGGTACTGTTTTGTTTGGATTTTTTATTTCTTTCAATTCATATGTATGTAGCAAGGACAAAATACTGATAGAAAACAAAATAGGTGACGTAGACAATAAAACGACGACGCAGTAAAATAAAACAAAAGTGTGTTTCTTTTACATATTAAAATACTCATTACTTAGATTTTGAATAATCAACTAACATGAAACTATTAAGTTCAAACAACTAAGTTTAATGTACTTAAACCGATATTTAAAAAATACATTTTATTAGATTTATTCTACTAAAACGATAAAGAATGTAGTAAAGTAATCTTGGCATATTGCGGTAAATAATAAATCATAAGTTTCGTGGTCTTAATTTTATAGCCTATGTCTCCTCTTCATGACAATGACCTATTTTAACCTTTTCGTAATTAATACCAGACGAACACCTAATATGTCAGACGTACACCTATGTCAGTTTACTACTTGGTGACAATAACTTATTAACTTTGAAAAGATATGCTTTGACGGTAGGATTAGTACGTAACTTTGGACTTGCTGCGTTTCTTGCACGAGCTGCAATTCTTGACTTTCTGTACTTCTTGGACTTGCTGCACTTTTGCCTACTACGTCTCTTTGACTTGCTGCAACCTGTAAACTTGCTGTTTTACTTTTACTTGAGTGATTCTTGGATAAGCTGTACTATTTAGACTTGCAGCGCTTACTGGACTTGTTTCACAATTTGGACTATTTATGTTGCTGAAACTTGTTTTTATGAAAGCAGACTTACCTTGTTCCTGGGAAGTATACCTCTTCTAAGTCTTGATTTGTGGTTTTAAGTGGACTTTTTCAGACTTGCTTGCTCATTGGAGACTATGAGAATAAAGGTACTGTTTGTTTGGATTTTTTATTTCTTTCAATTCATATGTATGTAGCAAGGACGAAATACTGATAGACAACAAATAGTTGACGTAACAATAAAAACGACGACGCAGTAAAATAAAACAAAAGTGTGTTTCTTTTAACATATTAAAATACTCATTACTAGATTTTAAATAATCACACTAACATGAACTATTAAGTACAAACAACTAAGCTTAATATATTAAAATACATTTTACTAGATTTATTCTTCTACAACGATAAAAAATGTAGTAAGGTTATCTTGGCATATTGCGGTAAATAATAAATCATGATTAAATTTTACATAAACACATTTGTTACTGACCAGTTACACTTCAGAATAATAATTGCATTGTTATTGCAAGTGTTAGTTTCATGTTCTTTCTGTACATAGGTGACAATTTCATTTGATGAGGTGAAAGTTAAACCAGGCGCTAATGTAAACTTGAACGTTGGTGCGAGCCCAAGTTCAACATGCTTTGTCGGGATGCTCGATAAGAGTGTGACCCTTCTGGGAGGAAATAATCAGCTCACACCGGGCCAGGTAAGGCCTTCGCATACTCGGTCAAATATTGTTTCTTACATAGCATATAAAACTCTTAATTCTAAAGGAATACCTTCTATACTTGATAAAGGAGCTTACGGTAAATCAAATTTTACTTCTTCACAAGTTGAATATTTAGTCCATATTTGATGCTGATATTGGTTAAAAAGACCTAGATTCCCACTTCGATTGTTACTCATTAATTTTGATTTTTGTTTCTTTGGAGTCTGAAGACATGATTTTAACATTGTAAACATAAACCTTTTTTAATATCTTAAATAATCTGTTGGTTGTAAAATGCTTTTTCATAAGACAAGATAAAGTATGTTGTTATAAATAATTATTACATAATTATTTTTTAATATTTTATCACATGGCATTGTTTTCAATGTAAAAAAAATGTATGATATAGGAACTTACCATCACACACACCAGCCATTTGCTTTTTTCACTTCTCTTCTGATTTTTTAATGTAGTGTTAAATCTTACATCTGGTTTAATTTCCTATAGTCGTACGTTTAACTTTTCCCACATAAGCCTCCCACAGACTTTTCATTCTTTTTTATGCTCATATGCTCATTTGATAATGCAGTGTGGTGCTTATACTTGCCCGGGTGATAGGGATTATGTTTGTGTCTTTATATATATTTTATATATATATTTTCTGGTTGGTTTCTTAACGTTTTAAGTCATGGCATAACAAAAAAACTTTCTCCGTTTCAAACTACTTTTTGCAATATTACCTCACAGACAATTCTATTAACCGGTTAAATATCCATATTTAATACATATTTATTATGGACTTAGAAGAGGTTTTCACTCTAGCGGGTGCCTGCATTACTTTTACATTGTATATTTAAATCGTCATCCGGATTAAATTTATATCTGAAGTGTCTACCTAACAGGCATGAAAAATTTCAATAGACACGAAGGACTTCTTGCTGAGAGATAATAAACATACATTGTATTATAAGTTAATTTGATATGCTAACTCAATATATGTCCTGAATGGAATGTATACGTGCTTTTAATAATTCTCTCTATGATTGTAATTATATTTTAAGCTATTTGAGAAGGTCAAGAAAGTGTCACGTCGCAAGCATCACGTCAGTTACTGGAAGGAAGACAAAGCTTATTGCGACAAGAAAACTGATGCAAAAGGTAGTAATAAACATTCATTATACGACCTTTCATTTATTAAAGTTTTCCCTGGTATCTTCCGTCGTCCATGTCAAAGGATTTAAAGGTTAAGGCCAAATGAGAATAAAAATGAGGCCATGTGACACAAATGGTCAAGTTAAGTCAATATTGAAGAAAATTATGAGATAGATCGATGCTTCAATACTTCAATATATTGTTACAGTTTGTAATTTCTCGAGAAAATGGATGTTATTCATTGCTGTTCACCTGTCACACAGTGACAACTTGAGTGATTGGTCGGATGACCACAGAAACACATACACATTGCTTTGATAATTTTAACGCACCGCTTTCTCTTCTAACGCGCACGTCATTGATATGGTTGGAATAACTTGGGATGACAAAAATAAAGAATACGAAGCCCTATCTTGCTGACCTGCTTCAGGTGTCCTGGCTGAATCCGGGGCATGTGGTTTTACAAAGTATTCAGAGACGAAGATGAAAAGTACTAGGGTGCATCAGTACGCATCGGGTACAATATGGTGAAATTTGAGAATTAATTGCAATGAATAACAACATGTATATGTTATTAACTCGTGCACTTGAATGCATTTAAGTTATAAGTAATACATTTCGAAATTTGTTACTCAGTAACAAGCTTGTTCGGACAATTCCCTAAATTATAATAAGGTAAAACGATTTATTATTGTAAAATAGGTATGCCCGTGTTCCAGACAAAACTGATTTTATTCTTTATACTCTATTGCCTATGTCTCATCCTAAAATCCCAAAATGATATATTTAAGCCGCGCTATAACAAAACCAACATAATGCGTTTGCGACCAGCATGGCTCCGGACCAGCCTGCGCTTCCGCGCAGTCTGATCTGGATCCATGCTGTTCGCTATCAGTTTCTCCACTTGTAATATGGTTTGTAAGTGAACAGCATGGATCCTGATCAGACTGCGCGGAAACGTTGGTTTTGCGCGGCTCATTTCTTATATTTATGATTTTCCACTTTGTCTTATGATAAACTGAGCGGTCATTTATCTGTGATCATGGATTTACATAAAACAAGTTGCGAAACATTGCTTTATTTGACATAATGCATAACTTTTTGTAAACAAACCTGCGTTGTCATACATATCATACTGTGATTTATAAAATGAACCAATAAAGCATGTTATATGCATATGATTATTGATAAAATATATACTTTCATGTCACGTACATGAACCAGGTCTCTATGTAACACTTGCAGGTAAATGCATTCTCCGAATAATGGTGTGTAGAAAATACACAGAAAAATCTCAATTATACATGAAATTGTTATTTTTACATTTCTATCCGGAATCAGAAATTTTATGCACATAATGTTTTTAAGAGTTTCTAATTAGTTTCATTTTTATCATAAGAGCCAGAGTTACACTACACCTATGCAGTGCCTTTAGTCGTCGGTGCAGAACAGTCTTTTAGGGTAAGTTTTGTTGGTGTTGCTTTATTTGGATGATTTTTAAAGGGAAATTCAAAAGTAAAATGTGTTCTGTGATATTGAAAAATGAAACAAGAAATCAGTTTATGGAGAGACCAATCTGCTCATGCTATGGACTTGGAAAGGTTTGATAATTTGTTAACATCGACGAGTACTTGACATTTGCGAGACGCAGAAAAATACGACATATTGGTTATGTTAACGATTATTGATGCCGTTGTTATGTCGACGATTATTTTTCGTTATAGGACGCATGAATTTACAAATACATTGCTGAATCTTTTGTCACAAATTTCTGATATCTATATGACAAAAAGTTACGATATCAACAATTCTTAAACTGTTATGACTGGTAATGACTGGTTATATAGACAAACATGAAATCTTTACAAGATTCGGGAAGTAACGATATCCTGATTATACTGATGATTACTTTATCTTAACAAGTCACAGAAGAGTACGATATTTTGTGTACAATGATGGTTAATCTACAAGAAGCTGCATTATACAGGTTATAGCAACTTTAATCTAAACATTTTTATGGCCCCACAATGTGGGAGAATATAGCGTTGCACTTGTCCGTCCGTCCTTTCGTACGTCCCGAAATATTGTGAACGCAACTCCTCTTAAACCGGATGGCATATTTTGCTTAAACTTACAGGGATGAACAACCTTAATGTGTAGATGGTAGTAAAGGAAGGAATTTTTGCTGCGACCAAATTTAACAGAATTATGGCCCTTTGTTGATTTTTTCACTATATACTTTTTAGAAATTTTGTGAACGCAACTCCTCTTAAACCAGATGGCAGATTTTGCTTAAACTTCCAGGGATGAAAAATCTTTATGTGTAGATGGCAGTAAAGGAAGAAATTTTTGCTGCGACCAAATTTAACAGAATTATGGCCCTTTGTTGATTTTTTCACTATATACTATGTAGAAATTTTGTGAACGCAACTCCTCTTAAACCGGATGGCAGATTTTGCTTAAACTTCCACGGATGAACAACCTTAATGTGTAGATGGGAGTGAAGGAAGGAATGTTTGCTGCGACCAAATTTAACAGAATTATGGCCAATTATGGCCCTTTTTGATTTTTAGTTTTCAAATTGTGGCACATGTAGTCCAAACAATATTTTGACCTAGAGTCATAAGATTGACAGAACAGTGACGTGTGGGGGCATCCGTGTCCTATGGACACATTTCTAGTTAATAGCTACAAAGGTACGATTCTCAGGCCAAATCGATCTTCATAATATCGTAGACAACGCTGGGAGATTTTGTTTATACTGATTTATCAACGTTAATTTGATATCGACGTTTACTAGTCTTAGGATCTAATGTAACAATATCTTGGACTTATCGACAATCATAAGATCTTGTCAAGACACGGAATGTAACGATATCTCTGATATACCGACATTTATGAGATATTTTTAGCACACGCAATGATACGATATCTTGTATATATGTTGGCGTTTACTAAATATTTTTAAAACACGGAATGTAACGATATTTTGAATATCTCGAAGCTTATAAGATCTTTTCAAGACACACAATACATTTTGTGTATAACGATATTTTGGATATATCGGCATTTATATTAAGATCTTTTAGGACACACAATATTGTTTCGATATCTTTGATATACCGACGTTCAAAAACCGGTCATATTTGTCATCTTTCAATGGGAGCATCCTTATACATTTATATTATACAATTTTGAATATTTTTATGAACATATGTGCCAAAAAAGGGTGGTTGATTATCAACATTTAGAAATATAAATATCTTCATTTGTAAACCTACTCTATTTTCACTAATTGAACACGAAAAGCACATATAAATTTGCAAATATATATCTTAATAAAAGACTTTAAAAAAGAAAATGAAATCCATAATCTGACCAGAGAAAAAGAAAAGTACAAAAATGAATTTAAAAAAAGGTTGGCTTCCAGTAAGTTTGAATCAAGACCCCATGCAAATTCAGTAGTCTCCCTGTAAATGAACACACTTCAGAAAGGATATTCTGTTTAAGACACCTAATACCTTTACTAGATGCAAAAAAAATCCATATTTTGTTACATTGACTTCATAATTATGATATACTTATATGACACAAAACGGTATGAAATGCTGGTTAAATGTACGTTAATATTAACCTTGCAGACATGGAAATTAAGTAAATACACGGAACCTTAGATGAAAATTTAAAATCGTCAAACGTTAAAATACTTTTTAAATTGCATTTTGTTATGTCAAACAGGATGTGAATTTATGGGTTGAGACAGATGGTAATCTACAAAGTCGACCGTGTTCAAGAAGGCATTATATACGAAGTGAGTATTGAGTATTATTTTATGTATACATATTATTGAGATTAAATATGTAAGAGAGTAAAATAAGCTGATTTATATTTATTTTAATGTCTACAAGAACTTTGTTTTGATGTATTATATGTTATTCTTGTTGTTGTGTTTGGAAGTAGGTGTTGTACACATTTCCATGGCCTACTGAACTCTGTTCGGTTGAATGCGCTCAGTAAATCGAGGGTGCTCTATGCGGCGACAAGGTTGCGCGACCGTCGAATATTGCTCTCATGATTAACATAGCGATATAAAAGATATAAAGGAGGAAAACAGATATACTTGTTGAAGAAAAAATCATAAAAGCGAAATAATATAATGATGTTATCCCTCATTCTGATTGTCCTGTTGCCAGATGGTCTTCTATATGACATCGACATTGATATCAACATTTTAAAAGGTCTTGTCTGAAAGATTGTTTTGTCTTAAGTATAACCCGTTTATCAGTCAATTACAGAAAATGAGTGGAAATTTTATAATTCAACATTCAATGTCAAGGCCATTTAAAGCTTAATATCAAGGTCAGTTCAACATTTTAAAAGGTCTTGTCCGAAAGGTTGTTTTGTATAAGTATGAAGATAATCCGTTTATAAATTACTTAGTTACAGTCAATTATAGCAAAAATCAGTGAAATTCAATAATTTAACCTGAAAAGTCAAGGTGACTTTAAGTCACGGTCATTTTAACATTTTAAAAGGTCTTGTCCAAAAGGTTGGTTTGTCTAAGTAGAATATAATCCGTTTATGAATAACTAAGTAAGCAACAATCAGTGGATATTGAATGTATTTATCTTTCAAGGTCAAGGTCATAAATTTGTTAAGGTCAATTTGAGTGATGGTCGTATCCTTAAGACCATTGTCCTTCATATAAGGTTAATCCATGTATTAATAACAAAGTTACAGTGTTATAGTCCAATGCAGCAAAAATGATGGACATTTCAATAAGTTGACCTTCAAGGTCAATGTCATTTATGAGTGAAGATTAATGCATGTCTATTTAACTTAAAGGTCTATTCTAAATTATTCTTATGTTCAAGTTTGAAGACAACCAATCAAAAATTACAAAGTTATAGCCACTAATCAAAAATCCAAAATCAAGCACAATTTAGGCGTTTAACCTTGAAGGTCAAGGTGTCAAGGAATCTGTGTTCTTTATTACGGGTCAAGTAATACTTGATATTTTTAAAACACGGAATGTAACGATATTTTGAATATCTCGACGCTTATAAGATCTTTTCAAGACACACAATACATTTTGTGTATAACGATATTTTGGATATATCGACATTTTATTTTCTTTCTTTAAAAATGTCAGGTTTTTAAGTGACACTTTCTATTCATAGTGTGTCCCCTTAATATAGTATGTAGGATTTAATACATAGAGGATATTGAATGAGTGTAGTTTAATACTAAATTTATTGAACGAGTTGAATATAATCATATTATGCGAGCCTCTGGCGAGCATAATATTGTTTTATTCAACGAGTTCAATAAATTTAGTATTGAATCTACACAAATATAATATTCTATTTATCACATATATAAAATATGAACAGTAAACTGTTAAAATAAGTAATTTTTCAATGACGCGCCTATAGTGTAACGCCAACATTAGCGCGCTTTAACGCTATGTTTCTATATAGCGCAAATGACGTCACGTCAAAGTGTTATTACACTAGTGTAATATCGTTTTTATTAAATGGCTTTATTGCACTCCTACGCCGCGGTTTATGTGATAAATATTAATATATCTACTTTCTGTTAAGTCAAAACAAGTCAATTTCATATTTACAAAAGGGGCGTGTAGCAGTTTTTAATATTTACAAAAATCATATTTTGAGCATAGTATATCAAGGGAACGAGGTATTATTTCTTTATTTTATAGACAACGTGAGAGAGCAATAAATTTAAAACATTTAGAGAACAAAACATGTTAACTAAGAAGGTAGCACTTTCATCTTTTTCTTCATTTTATTCCTCATAACTTACTGGTATCTTTATTTTTGTGTCAGCTCCAGTAAATGATGGTGAGATAGAGGAAAAGATGCGTAGAATGTTTGAATGGTCCCCTGGTGGGGTACTGAGGGACGATAGAATAGACACTGCCTCTGAAGTTTCAGACGCAGACACCGTCAGTACCGAATCTGAAACTATAGAAAGTATAGACGTAAGAACATACTTCCCGGAAACTTGGCTGTGGGACATTATCAGTATCGGGTCGGTTTAAAATAAATCAAGTACATGTATATTTAAATTTGTTATTGAGGTTACCGCAATATATAGACCATCTGTAAAAAAAGAATTTACTTCTAGTGTATATTTTTCATCAAAAATAATAAATTATAACATTTTTTTTCTAAACAAATCTTCACTTTTTTCAATCTTATAAAAACATATTTTACAGACATTTTCATTATTTTTGCTTGCATAAATGCGTGTGCCTTTGTACGTTTATTTTCAAAATTTTAAGTTATGTGACGCTCAGTGAAGCATGAAGCAATACATGTTTTCTTTAGAAGAGTGATTCACAATGCATGTAGTTATTAATGCTATAAAATTTCATTATTTTTTAATGATTAGCGCATCAGTTGAATATGTCTTTTTATTTTATCAATTCAATTAGTTCCGTGTCATGAACAATATAAGTATAATTCTTCATTCTATTTATATCCTCTCTAGATTTGGATAAGTTTCATTAGTAAAATTTCTTTAATAAAAGTTATTTTCGCATATACTAAAGAATGTTTTAGCTTGTTCTTCATCTTTGGAAATAGTTTGTGTTTAAACTCATCAGTTCAATAGCTTTGTGTCCTCTGAACGTATTCGCTGTTGCTGGTCTACGCCTCCCTAGCAACGTGTTTTAATGCTCTTTCTAAGAGCTAGTTTCTTTCCGAAAACGGCTAACTTAGGAAGGTCTGCGAACTCTTGAAATAAGTTTGCATACAACTTCTTGTTTCAATTCTTGTTTGGGGTAATTATGATAATATTAGTAGATAATGGTGAATTCTTATCCAAGTAAACCGCGTTATAAACTAAAGCAACAAGAATAAAATAGTTTTCACACAGTTCTTAATGGGGAGTTGATGGATATGAAATAAACAAATTAATGAAATATTCAAAAGGAGACCATTATCTTTCTACATTTTAACTGTACTTTTTTATTATATTTTAGTTCACAATATCATGTGCGAACTTTTTATTTAACTCTAATATCAACTTTAGGCCATTTTTAGCTTTCTATTTTTAAGAATCATATTTGTAGAATAGTTACCTATTTGGGAACGTTCATTTTCAACGGTTATTTTATAAAGTTAGAAAGTTCTAAATTCGAAATTGGTTCGCAGGTACACTATGTTTTGCAATAGTTGACATTTAACATTTATTTCTAGTTAAATCATTAAACCTATTACAGAATTGTTATTATGTGTTTGTCAAGCTATTACGTGAAACAATTACATCATAATTTCTCATAGAGAAGATGGGGTGTTGAACATTACCACTACAATACCCGACACTATAACAGAATGGATTGGTAACACCGTATGTACACACGAAAGTGACGGTGTGGGTGTTACGGAGATGACTGGCGTTACTGCATTCAAACCTTTCTTTGTGTCACTTACGTTACCTTATTCTGCTATCAGAGGAGAGATGTTACCTATAGTTGTGACTGTATTCAACTATCTCTCTGATTGTATTACTGTAAGTGATTCTTTTTTCAAATACACATACTATTATGTCTGTTTTATTCTCTATACAAAATACAATATAAGTACGAGTACGTATACTCATGACATTTGTAGATGTTACAAAGTTAAAAAAAAAACAATTATTGTGTCTAACATGAATATTTATGTTTAATAATGTATAAAGTACCTGCTTTATTTTGGTTTTGTTTATAGTTTCAAACAATTTTGATAAATTTGAAACAACCTAATAGCAATCTTATCCCATCTAAGGTTAAACACATATCATTAAAGCCATTAAAGCTATGAGAACATGAGAGTCATATTTTATGTCACCAAATTCCAATAACTTGGATAGTGACTGAAAGAACTCCACAGCGCTTGTTTCAGTTAAAACTATATATTATCATATGTTATTTATCCGTCACTTTTCTCATCAGCTTGAAGTACTTTTTAAAGAAACAGAAGGTTTCCTGTTTTCTGAGTCTAGCGCCAGGTCTAGACAATTTTGTTTATGCGGTGGAAACAGCGAGTCAACCAAATTCTTCATTATACCAACAGTCATTGGCGAAATTGTTCTAGAAATTATCGTAAGTTGTGTTGGTTAAATACTTTTGTGGCTTAAGCATATACGAGGGCTGTTCAATAAATACGCGGAAAAGTGTCGTTTTTTTCTTATTTTCCAAGTTAGCCGAATAAAACTTATACAGTAATAGAGACAAACATCTTTTGAAAATATACAGCAAATACTGCCGTTCTGGCATGAAACATATGTTAACAAACGGTCGTTACGGTAACGACATGTAGCGATAACCGGCCCACTTTTGTTCATTTTGACAAATAATCACTGGTTAATAATGATGTCGCATTTTAACGTTTACCGTGCGATTTTCAAACTTTGCATAATTTACGCGCAATATGTTGACGTTACGCACATGACGTCATGTTAGTGTGTGACGTCATTTAGGCGTTAAGCGGCTTTATTGTTTAGTGCGTATGCGTTAAAATGGCATCGGAACAACGATCTTCAATAAAATTTTGTGTTCTGAACGTGTTTTCAAAGAAAAAAACAATGTTTAGATTACATAAAGCATATGGTGATAAGGCGATGAAGAAAACAGCAATGTAAAAGTGGTATGCCCGATTTCTAGGCGGCCAACAAAGCATTCATGACGACAAACGCAGTGGACGTCCCAACGTAACGTCAAATCACGTCGCTGTGATAAAGGAGCTGCTTGACAATGATCGTCTGATACCAATTCGCGAAATACACGAAAGATCGTATTGTAGCATTGGCACAGTGCATCGCATTATTCACACTGAACTCAATATGAGACGCCTGTGTGCCAGGTGGATTTCTGAAATGTTGACGGACGAACAAAAAGTGGAAAGGGTGCGGTGTTGCAATCAATTTCTCAGACGCTTTCATAGGGAAGGTGAAAGTTTCTTGCGGCGGATAGTGACTATTGATGAGACATGGATCAGCCTATACGAACCTGAAACAAAATCACAGTCTTCTATATGGGAAACTCCAGGATCGCCTTCACCTAAGAAGTTTAAAGTCGGCCCATCTGCCACAGATGGTCATCGTCTTCTTTGACGTCGACGGTATGATACTGAGCCACGCGGTACACCTTGGTCAGGCTGTGACGGCGAAGTATTATTCTAAGGTGAATAAATTTATCTAATTTATTATAAGATATTCATTATTATGTCAATACATTACCTAATAATTATTCATATTTGTGTAAGTAATTATGAAAATAAATTTAACGACAATTTACTGATGATTGTACATGTATTTCTTTATGCTTTAAGATTCTGAGACGCGATCTTATGAGGGCGATGAAAAAGAAGCAGGCCACGAAAATCGCCGACACGATATTTCATCACGACAACGCACCGTCTCATTGTGCGGTCGAAACACAGTACACAATCAGGAAACTCGGCTTCGAAGTCCTCTAGCACCCTGACCTCGCACCATGCGATTTCTTTCTGTTCCCGCACCATGCGATTTCTTTCTTTTCCCGACACTGAAGAACGTCCTGCGGGGAGAACACTTTGATGATATGGACGAGTTGTCCTACGCGGTGCAAGGTGCAATTTCTGAGATTAATAATGGCTCCTACTTTAATAGTTTCATGTCATGGATCAACCGTTGTAAAAAGTGTGTTTCCTTTCACAGAGAGTATTTCGAGAAGGACTAGGTGCGTGTTTTGGGTGACTGTCATACATGCGTTGAGCGTGACGTCGTTACGACATTGGGCCGGTTTCACTGCGATAACCTTAGAAATACTTGAAATTGTACTTTTAATTTTTATCCGATTTTATTGAAATTTTCTGTACATGTTTATTATATGTTTATTTACAAAATGTAAAGAGAATGTCAATTTCCCATGAATATTAAAAATAAAGCTGCACTTTTCTGCGTATTTATTGAACAGCCCTTGTATACATTTGTTCATATTTGTAACTTTACAACTAAGTTGGTGCCTAGAATGTAATCGCTTTCCTTCTCGTTTCTTCTCTCAAAATAAGGCCTGATTTTATTAACAAGGTTAGAAAGGTAGAATTCTTTCAGAAAGAATAATGCTTGTTATATTTTGCATTGATTTTGCGGCGTCACGGACGTCAATTATTGTTAGCTTGCGTCGGAATGCGTACCCCTTATTGTCATTTGTTATTTCAAAAAATTGTTTTTGTAAACATGTTATATTTTTTTCACTGTAGATGATATATTCCGATAGTTATCATTTGTAAAATTGTATACGTAAATTGAACAATGTGACCAGTAGAACCGTAGTTCTATTTCTTTTTGAACAACCGTCATATTGTACACAATTCTGACAGTAATTGCATTTCTTGTGTGTTTCGTTTAACTATCGTACTACTTTTCATATCTATAATTTCTCTACCATGTCATGTATTATACATTCCAGGCTGTGTCAATTGATGCTGTTAGTTTATGTAGAGACGTTGTTCTTGGTGAAATAGAAATAGGCGTTACTGATGGTGTACAAAGACAACTTCTCATAGAGGTATGTTGTTGTGAATTTATTGTTCTTTAGCTGATTGGTTATTTGTCTGTAACAAATCTGTTAAACGCAAATAATAATACACATTCATTCCATAAACAATTGATAATTTAAGCAAACATGAATACTAGTCTTGTTGAATTTTACAGAAAATATCAAAGTATATCTTTGTGCTTGTTTTATTTTTTTTATATTAAATTTTGGTTTTCAGCCAGAAGGCGCACCACAAGAGCAAACAAAGAGTTATTTCTTATGTGTTCAAGGTAAGTTATTATAACTTGTGTATCTTGTAAATATTAATATACACCTGCTTTACTCAATCCTATGTCTTATGCAACATGTGAACGCATTTTCAACAGAACATCATACCTCAATACCAACAGGATACAAAGCTTTGATTGTTACAGACTGGTTAGAATAAGTTATGCTCATTTACTGATTGTATACAGACTGTAGAGATATATAAAAAGTAATGATCTTAAAAACGACAGGGATTTGTCATAAATAGTTTCATCATAATATGCAACTTAACGTTTGTTCAAATCATACAATTGTGGTTAAAAGTGGCCATTTGCCTAGATGTATTTCATATAAAAGTGAGAAGAAAAGAAAACTGTTTGTGTAAATTTTACTCATTTTTACCCCAGTGTAGCAAACAAACATTACAATACGTATTACCTCAAATTCGTAATGACCTCTTTTTTTCTAAAGTAATCACTTTCCTTTATAAAGAAGTAGAATTGTCTTCTTCACTTTAAGACTGCTTGTGAACAGTTGCATTTCTGTCAGTCAATCTGTATACACAAGTTAGGTTGGATTACAAACCAAGGCTATTAATGCAATAACATAACATTACATTTGTATATATAGATATAATTATATATGATTTTAGAATCAGAGATTAAAACTGAAGTGGTTGAACTAAATCTTCCAGAAGACGTGGTAGACAGCTCGGAACGTGCCACCGTCTCCGTCGTTGGTACGTTCGATTGTTATTAAATAAATATGCATATAGTGTACATATTATTTCACAGAATTTTGACTGTTTTGTACTTAAGGAAAAAAGGGAATTAATCTTCTGTGAAGATGCAACGTTTCTTTTGTGTGGGTAATAAACCGTTACATTTTTGTTATGGTTTCACCATTTGCTAGCCGTGAATAATATAGCTTATGTCATAGACATTTTGTAATATTTTGCAATGTTATATGCTGAAATGTAATATTTATATCTTAAATCAGTTTCGTTTCCTAAACAAGAGTAAGTAAAATTTGCTTTTGGGGTAGCTATGTAAAGTAGTATTAAGAGAACAGAATACAATATGATTTGGAACATAACAGTGTTCCTAGTCATTACACATATATACAGCATACATTAAATACAGTGAGGGTGAAAATACAAACATACAAATTTAACAAATGTACAGTAGTAATAATCATATAAAAATGTATGTTTCAAACTAATTATTTGCTTCCAATACAAAATTTTCAGGCGATGTTATGGGTCCGACGCTTACAAATTTGAAAAACCTACTACGAATGCCGTATGGTTGTGGAGAACAGAATATGGCATCATGGTCACCGAACATATATGTTTTACGATACTTGGAAAATACTGAGCAACTCACGGAAGAGCTTGAGAATCAGGCGGAGGGATACATGAGAATTGGTTAGAATGTTATAACATATTTAAACATAATTTGTTAACATGTGTGCGTAAACCTATATGTAATACATATTGATTTATGTTACTTCGTGTGTGTGTGTGCGTGTGTGTGTGTGTGTGCGCGCGCGTGCGTGCGTGTTCGTGTGTATTTATACATGCGTTTTTCCAATGCAGTTTGGCATGAGTATACAGAACACTTATTTATATCATAATTATGTCAGTGGATGGTCACGATTTTTACAATGTGAGTAAACAAATGATGAATCGATTTTTTTTCTTATATTGACTCATACTTGCACAGACACATAGTTTATTTTATGGTATTTGATGTAATTGAAACTTCAGGATATCAACGACAGATGAAATACCGACATAACGATAATTCGTACAGTGCATGGGGAGAAAATCGTTATGGAAACGCTACCGGAAGTCTGTGGTTGACGGCATTTGTCGTAAAATCTATGGCGCAGTCGTCTGCTTATATTGTAGTAGACAAAGACGATATACTAAGAAGTGCACGCTGGTTAGTAAGCCATCAACTTGATAATGGCTGCTTTCCTCAGGTTGGAAAAGTTTTCAGTTCCTACCTTAAAGGTGGACTTGGTGGACACAATCCAGCAGGACTTACGGCGTTCACTCTTATAGCACTTGTTCAAGCTGACCTTGGTATAGAGGTTAGTTGTTCCGAAACCTACCTGAAGTACAGATATAAGTTCAAGACAAGTTACACCAAAATATTAGACGAGTATTGTAATCAATGAAAATGGCATGGCATTTCTTTTGTTGTCAGCTAAATTCATTTCTTAAAAACTATCCTTTAACAAAAATGAATATAAAAGTACTGCAGTACTAAAGTCTTGTAATCGCGTTACAGTGTTAATCTATGGTCTTTTTTAAATTTATAGATTTGCATCGTAAGTTATCGTTATATTGTAAATTTAATGCATTAGAACAATATAAATAGCTTAAACAGGCCTCCTTTACTGTTACTTCTCTTACAATTGTTTTAGTAGAGGAGGTAAAAAAAGTATTTTCTTATATTAGTAACTACCCTTACAAATGTGATTGGTTTTCACAACGTTATTAATATGTATATTTTCAGTTTGAGTATAATATAAACAACGGATTTCATTCCTGTTTGGACTCATTCCATCCAAATGACATCGACACGTATACTTTATCCTTGATGTTATATGCATACACATTAATTGATCTTGAAGGTCCAAGACGACGGAATGTACTAGATGAGTTAAACAGACGGCGTATTAATAAAGGTAGGCCTGTTATTACATTTACTCTATACATTTCACGATTAAGTAGATAATTGATCCGTGCTAGTTTGCAAAAATTATTTTGTAAAAAAAATGATAAAGTTTTTTATCTATAATCATGTTCTTTATTATTACCAGTAAGATTTTTATTTCCATGTTTTATAGTGGGTAACATTTGTTTGCTCTATGGGTTTGGGTTTCCAAAAAATTTAAACATCTTTGCTAAAACCCGATATTTTTCAAATTTTGATAAAAAATTTTTGTTTTTTTATCCATACCAAAAATTTCTCTGCTCTCTAAACCTGTTTTAATCGGGGAACAAGTTCCCCTTTACTTTATATGTTTAGTACCCCCGAAAAAATTCCGTTGCCCCCTTTTTTTAACTGGGTCAAATTCTCTTTACTTTGCCTGTTTTGTACCCTGAACAGATTCCGTTTGCTATTTCTGTTATATAATGACAAATTGTTCTTAACTATTGTTGACTAAACCCGGCATCTTTGCTCTTCTTTATATTATAACCAGACTCTTTTCATATTTTTGTTAAACATGAACCCTTTAAATCCCTTTTTCACCCTTCTTTAGTCTACTTTTTTTACTTTCCTTTGGTTAAATTTTTATGGTCGATCTCTCTTTGCTTTCGTCGTATTTCTTCTGTTTATCAAGTGCGGGATCATACACAAATGCCAATTAAAAATAATCTCTATTTAAAGAAAATACGCTACTACGCATAGGTCACATTATAGAAAAATTGTACAACCATATACCATTTTTCAAACGTAACCTATATCTAATTATGTTCACTCTTTTATCTTTTAGTTTATTAAATGCAAGATCTGAAATAACCTTATATCCTGCCTCGCCTTATTCCCAAATCCCTTCTGAGTGCTCTTTTTGAAGTGTGAGGACAAGTTCAATATGTAATTGTTGATCGAATATCTGTCGAAAAGAAAAACCTTCTGTTTTCGTTGTTCCTAGAGGGGCTTGTACATTGGCAGAGAGGGGATAAAGAGGTAGCGGAAACAAACGACAAATTTTACTGGTACCGAGCACCTTCAGCGGAAGTTGAAATGACGTCATACATCCTTTTATCTATGTTGGCTCAGGGTCATGACGTCATTGGAGATGCACAAGCGATTGTTCAATGGCTATCTCAACAGAGAAATCCTTACGGTGGCTTTTCATCTACTCAGGTTTGAATTCATACGATTGAAGTAAATAGATGGTTAACACTAGTATTATATCCCCTGAAACATACATGTACGTATAAAAATTGGAAACCTTACAATATCTATTTATCTTTTACAATGTGTCCTTGCTGGGGAACCATACAGCGCTTTTCATGGAATGTCACGAATGTTTCACAGTGAAGGTTCCTTATTAAGAAGGCAGGGGACCAAATAATCAGCAAAATTTTCCAGAGGCCGTAGAACATGTTACCAATTTGTTTATGATTTTATAAACACGCCTGAAACTAACGGCTTGACATATGACAAAATTTAAATGTTGAAAAAAGTAACTGTATGCATGCATTGCTACATGTTATTACAATCAATATGTAATTTATATTACCCGCATATAAAATCAAGCTTAACATAAGAAAAAATGCCCAATTTTTATGAAAACACACATCACTTCAGAATGTCTTAAATAATAATACATGTACAATAATCATAAACTTTGAAAATGCTAAACGAAGTGTCAGTCATACGTTTAGATTTTATGCAAGATTTTTTTCAAATTTTCCTTCTATTTTTTTTAGCAGATGACTTTTTGAAATTTACAATTTTTCATACGTTTTAAGTCATAAATGCAAACAAAGCACACAAATATAAAAGTTTTGCTCATTTTCTACATACAAATTACAAAGAACTATATTGACAAAAAATATAAACAATTTTCAAAACTTTCAAATTACAATGTCTCTATTATTAATAAAATTAATCGGGACCAAAGTACCGATACTAATGGATGTGTGTGCAGTTCACATCTGAGGATTTTTCTTAATTCAAATTTTTACCATTACATGTTTGAATACTGCTTGGACGCTAGGGGTGTTGGCGGTAGCTTGCGCTTTCCCGTTCCGGCCTTAAATATGCTCAAACTGAGTCTGCAATATCTTCAATTTTGCCGTTTTGAGCTTTCTGTAGGAGTAACATTTCTCTACTTTTTTTCAAAAACACAGAGAACAACTTCAATACAAAAATCATTTTACTGTCTTTGTTTTTAAGAATGTTAAATAAATTATGTACAATCCTAATCATCCGGGAAGTCAGTGCCCTAGAGTATGTAAAGAAGTAAATGTTTAGGGTCTTTAAAAGGTAAAAAGATGTGCAGTTGTAACTTGATTCCATCTAAGCATAATGAAATCATAGATTCAATCCCAACGTTGGACATGACTAACCTTCTCAAGAAGCAACCCAAATAAGCATAAAGCTTTCTTAACATATTTCAACTGAAATAAATATTGTTGAACAAGAAATAAGTAGAATTCGCGCTCAAGATTGATGTTTACTTGTTGAATTAAAGTTTTTGTTTCTTCTTCTGTTGTGGGTTATTTCAATTTGATTTCTTTCATTTTTCTGTTATGGCCAATACATCTTTATGTAAACTATGGTGATATATTTAGAGAAATAAAGAAAATACTTATGAATTACAGAAAAACAAACAAATGCAATGTGATAGTTTTGTATAATTGTAGGATACAGTTGTTGCATTGCAAGCACTCGCTGAATATGGTAGATTAACATATAGAGTAACATATAGATTAACATATTCCGAGGGCACTGCAGCTAGAGTTGAGGTTAAAAATCAGAACGTTCACCAGGTGTTTTCTGTGACCCCAAAGACAAGCTTAGTATACCAGTCAATGGATATTGATCCTAACCATGGACCCATGGAGTTGACCGTGACTGGTTCAGGCTGTGTGTTATTGCAGGTAAAATATTAGCAATAAATCTATGAATAATAGTTTTGCTTTTTGTATGTTCTGTTCGTTTGTTTTGAAAATTATGCCATAGCGCTGGGTTTCACATTTATTGTTTATAGTTCATGGGTTTTCACGGATACTTTCCAATATTATTCCGTTCAGTTAACTCTTCAAAAACAATAATCTAAATCTGTCTGAAATATTCAAAAAAGCAGATCCCTGTCGACTTTGAGATGGGGGGAATTTGTGAAAATTCATTTGTGTTTGTAATACTAACTGCTATGTTCAGTCCCTATCAGCTTGTATACTTTTTTGATACGTATGAACATGTTTTTGTAAATGATTATCAGCTGGTTACTATAGCCCAACCCAGTGTGTTATTTTTTGTAAAAAAAATTGAAATACTTGTGGGTCATTGGGGGCGGGTTTTTTTTTAAAAATCATTTATAAAAATTTTAGTTTCAAAAATTTTGGGTTTTTTTGGTTAACTGAAAGTAAAAACTATATAAAAGAGATGAGATTGTTCCAAGCTTTCCCCGGGGGAAAAGGGCAATACTTTTTACGGAGGGCAAACCCCAAAAAATGTTTTTTAAAAGCTCCCCAAATTTTTTGCCAGGTTGTGACTTTTTTTGAAAAAAATTTGACATTTTAAAAGGTATTTAAATTTTTTCCCCTTTAACCCAAATTTATTTTGGCCCTATATGTATGGTTAAAAATTCCTAAAAAGCCGGGGTTTCCAAAGTTTGTTACGTTTTTTTTAAAACTGCCGTTTTAGTTTAAGGGTGTCACATTTTGACGGATAAAGCTCCCAAAGTATTACCGAGCAATTGTTTTTTGTTTTTTTTTTTTTTTTTTTTTTTTTATTCTTTTGGTTTTGGGGGTTTTTATTCGGGTTTTTTTTAGGGGGTAGGGGTTTTGTTGTTTGTTTTGTGTGTGTGTGTGTGTGTGCGTGCGTGCGTGCGTGCGTGTGTGTGTGTGTTTCTTTTTCATATGTTAAACAAAGGTTGAGTCATTCTACATTCTTCGTTATCATTATCATCACCATTATCATTAAAATCATCAGTACATCATCTTCGTCATTATCAACATCCTAATTATCATTATCAGTACTGCACATCGTGATTATCATCAAAGGTACAACATCACATCATCGTGATCACTTTCGTCATTATAATTATCAATTATACATCGTCATCATTATCACTTTCATCAGCACATTATCATCTCTTTCATCGACAAAATTATCATTACATTGTCATCATTAACATCGTCATTATATTATCAATTCAAAATATTTAGAAGTAAAACAGCCTCATATTGAGAAAGTCAAATAAGTTTGTACCTTAAAAAGACGAAGAATGATTTGGGGAAAGATGATGTTGTGAAGAACTTTTATGATGAAAAAAAACGAAAAAGATTCAAATTAACAATTTTTTTAGTGACTATGTTTTTTTCTTAAACCCCCTTCAAAGACGGGGAGGTTTTTTCAAACGCTAGGCGTAACGTGCTCTTTAAAAGAGTCATTTTCGCGCCTTTTATGAAAAGGGTTTTCACGAAGAAAAACACAAAAAATAACAAACAATTTAATTTTTTTCATACTCAATTTTTTAAAACAAATTTTTTGTATATGAAAAAGGGGGTTTCAAAAATTGGGGAAATTTCTGAAGTGAAAATTTCCCAAATGGCGGATTCCCGTTTTTCCCTTCCCCTCTTAATGAGGGAAAAACCCAAAAAACCAATTTTCCCGGGTTGGGAAACTTTTTCAATTTTATTTAACTAAATTTGCTAAGTTTCGGGGTGAAAAAAGAAAAAAAAGTTTTATAAAAATTTAAAATAGAATTTTTTAAAATTTTAAAACTGTTTTATATTCTGGTTTTTGCCCCAATGACATTAAAACAAATTAAAATTTAAAAGGCCAAAAATTTTTAAAAAAACTTGCCCAAGCTTTTTTACAATATTTTGTAAAAAATGGTCAAAAATTGATTTGAAAGGTTTTTAAAAAATGGAAAAAATACTCAAAGTAAATTTGACTATTGTTTTATCCCTTTTGCAAAATTTTCCCTCCCGAAAAATTTATTTCTTCTAAAACGTATTAGGCACATTAAAAACCGCCGGGCCCCGCCCTAGCCAAAATAATGGGTTTTTCGACCAGCAGGGTCCATTCTGTTCGCTACAGTTTCTCACTTTAAATATGGTTTGTAAGGGGGAAAAGTATGGGCCCCGGGTCAGACCGCGTGGGGGGCGGGATGCTGGTCTGGATCCATGCTGGTCGGAAAAAAAAATTTTTGTTGGGTTTTTCGGTTACGCGGGTAATATTAAAAAATTTTTTGAGACAAAGTTCTCTTTTGTTTGCATTTTCTTTTTTAAAAAGAAAAATGTTTTTTTTTTTACAGCTTCTAAATCGAAGAAAATAGAAATTTTGAAATGGGTTTAAAAAATTGTGGAAGCTTTTTTTTTGAATGAAAATTGTATTGTGAAAAATTTCCACCTTTTACCCCTAACCCGCTTTTAAAAAAAATCCTGCATTTTTACCACACTTTAATGAAATTTTATAATAGAAAATTCGGCACGCCGCAAACCCGGGGGCTCTAACAAGATCTCTGGATTGGGAGGTCCAGTTGCTAACCATACACCCAAAGTTATTTCATCTCCCTGACTTTCCCTTTTTTTCCCCTTTTAAATTCCTTTTTTGGGGGGGAAAGGTCTTATAAAACAATAAATGTGTTTGCCATAAGATTTAAAGACTCATTATTCGCTATGGGTTTGGTGCAGCATGTTAACTTTGGCACACAAGCTTTTGGCAATACTCTTGACGTTGTTATTACGGAAGCAGTCAATGGGGTTGAAATTGTGGCATGTGAACCTGGTGATTTTGTGTCTGATCGTCGAGCAATAAAATGTGTTACAAATGTTCAAAAAGAAAACATAATCAGTAAGTCAGTCAAATTTAGAAACTTTAAAAATATGGACGAGTCATCTGTTAGAAAAGAGTTCAGTGAAATTACAATAGATCAGAGTGATGTTAATCTATACGTGAATGAGTTTGAAACTAAAATAAAGAACGTTCTGGACACTCATGCACCTGAAAAAGAGATAACAAAAGTAATTAGAGCTCCTAAACCATGGTTCACTCCCGAAATTCTCACCCTTAAAACATCGACTCGGAAAGCTGAAAAAATATGGAGAAAATATCGTCAACCACAACAATATGAATCATTCAAAAAGTCTCGGAGCCAGTACAATGATGAACTCGAAAAAGAGAAAACAAAAGTAATAAGTGAAAAAGTAACTAATACAAAGGGTGATTCAAAGAAACTGTACCAGTTAGTGTCTGAGTTAACAGGAACTTAATCAGAAAACCCAATGCCACCTGCATGAGTACAGTGATAGTGAGCTCTCCGAACACTTTGCCTCATTTTACATGAATAAAATAGAGAAAATACGTGATGACCTGAAAGCATTTGATAAATTCGAGCCAAATACTAGAAACGTTCCATCTCTTCTTGCCTTTGATGAATTTTCAAATGACAATGTTAAAGAGCTGATAAATGAACTACAGACAAAATCTTGTGAATTGGACATATTACCGACAGCAATATTAAAACTATTCCTTTGAGAACTACTCCCAATAATAACAAAACTGGTAAACTTATCACTACAGCAAGGAATATTTCCAAATAAATGGTGAGCGCCTATCGTGAGACCACTTTTGAACAAAAATGGACTTGAAATTGTATTCTCAAATTATTGACCTGTGAGTAATGATCTGTTGGCAGCCATGGAAAAACAAGAAGTAACAGCGCTAATTGCGATTGATCTCAGTACCGTGTTCGACAATGTGGATCATGATATACTCGTCGACGTGCTACAGAAGCAGTACGGCGTGAGCGGTTCAGTGCTCAGCTGGCTTGATTCATACCTTCGTCCGAGGGGCAGTCGCGTGTGTGTCAACTCGGCGGTCTCAGCTCCACGGCAACTAGAGTGCAGTGTTCCCAGGGTAGTTGTTTAGGGCCTTTGACGTGATTCCATCTGGATTATCGTTGTATGGATTCGCTGATGACCATACTGCAACCAAACGTTTTAAACCGACTGAAGAAAATAGTGAAATTTCTGCAATCGCTGAATTAGAAAATGGTGCGATTGATATCAACAACTGGACGAACGCTAATAAACTCAAGATTAACTCATCGAAAACAGAATTCATAACATTTGGAAGTGCTCAACAACTCGAAAAGTGTCACCTTAAATCCATTTGTATTAACGGAGATAAGATCAACTCCGAGGAGTCCATTAGATATTTAGGCGCATTTCTAGACCAGACACGTAATTTCAAGGAACATGTCAAACTAAAGTGCCGTACTGCAATGTTAAACTATCTTAGAATAAAACGTATCCGAAAATACCTCACCAAAGAAGCAGCTAAAATACTAGTTATAGCACTCGTAATGTCACACTTGGATTATTGCAATGTCATTCTTTATGGTGTATCCGATTTTGAATTGAAAAAAAAATGCTACGTATTCAAAACATGTGCGCTAAGTTAGTTCTGCAACGAAAGAAATTTGACAGTTCAAGGCAAGCATTGTTCGACTTTCACTGGCTGCCCATCAAATCTAGAATCGAATATAAAATTTTGACTTTTGTATACAATTGTTCAATCGGTCATGCTCCAAAATACCTTTCTGAACTCCTAACCAAACAAGTACCAAATACCCGACTACGTTCAGCTTAAACCTCTGAGAACTGCTACGTTATTCCATTCAATAAAAGAAAAACATTTAGTGACAGAAGTTTCGGAACTATTGGTCCAAAATTGTAGAATCCGCTGCCATTAGAGTTGAAACAATCTAAGAATAGTGATGTATTTAAAAATAATCTTTAAACACATTTTTTCAGAAAGTTTGAATCACTATTTTAAAATCTGAAATGAGATCAACATGAGTAACGTATAACTGATGACTGACAGTGTGATGAATGTGCAATATAAATGAATGTTTTATTCTTTTTAATCTATTTGTAATCAAGTTACATGTATGTAAACAATCTTATCTCATGCTACATGTATATCAATCAGTTTTATCATTTTATGGTCTCCACATGATGTTGATCCACATATTCTTATGCATTCACAATTGTATTCTTATTATTTATATGTACTGTACAACGCCGTTGAATATTGTTAAATAGAAACAGGCGTTTAATTAAATAAAATGTTTCAAGTTTCAAGATATTTGCAATAAGAAAATTAATAGTGACTGGAGTCAGCCAACTGCGGTAAAAGAAGCTATAAATAGCTCGCCGCTATGGTAATAAAAGTGATGACGTCACAATAAAGTGTGTGTGTGTGTGTGCGTGCGTGTGTGTGTGTGCGTGTGCGTGTGTGTGTGTGTGTGTGATTATGCTTCTAAAATTTTCAAGCATCGAAAATTATGTAAAATATGCACTGCAAATATGTGTCTCCATTATATGTAATCTTTAAAATATATGCTTTCATTTTATAGAAAATAAATTTCTAAGTACATCCCTTAATTAGCATGAAATGTCAATTCGGTAATATCTTGAATGTCTCATAAAGATGACCAAGTCCATTTAGGAAAATATGGAAGGTAAAATGCATAAATAACATAGATAAGTACATGTACATGTAGTATGTTCGTTTTGTTTTGAAATTCATTGTGCTTAATGATTATTTTATGATGATAATGCTGTACTGCTTTTAGAGACATTTTTCAAGGGGAGGTTAATCTGTTTCATTGACAGTATCAACGTTATAAAATTATATTCGTCTATATAGATTATCATAATGCTTTTTCTATACTTGTACATTTATAACATATCGGTGTAATATTTCTACATCTTATTAACTGTGCGTTTATACTTTGGTTATCAAAACAGGTAAAGATGGTCAAGTTAATCATGCAATCGAATATTTTTTTTTTAAATTATGTCATATTCTTTATGCTTATATGTTTTCAAACATCTTATCAATTCTAATTTTGATTTGAATAATTATGAAATTATTATCAAATCAATTTTGATTTTAATTTGAATAATTAAAATTATTATCATAACAATTTAACTGTTCGCTTTCCGAAATAATAAATGTCTGTATACTGAGTTAGAGATAATTATAACATTATTTATAAATTAATTTTTCAGTTTTCCAGCACACTAACTTGTGTAGATTTTGACGTAGAGCAAGAAATACTGATGGACTCTAAACCGGCCTTGGTCAAAGTATATGATTATTATGAAACAAGTAAGTATGAAAACGTCTGTTCTGAATTATATGATATATTCAAAAAATAGATAAATACAGAATCCCTAAAAGAAAGCCCAACACGGCAAAATTGAAAATATTGCAGGTTCAAGACTTTACACGGTAATTCGATTGGGATTGTGGATTTGGTAGGCTGGCCAGTGGCTGGCCAACTTCTTCCATGTCCAACTCGTACATTCTTGAGCGGTTTCAATCAAACCCTCTCATAATTATTAAGGGGATACATATTGTTAATTATAAGTCTATTGTTGTCTGGTCTATTAGATTGAATGCACAAGTTAGTGGAAAAAACAAATGCTGATGGCTGATACATAAATAATATCACAAAGTCTATTTACAGTATACAGTGTAACACAGAACTACACATTAGAAACAGTCTGTGGGTCGAAGGAAGAGATTCTAGCTAATAACGAAGATTCAAATTGTTCCAACGAGAATTGCAGGGTTGATACTCCAACAGAATCGGTTATTGTTAGTAGCTTAATGCGTTATTGAATTTCTATATACACACATATAAATACAGAAGAAATCCTGCTTAACACAAGTTGCAATTAACACCAAGGTGCTATTTAGCATTAAAGCTTGTCTTTAGGGTTATGATTTAATACCAAAAGAAATAAGTGAATTAAATGTCGCCTGTGTTAGTTATATGACAGTAGGCCTTTTAACATGTCTTTTTGGTCATAATTCATTAATCATACGTCAGTGACCATCGTCCAAAAACAGTAGATTATTAACAGAAAATTTCTGTTATGAGTCTGAAAATTCTGTATGACTTTTGCGGAAATAAAGTAAAACGTACTTTTAGAGGAATGTGAATAGTCGAGCTATTCTAAAAATTTACGCTTTAGATACACTGCTGATATATGAGTATATATGAGTTATGTAAATCATTGATTAAAAAGTTCATATTATTTCTATTGTAAAAAGGCAAACTAAAATAGTTCTGCAGTTTGCATATGCTGTCATGGAACACAGTATAGTATTCTTCCAAACTTTTACCGAAAAACTAGACAGAATAAGTTAGAATGAAATGCCATAATAAGAAATATACTGAAATATATCACATGACATGGAGTTTTCTGCGCAAAAAATGAATACTAATATTTATGTGTTTTTATCTGCTAACAGACATGTCCAGTGTGTTTAGAATCAATTCACAAAGAAACTCTTATAGAGCTTTTCTGCGAATCCGAAAATGGTACATTTTTACATTCCTAATTATATTTAATCAAAAGCAACTGCTATGTGTTTTCTAAAGCATAGTGACCAAATAAACCTTGATATAACCATGACAACGTAACTTCCCGTGTCTTATATAGTACAAATAAGCATCTATATAACTAGGACAACGTTGCTTTTAAATAGCTTTTTGTAAAGGTCAGATAAACGTTGACATGAGCACGACTTCTCATTATCTTACGACTAGGCGTTGATATAACCAATGCTTGCAATGGGAACATCTCGGCTATTATTATTATATAGTTACATAAAGTTACAACCGTTTATAGTCGCTATTTAATCTGTCAAAAATCTTGTCGAATTCTTTATGATTGATAATTCATTTTATAATTCGTTCCAACCGACTATATTTTGTGTTTCGTATTTTCAACAGTGTACAAGTCTTTTGTCCGGAGAAAGGGACAGTATTCTATCCAATTGGAAACGAATGTACGGGTCAAAGAAAAGAGAAGATTCCACAAGTTTGTAAATTATAACATGAGCCATCTATGTTCTTGTCCGATTATTAAAGATGGACCAGGTAAGGCTTGTGTGTCTTTTTTTATTTCTCTAACACCAGCAGCTCTAATATTTACTTGTCTATGCCATTTGTGTAACGCTTAGCCAAGTTGTACACCAGTAAGGCTAATTTGTTGCATGACACTACATAAACCAACATGTAACTGTTCCAGATTGAAAACATAAAATGTATCCCGGGGCTTGCTAATTATAAAGTAGTAGGTGTTAATATATTCACCATTTTTAAATTGAATGTACACGGATAAAAACAATATTTCAGTGGAGAAATTGGCAATTGGAATAAAGAAACCTCTTACACCTTTTTCCAACATTACCCTTATAAAGATATAACTTTTGTTTATCAATAATATCTAACACAATTGAAACACTTTGTCACCGCTTTAATTGGGTGTAATAAAAGCCGTGTATCTATATACTCAAATATGAAAAAGGAAATGCAATATATCAACAAACCATCACCTTTGTTAATATTACTTGTATCTGTATCTTTCTAGAAACTAAAGCCTTTATCTTTGCAAGGTCCAACGCTTTCGATTCATCAACAGAAGAGTTGTCGTTGCTGGGTTCAGAAACGGTTTTAGCTTACCAGAGGAGATATGAGAAAATGATTAATATCCTCTCTTCGGAGACACAGGCCTGTTACAAACTGATTTGTTTGAAAAGATCTTCTTCCCCTTACAGTCAGTACAGGTTTGCTGAACTTCTAAGAAAGTTACGGTTGTATGCATGGGACGACTCATTTTGTAAAACTTCTAGCAACAACATTTTGGGATATTTCTTATTGAAACTGCATCCAAAATAATGAGAAAAATATTCTACGTGGCATAGCATCTTCGATTTTTTCTTTAACAAGAGCTGACACAGGAGACGGCAATCGACTAATAAAATACTGGACACAGTAAAGAAGACTAAACTATAAAAGAAAAATAAATTATGATATAAATATATTTCTGCATCAGCATCAAGAAAGCACTCAAATTTTATATATTTTTACACCACATAATATGCATATGGCCATGTCAATAAATGTTAAACAGACATTTCTCTGCTTAAATGGAAAAGACGAAAAATTTTTTTTAAGTAAAATTTTAATTCCAATTGAAGAAAGATGCTAGAGTTATGAACCTTGTCCTGCATGATGTTAGTAATGGCAAAGAACAATTAATTATTTAATGTCTAGAGTAGATACCATTTATAATAACTAAGATTGTAAATATATAGACTCTATATACAAATAAACAAATAAATTCTTAGTTTAACATTAATTGAAGATAATTCTGGAAATACAGAGTCTTGCGTTATAAATCTTATCCATATGACAAACTTGCTTATAACAAACATATTTTTGATGTCAGTCTGGATTAAATCGCTGAAAATTAAGAAGTTACAGAAAAAATACGAGGAACCTTCTAAGTTTTAAGGGACTCCGCTGAGGTTTTTTGACATGATGAGACTGAAAATATTTTTTCCAGATTAATGTACCATTTGATGTTGGTTTAGAAAAAAATTCAGATCATTCGCGCACTTCGTTTTCCCAGAATAATTATTCAAATTGTAAAAAATGACCCAAAATGAAAAGCATTTAAACGCTTTTCACTCAAATCAATTTTCAATTTATTTCAAAGTATATTTCTTAACTATCTTTGCATATATTTCTGTTTAAAGTCCCCTAGCTCATTTATGTAAGAAATTCAAATGTTATGTTTTTTGGCTTTTTAAACCTCAAGAGTTATAATTAAAAATATTGAATCCAGAGTTACGCGCCTATCATATTATTATTATTATTATTATTATTATTATTATTATTATTATTATTATTATTATTATTATATGGGAGTTGATATGAAATTTAGATTCAAAGTTACAAGTAAATCATCGGAAAAATAAAGAAGTTAGAAAAGAAAAAAAAAATATGGGTTAAAGGGGAGATAGTTATGGAAATATTCACGCCAAGTAATGAATCTTGTCACGCACAATTTGGGTGATAATAAGTAACAAATATTTGAAGTTTGAAGCACATACTTTATGAAATGAAGAAGTTATAGTAAAGAAAATAACAATTGATTTAATACATAAATTCCAAGTTGAAGGGGGAATAATTCAGGAAATGGTCATGCTAGTGTTATGAATCTTGTCACAAAGCATTTGGGTAATGAAAGGGAATATATATTTGAAGTTTGAAGTAGACACCTTAAAAGATAAAGAATTTATAATATTTTTAAGGAAATTTTAAGTTCAAGGGGAGATAAATCGAAAAATATTGCTTCGTGAGTTTTGAACCTGGTCATATAAGATGTGATTGATGATAAGGAATATGTATTTGAAGTTCGAAGTAGATACCTTGACAACTAAAGAAGTTATTATTAAAAAAAATATTTTTCAAGAAAAAAACATTTATGTTCATAGGGAGATAATTCTTGCCATATTAGTGCTTGTTTAACCTTAACACATAAGATGTGGTTGATGATAAGGAACATACAATTGAAGTATGAAGTTTATCCCTTAAGAAACAAGTGAGGTTTTACGCAAGCGTAAAATGCGAAGGAATTTATTAAATGGAAAGGAATGTCAAATATTACCTGAAGACAGTTGTGGTGAATGTGAAATGATTTTTCATAAAAGTAACAAAATGTGATAGTGCTCAGTATTATGACTTCCGTTCAAATACTAAATTACCATCATATCGAGGGAAAACATAAGTAAAGCAATTGAAATTACAACGATCTGGAATATACTATAACCATATACGGTCCCTGCGCTGATGCAGTTTTGTCCAATGCAAAACAGTAACCCTTCAAGATGGAAAATGTGTCTTCAGCTGCATTCGATACGTCATCATTTTCTCTGCTATTTAATCTGGTTCCATGTTATAAAGTCTGAAAAAGAAACCTTATTATAGGAAATCAACCAGATAAGCATTATTGTCGAAAGGACGAAATGTAATTAACCAAATTGAATGCTTTTTGCAATAAATTGAAAAGAAAATGGGAACCAAAATGTTTAGCATATGCATGTGAATGTTTTTTATTTACTTTGCATTAATTTCTTACATTCGCAAAATTAATCGCGTCATTCCGCAGTAAATCATGCGACTTTTTTAAAGTCATAAGAAAGAAGTGACAGTAAAAATAAATTTTTTAAGGAACATTCTAAGTTCAAGGGGAGATAAATCTTTGAATATTGATGCAATAGTTATGAACCTTGTCACATAAAATGTAGTTGATGATAACGAACATAAATTTGAAGTTTAAAGTTTAAGAAATAAAGAAGTGACAGTAAAAGATAATATTTTAAGGAAAATTCTAACTTCAAGGGGAGATAAAACAATCTGAGAATATTGATGCTAGAGTTATGACCTTGTCACATAAGATGTGGCTAATGATAAGGAACATATATTTGAAGTTTGAATTTGATAACTTAGGAAATGTAAAAGTAACAGTAAAAAATTGTTTACTGCGTCAAGACATTAATCCAAAAACCGGGGTAAGATTAATGTTTTGACGCAGTAAACTATTTTTATATCCACGTTGAAAGATATCTCCAATGAAGAGACAAAAGTGATTGACACGTTCATGACTTATGTGCAACCGAAGCTGAATCCAATATTCGCCAGTAATAAGTTCTACAATCAGACTCAAGAAGAGGAAACTATTGATTCTTTTTAGAAATATTACAAATCAAAGCAAGAGACTGTAGTTTTGAAAACTCAGATGAAATTATAAGGGGCCGTATAGTATTCGGAACACAAAATGTTCGAGTAAAGCTTATCAACGAGCGTGCATAATTAAAATTAGACAAAGCAGTGCGAATTGCTCAAAATATGGAATACTCAAGATAGTTCAATGGTATGTTCGGCGAACAAGGACGTTCACCACGTGGCTAGGCATATGAATCGAGAAGTTCAAAGACCAAGAGACAGTCAAGTAAAGGAAATGACCGGTTTCAGATGCGAGACAATACATCAACAGAACAAAACTTGTCCAGCAAACGGGAACACATGCAGAAAATGCGACAAATTAAACCATTTTCAAGAAAAAAAATGTGCAAATGAAGAAATACTGTGAACGAAATAAACCGTGAGTCGGACTTGAGTGATGATCAAGTGATGATCTTTTTGTATGTACGATAAACGATTTGATTTTCATACGTCTCGACCGGATTGCGCAACTCCAAATTGGCAAAAGTCCGCCCGTATTAATTTTAAGATAGATACTGGTTCATAATATCACTTGATACCACAAGAAATGCTCAGGAAACTTGATTTCAAAGACCCCAAGATATGATGATAAGTTCTCTTCGTAAACTACAAAACCCATCCCAGTTTATGGAAAGGTCAATTTCCAAAGATAAGGAAATAATGTAGAAGGCAGTAAATCTCCAAGATTAATATGCTTGCAGACTTCGTTATATCTGAGATTGATTAAACTGACCTTTGCTATAGAAAAAAATAACTCGTAAAGCTAGATAAACAAAAAAATCTTGATGAAGGTCAAGATCAAGTTATTTGAATCGTCTTAAATTGTCTTAATTTCGTTATTGATTTACAGATTTAAATTATACTTGGACAAAACAACACATTTCAGAAAACCGACATGTTGAATTGGTCTGATATGAATTTGACCTTTAATTGATCTTTACCACCAATGTCAAATTAATAAAATTTCCTGAAATTGTCATAACTTTGTCATTTATTTATGCATTTGATGTCTTACACAAAAACGACTTACATGTATTCCAAAACTGGCATGGTGATTTTTTTTTCAGATTCCAAAACGAAGAAAAAGAACCATTATTAATACTAAAATACACGCATATTTCGAATTAATTGCGCCTTTTGGTGAAGATAAGAATGCTTGCTTTGATCGCCTTAAAGATCCATGTATGTTTTGATCAAAGTGATAAACTGTGGCGGTGGTGTTGGTAGTTTTCACTCCGGATCACGGTAGTAAGCCACATTGAATTTATCAGAGCACAGTTCAACCACTGCATCGGTCCTGTGCAAGCTGTCAAGCAGTTTACCAGTTCTGGATGCCTTCACTTTCGCAAGGAACTTAAGAGGTACAGTGCGAATCACCGTAGAAAGGATTCATGATCAATGACAAGGAAAGTGACCTACGCCATCCGGGAACCGAACCCAGGTCGCCCGATTCACAGTCCAACACTCTACATATTGAGCTAACCGGACGGCTAAGTGGTAAACCACACTAAGTGAAAAAATATATATATGTACATAATTATGCAAATAAAACAATTTTCAAATATCGAAGAATATATAAAATATGTACTGCAAATATTTGTGCATATTATATGTAATCATTAAAATGTATGCATTCATGTAAAATTTGACTTAAACTTTATAGATTATTTTATTACCTCCCTTACTTACATGAAATGTTAAATTCTGTAATATCTTTATAAATATTGCTTTTCTGAACCTACAATATTGATAAATCTTAATTTGAGCATCATATTTATGATTTAAAATCATAAAAAATTGATCTCGTCTCACGTGGAACTCATTTTTTATTATTTTATTTCTTGCAGCACAACACTCTATCAAATGTATGTAAATTATCTTTTAGCTTGATTTATTTCTTATTTTTGGGTATACCTCTCTTCAATTTGATTATGCTTCAGCGGAATTTGAAGTAGGGTATAAGTACGAATTATTTCATACACAATGTTTCATTTCAAAATGTATCGAGGAGCGTGTACCTGGAGTCTATGCATCTCTGAGCTCCAGCAGGTGAGATGGTTTTGACCCTTTGTGTCGTTATATACACGTTTTGTAGCACCCGAGGGTAGCCAAAATCATGGTTCCCGTTTTAGCGCCATATAACCTTAGTTGTGTTGGTGTGCCGTAAAACTAACCAAACTTAAAACCAAACTCTTGTCGGAGTTGTTTGTACGATATATTAAGGTTGATTGAGCAACAAATTTTTAATAAGACTTAGTATGTAAATATCTGGCGTCGCTGCTGTAATGGCACTAAAAAAAGTGTCTGTATGGGGCTGATTTGGTGCAATGCGCGTTGTCGCACTGTCGTTCTGTCTCTAGCGAATCACGCCAAACGGCGCGTTGTCCTGAGGCGCAATTTCGCCCTGTCGCTTGGCTTATAAGCCAATCCTTCGATTTGAACCGAGCGACAATGTGACATCGCGACAACACGCCGTACGAAACGCGCCATTTGGCGTGCATCGTTAGCGACAGGAAGACAAGACAAAAGTCTGACAACGCGCCGTTTGGCGCTTTATCGTGTTGTCGTTAGCGCCAACACGACGCACAAAAGCGTTCAAAATCAGCCACCATATGCCTGCGACCCTACGATTATGCTCTTGTTATCATTATTGACTACATATTTCAAACGTTTGACTGTTATAATTTAACAACAGGTGATACGGATAAGATATCCTAAAATATTCCACTCTTTTCATGGAATGAACATTACAGGTAAAAACCGTTAGATGATTACACAAAATCCTTTTGGCTACATGAGATTTGTTAAGTAAACGTTCATGCAAGTAAATTATGAAATTGAAAGTTTAACGATTTATGATAAAGATCATCAGGAAAACCGGGGTGATAATGATCTGAAAATTTGCCCAAAAGATATAGGTTTAGACATGCATCAAATGGGACATAAATCTAGGACCCCCGTCAGGCCATAAACACACACGCATCTGTCGCTGTACGTAGTACAAAGTCGATGGCATCATGCCTATGATCTTATTTTGTAAACAAAATCATGTTCCCATACGATGAACCTCGGTACAGTTCCTTTAATAGTTCTCCTATCTAGCGACAAAAGATGGCCGGATATGGTTTCCTTTAATTTAATTTCAAGCTCTCTTTTTGCCAAATTCCAATGCAAATAAAGAGTAATTCAGTTGATTATATATTACTTTATGATAGTAAATTACATATTACGTATGTGATAATTTTCTATAACCGTTTTAACGACTGTCTTTTTTAAAGTGATGAATATTTATTCATTTTATTATATAGTGGACCATTTGCAAATCCCATCGGTAACACAGGCGACAGTATCAGTGTTTGGACACCCCACATCACCCTGCCCCTGGACCCAAGCTACAACCCTGAAAAAAATTCAACATTCTGCTAAGGCTTACTATAAGATACCAAATTCAAAACAACCGATAAAATTATAAAAAAAGATTTTTTTTCTACTATCAAACTTACAGTTTCAGGGTTGTAGCAGGGGTCCAGGGTTGGGGTCTCCAAACACTGATAATGCCACCCGTGATCGGCAATAACTGGCAATAGACAGTAATTAATTAGGCGTGAACGGTTTGGACGTTAGACAACGTCCCTCAGAAATTATCTCAATGTCTGCTATCAAAGGGAGTCGCCTTCAAGTATTAAAGTGGTCGCCTTCTACTGTCATTAATGTTTAAAAGATATCCTACTAGTGAAATCCCATCTACCCTCTTAGAATGAATATTAACAGCCGTGTTATTTCAATCTTGAAATCGTGTACATTTGTGTTCGTCGTTTAACTGATCAGGGGAAGTAACCGCTGCGAGAAGATTTGTGGTAATCTGTAGCTATTTCTTCCCTTGATCAGAGTCAGCTCATTACCATTATGTGGAAGTGTCGATGAGCAAATCATTGGCCCCCATCTATTTGAAACTTTCATTTGGTTGGCAGGATCAATTCTCAACGGTGGAAAAATTATCAAGGTTCAGTTCTCAACATTGAAAAATGACCCATGAAATGAACTGTCAATTGTTACACCGGTGCTAATGATAACAGGTGTTGTATAAAGGAAGTGTAAACATCCAATGACCAATTTCAAAAAAGCAAATAAAATAATCTAGACGCCAATGTTGGTGCACATCGCCAGGTCAAGGTGAACATTTAAGCTAGGTTTGAAGAAAAATCTTGAATTAGTAGCACACACACAACTGGCTCTTTGACATTTAACCTTAAAGTAAAACCTTGACCTTGAGCTGACACAAGGACTGCATGAGTTCAGCACATTGCCTTGTTGAGGAGAACATTTTAGCCTAGATTAAAGAAAATCCTTGTAGAGGTATAGAACAAACAGAAAGGACACGTAAAGACGGACGGACAGACCCTACCGGCAGTCATTCCGGAATAGCCATCGTCATCACCAATTTGTTTAGTGGGTGTATAATAAAGTAATACATAGAAACCAGATAAAACAACTTTAATTTGGTAGCAAATAAGTAAAAATATATTGGTCAAAATGTATTGCTAGAATAAAGTATATACTATATTTTATAAAATCATGAGACTAGATACATTGACTTCAGCAAATTTGAGGTAAAACATTAAAACATGAAAGAACAGTATTGCACAAAAAAATTATACAAGGCTCAGTACATTTCGCGTAACATCTCATATATTTTCTTTGAATCTCCAAATGTCCATTTGTGAATTTTCCTACAAACATTTTCTGAATTACTTTGACTTATATTTTACATCAACATTGATTGCAATTGTCCGCTCTCGTGAAGGGCTTTTGTTTCGGATCCGCCACCTATACATTTACCATTTATGAACACTCGTGGTACCTGTAAATATAATAAATAATACATGACACTTGTAAACAGACAAATGGTAACAGATTTGGTGTTTTCTAGAATTTGATCTTTCATAAACATAATTATTAAACGACGTAACAAAAGGAATTCTAGAGTACCCAATATATAGGTATAAAGAACATAATTATACTCAATACTGGGCTTAGAAAAACATTTTATCTCAGATATCCCCTATCCCCCATCCCAACCCCTCGATCCGCGCAATTTCCTCTTAAAGCTACATGCCTCCAGATGGGTCAAAATTTTAAATAAAATCGAACAACTTCAGAAATATTTACTAATATTTTAGAAAGTAAAAAGATTCAAGTAATATTTTACATGTATTCTGCGATTAATGACTGATTTTTCGGTATTAACAACTATATTTCTACTGCTTTACTAACGCTGTAAGGTCTATTTATGCATATTTTGAACACTTTTTTGGTAATTTAAAGGGGGTTGTAAGTGCCATTGAAAATGTGTAAATGGCTTTCTTTTGGTTACTTAACAATATTAAACATTTAGATACATTTTTAAATATTTTCATGAAAATTCAAATGAATCTGGAGGCGTGCTGCTTTAAGACAACACTATTTCTTAGATCAAAGTTGATATAATTCATGAATAACTCGTCTGTAATACAAATGTACACAGTATGGTCCACTGTACATCGAGAATAAATATTGATAATAAATTTGTTTCTGTATCCATGGTAACCGTGAGTTTCGCATTTCAAAACTGCAGACGTCTGCATGTATAGTGATATCAGTATTATCTGTAAACAAATTTACACTTATGTTGCCGAGTACTTAAGTTCCACATAAACTGCATAGTATGCAATATTTATCATAAACACTTCCGCATTTTAAAAGCAGGCTTATTCGATTCTGTTTAATCTGTTAGATCAGTTGTTAAACAGTATAAAGTCTATTCTACAACAACAATTGACTTTAACAGATGCTACTGACGGTTGTGAATGGTCCCATTTAATGCATTTAGTAATATTATTTAGTAAATTCAAGTGATTTTGACAAGTACTCGGCTGACATACATTTATTAGCACGAATGCGACATGCGGGTCGTTCTCATTAATTTTGGAAGCTTAATACAAACGTGAAATAGTGATAAAAGTTCTTTTTAATTGTGTCTGGACAATTGTTTTCACAACCTCCCGGGAAATGAGCCCTTTGCTCGTAGACTCGAATCTGGAGTTTATTTTATAGTATATTTTTAAGGGGGCTCATATTACACTTGTTTTTATCTATGTGGTCATATTTTCTTCCCAGGTCCGATACTCGTGCCTGTGCTGGGAATTAGTGAAAACTGAAAATTGACTGGTGATGCAAATATTCTTAACTTCATAATTATGTAAACTCATAGCTTAACCAACTTTGATTAAAAACATCCTATTTTATTCATATCGCCGAGTATTTTTTAACTTCTCTCAACCCGAGTCAACCGTTATTTTTAAGTACATGCATCTTCAAAGAGTGATGATTAACACTGGCCACTACTTAAAATACTGATAACATTAAAGTGTGTATTCTTCTTTCTTTCAGGACAAAAATCACAAAAGAAGAAAGCAAAAGTTCCCTTCCATTCAAAACAAGATAAATAAGAATAAATAAATAAATACACACGTAAATAAATAAATAAATTATAAATCATTACCGACTGAGCTCCAGTGATATCTCTCAGAACTGACTGAATTTCTGCACAATTTGGTTCCCTTTCAATTTCCCATATTTTATATTCGTCTGTCCCTAGGTTATAGTTACTTAAAGCTGTTTTAGCCATAGTACAATATGGACAATAAGACTTCGAAAACATCATCACCTTGTTTTTTGCTATTTTATCTTCTATTATTTTCCTTACGTCCGCCATCTTCGTTTATGAAAATCCTACGGTGGTCTGGCGGAAACACTATGAATCTATTGATATTTCTAGAGTCGCCAGATTCCCACGTGCAAATAACATGATCTAGAATGTGGTTGAATCGAGAAGAATTAAAAGAAGGATCGGGATGTGATATTTTAAATGAAACAAACGCGGCGGGAAATAAGATAAAAATTAATTAAAATTACACTTTATTATACATATATTTTCAGATACGCACATTTCTTTACATTCATTAATTTGGAAGTCAAAGTCGTCTGATAATCTGAATTAAAGTTTAATGATCTGCGCAATTTAAGATCAATATAAAACATGTATTGCATTTCATTCAACGGTATTTGTTTTGTTTTCCCTCATGCAACACTTATATATTAATAACTTTTTTTCTCTGTGTTTTGTTCACGGTGATGATTCTCTAAAAATGATGGAGAAAAATATGTGACAAAACCAAACTTCGTGTTCGTGTGTTATTAAATTGATTACGCGAGGAAACTGTCGTTACTGAGTACGAGCCGTGATACGAACTTATCTAGTTCAAAATTAAAATGCAAATCTCTTTTTTCTCTTAAAACTGAGACTTTAATAATTCACTGATTAATTAAAAATTCACGTTGGCCAGAACTGTCACAACTTCCGATATTTGATGTCCGAAAAGTTGCTATAAATTGCGTCTAAATACACTTGACAGCTGATTCTCACTTTTTTCAATACTTTCGATCACTTTAGTGGCCACATTGACGCACCATAGTATTATTTAGTGCATGTACACACTCACGGCTGTCAGTATTGATTAATTGGAAAGCCGGGTACCAGATAAAGTTTATAAATGAGAACGTGCAGTAGATTAAACAAAAGAGGCTACCATAGGGATTTATAAATACTAGATTGCTGATTGCAACATTCACAAAAATATATCTGGTTGTTGGTTTGTTTTTGTTTAAATATGATGTTCTGAAATATTATATCTAATTGAAGAAAATTTGATTCAATAAGATAAGTTTCTGAACTAATTTAAACAGTTACCCCAGTTGGGCCTCAATCATGCTCTTCATTTCTCGTGATCACATGAACATCGGCTGCAAGAAAAACTCATACTCATACAAGTGCGGACTTTGGACAGTATCTGACGTAATTTGTCCTGTGAAACACGTATAAATTGCAAATATTTGTACTTTATAAAGTTATATTACAGTTGTTGCGGAACATAAGACAAGGTGAGTTAATTTTTTTTTCTAGTTCTCTTTTAATTAATTAAATATAATTAAACTCAGTGACTAAAAAACATAACGTACACTGGTACAGGTGTTTCAAAACGAATTTTCTCTATTTGTTTTACATAATTTTAAGCTTATTTCCCGGCTGTTAAATATTGAAGTTGAAAAGTTAATTAAATGTTAAAACAAAACAAACAAAAAATAAAATCAAAGCACAGAAGGCGCTGAATTTGTTTGGGTCTCAGAATGTCAGAAAGGTGAAGGTTGTGAGACTATAAACCAATTTGTTTTTGTAAAGTGTCACCAATGCTTTCCAGCGTTATAATTGTAGTAAATTGACTATAAGACTAATTGCAACACTGATATTCATTTCAATGTTTATTTGACTTAAACAATTTGAAAAAAAAAATGAGTTGCCTACACTGGGATTTGAACTCCAAACCTCTCGCTTCCTAAGCGAGCGCTCAAACCCCTCGGCCACGGTGAAGTTATATGCTAAAGGCCTGAAGAAAACCATATTATTCTAAATTAGGGTTTGTAACGACGCTAACTGTTGTTTAACATAGATGTAAATAATCATGGTGCTTACTATAAGCATCAGCTGTTCCCGCTTCTATTTTTCATTGGGGGTATTTTTACCCCTTACTTTTGAAAACTAGGGGTAAAATAAAAATTCAGGGGGTACATAAATTTGTACAATATTGATATGAAATTTAAAGATAATTCCAAAATCATACATCAGACAATTATGCTATTTTCTTCAAGATGCACTCCACCACATACCGCCCCCCCCCCCCACTTAGGTAAAATTCATTGTGACCAACACATACTGGCATATATCTCCATCTCAATTAATATAACCATTATTTAAGTTATTTAAATTCATAAACAGCATATAAATTGTTACTACACACCTTTGAACAAAACAAAGCTTCCCTTTTGTTGATGTTTTTAATTAACAAAATCGGCATCGCGAAAATATGTGACAAATGAAAATTCGTCAGTTTTCTGCAGAAACATTCACAATTCTAGTTGTTGCTGATTACAATTATATTAGAATTAATATTTTTTTTTTATTTTAAGACTGTTTTTTCATCGGCTATTCTTACAGGCATCGTAAAACAAAAAATTCAAATTTGTAATTTACGGCAATAATTCCCAGTGGGGGGGTCTGTAAACTTCATTGTGAATTTGGAGATTTTCTCACATTTCATCAATTTCAATGCACTGTAAGTGTTTTTTGTTTGAGAAGTTGCTCACAAGAATACTTTTTGAATTATACATGATTAAGTTTCTGACTTTCTGTGCGTATTTTTACCCTCTTGCCTAAATTTCTGTACGTGAATTTTGTTATTTATGCGTAAAATACGCACATATGTGCGTAAATGGGAACACTGAGCATGTATATATATATATATATATATATATATATTATATAAAGAATAAAACAATATTAGAAATCTTCGACCATTCGGGAACGATTTTGCTTGAAAATTAATGCGTCTGTCATTTGACCATCTTTACGCAGTGATCTCCCCTGAATTTTTCGGCATTAGTGTACATATAAAGGGAAGTAACCGCTTCAAAAAAGTGGACTACTTTCGGCATTTGCAATTAACGGCATCAGAGTCTGAAATTTCGCTACCATTATTTGTTTGATCTGACGACCCAAACAAATACCAACAAGGAAACACACAGTTTGAACTATTACTGTATCGAACTTTCCATGACTTGTTTGGTGATACAGTATGTCTACATGCATTGATTACATCAGTGTCCTTCACCTTGAAAATTCTATTTTAAAGACCTGTTAAAAATGAAACATAAGTTCTGTGTGAAAATTAAATGACAGATAAGTCACTGTTTTCCAACTTGATTCCAAGGCAACTATAGGCCTACCACATCCAACTGTCTCAATAAGGTGTCTTGCGCAGTTCGGTTGTCAGTTAGGTAAGATGAACATGTATACCTATTATGCCCAAATCTGTGTTGAGAATCATTTATTTTCTCCAGTTAGTCAAGTCACATTTTATTTAATTGGAAATTGTGCTTGAAAGCAATGAACAGATTAAAACAGGAGAGTTTCATAAAGATGATGTTGAACAATTTAGTTATTGCTTTTACCCCTGGTACAAATCAATAGGTTCATGTTTCAATGCTCTTTCTATTGCTTGCAGCATCTGAATAACACCAGTCAGTTGGATTTGTGTCTGTCGGACATCAGTTTTGACTAAACACCCAGATCTTAAAATAATTTACAATTTATACAATTGAATACATAGATCTAGTTTATATTTTAACTGGGATTCAGTTTTTTTGTACAGTACCATAAGTGAGGTCCCAAAACTAGAATATAGAAAATAGCTATAGTTTCAACAGTGTTGGTTTTTTTCATAACTAGAGTGGTCAGAACCATGGTGGGAGTGGGTATATATCACTATGTTATTTGATGAATAAATCATACAGGAATATAAAGATTCACTAATGGATTATTTGTTTACATCTCATTTCAGTATTTATCTACCCGAATGTATAGGAGGGCAGTGAACATGGAACAAGAGCAAATAGCCAATGAGCAGTTTATATATAGGCTTGGTAGTTTACCAGTTGTGAGCTCGGCATGGAGTCAAGCCTGTGACATCTACAACAAGACCAAGGAAAGCAACACTTTGTTGAGGGTTACATGTAACATGGCTGAGGGAGGTGTTCAATCAGTTGTTTCTACAGCTAAACCCTACGTTGAGAAATACCAGCCACAAAGTAAGTTCATGTTTGAAGGTATCTGAAGGATAGATAGTTCATAATGATATGACTATGTGTCAATTAAAGCTACTTATCTACACACAATATATAGCATGGCAAGATTTAAAAATTATAGCAGTATGAGAGTGTAAATTCAGAGCAATAAACATGATTATTAATATATATCTAGTTTCCTGTGAATGTTAAAATCTATATATGTTAAGTTTTGATCGTCTTCAGTGCAGCACAGTCAATTAATTCTTTTAACAAATTTATCATGATATGGGCTAATGAGCTTGATTAAACATTTTTGATTGAAGGTCAGTGAGTGGTTCTACTGAGATGCCAATCTGTCAGTGTGCCTGAAACACTGCCCCTGAAAGTTGTCCTTCATCTGTTAACCTGGACAGCTACCACAACACAAGCCCTTCACACTGTGTTGACATTTATTATGAATATTTATAATGTTTTTATTTATGTTTGTTTATTAGTTGAGACAGTAAACTCATATGCTTGTGAAAAGCTAGCATTGATGGAAGAACAGTATCCGGTGATAACCAAACCAACTGATGAGTTCCTCAAGGAGGGCAAGGACAAATGTGCTGGGGTGCTCAAACCTGTTACTGACAGGGTGAATGCCGTTAAGGACACATATAATGGAATGGTTAACAAAGGACATGAAACAGTATGTTGAACTTACTCCCATAATTATTTCTTTATTTTGAATTAATTAATTATTATATTTAAATAATTAGGGCATAGGTACTTTAAAAGGGTCAATACTAACTTTACTTGGGTTAATGAGTCATTTTATTTTTTAAGTATATATGTAATACATAGTAGCTGTTCATTTTACTGTTGGTGTAAAAAGTCTTCTGTTTATACTTTCAGTATGAAGCAACAAAAGGGAAGGTTGAAGCTGTGAAGGACTACAGTATGACAACAGTGAGCAGAACTCTGGAATCTCCTCTTGGAAAATTTGCCATGGAGAAAGTGAATGAGGCCCTGACTGTGTCTGAGGAATATGTCGAGAAATATCTGCCTCCTTCTGAAGAAGAAATGACAGAGGCTGAAAAAGGTGCCTTTTGTTGTTTGTTTTGAAAAAAAATAATATTATAAATTATAAAAAAAGAGCAGTTTTATGGACGATAATCTATTAACTTTAAGCCTGCAGTCAGCAATATATTCTACCTATCCGAAGGACCAGTGCAAATCAAGATCAGCCTGCACATCATTCATTGCTGTCTGATCATGGTCCTCGCTATTTGCTATACAGCGGTACATGTACTAAAATTTTCCCTGAAATAGACAAGTTCATTTAAATTTTTTTATCAAAGTAAGGATTAATAAAATGATTGTAATTCTGAGCATGCATCATACATAATCATAGTTTATTGTTCTATGTCATGTTCTTTATCTATTCAATGAAATTACAATTGACGTGCAAGAATGTAATAAATATGTGTGTACTGTGATTTAGCTCCCTTGGAAGTTGATGAAGTTGGTACATTGACAAGAGTTACTTCCCTTAGTACAAAGGTTAGCCAAAGAATGTTCAGGAGAGCAATTAAGGACCTGAAAGGACTACAGATGAGAAGTAAGGAAAAACTGGACAGTCTTAACTTCACTGTTGACTTGGTAAGCTTTTTATGCCCCCACAATGTGGGAGCATATAGCGTTGCACTTGTCCGTCCGTCCGTCAGTCAGTCAGTCCGTCAGTCCGTACGTCCCGAAATCTTGTGAACGCAACTCCTCTTAAACCGGATGGCAGATTTTGCTTAAACTTACAGGGATGAACAACCTTAATGTGTAGATGGTAGTAAAGGAAGGAATTTTCGCTGCGACCAAATTTAACAGAATTATGGCCCTTTGTTGATTTTTTCACTAGATACTATGTAGAAATTTTGTGAACGCAACTCCTCTTAAACCGGATGGCAGATTTTGCTTAAACTTACAGGGATGAACAACCTTAAGGTGTAGATGGTAGTAAAGGAAGGAATTTTCGCTGCGACCAAATTTTACTGAATTATGGCCCTTTGTTGATTTTTTCACTATATACTATGTAGAAATTTTGTGAATGCAACTCCTCTTAAACTGGATGGCAGATTTTCCTTAAACTTCCAGGGATGAACAACCTTAATGTGTAGATGGCAGTAGGAAGGAATTTTTGCTGCAACCAAATTTAACAGAATGATGGCCCTTTGTTGATTTTTTCATTATATACTATGTAGAAATTTTGTGAACGCAACTCCTCTTAAACCGGATGGCAGATTTTGCTTAAACTTCCAGGGATTAACAACCTTAATGTGTAGATGGTATTAAAGAAGGAATTTTTGCTGCGACCAAATTTAACAGAATTATGGCCCTTTGTTGATTTTTAGTTTTCAACTTGTGGCACATGTAGTCCAAAAAATATTTGACCTAGAGTCATAAGATTGACAGAACAGTGGCGTGTGGGGGCATCCGTGTCCTATGGACACATTTCTAGTTTTTAATTATGATTATCAACTTCATTGTTGATTTGTATTTGTGTAAATATTTGAAAACTTAAAGTGATAGTTACTTCATTATTGGCTTGGTAAGCTTAGGTCTTTGAAATACTTATAGAAATAGAAACTTTACTTTTGACTTGATAACTCTTTTTTCAGACTATAATGTTAGTGTAAGGAAAAGGGCCTTTGATGAAATTTTAAGTTTAGAAGGGTTAAAGGGTTAGCCTGTTAGCAAAATCAGACTTGAAAGTTTTAATGTTAATATTTATGAGTGCTTATGAGAATTTTGAATGGAAGATTTAAACATTGTTAATATTTTCTACTTCTATTTTTAGATCCAGTATGCCAAATCAGGTGCTGGGGAGGTGAAGGACACACTGGAGGAGAAATACGAGATAGCTCAGAACAAGATGGCCGAGTATTGGGAGAAAATTAATGATGATGCTGATTCTGATGGTGAAGATGCCCCAGAAGTAAGTATTTTATGATACAGTTTTTGAGTACAAGTGGTGATAGTGTACAGGCTATGTTATAGAGGTTATTTAGTTAACACAACAGTGCAGTCTGACTTGAATCTATATTTAAGCTGTTTAGTTCATTCGAATATCCGTCCTTTGTGGACCCTCCCATGGATGGCAACTTGGCCCTGATATAGTCCAATTGACAAGTTACACTTGGGGTATTCTGAACTGCAACACGTGACAGATTAATTATCAATCTTGCTTCCCATGTTTGTTTAGTGATATCAAAGAAATTTTATAATCATACTGATTTTTATAAGTAAACTTCCCCTTTAAATATTTGAATGTTTTTAATGACAAAACATGACAGCAGTTGGTCAGATTGCTTGTACAAAAATGCCTCATAGTGTTTGCTCAACATAGTGGTTTTTTTGTTGTTGTTTTTTAAATTTGGTGTATTTAAAAGTGTATTTCTGTTTAATTTAGACATTTGAAGGTAAGACAATAGTTGTTGCTAGGCGACTGACAAGACAGGTGAAACAAGGTATGACCACTGTATCAGGATATCTCCCTGCCCGCCTTCAACCCACAGTTGTTCGTGAAAGAATGGAAAATGCAATCAAATATACAGAGGAACTTTACATGGCATTCAAAGAAGTAAGTGTTCTTTATGATTTTAATGTTTTAATTGTAATTTTATTGTTTTGTATTATTCCTTTTTTCAAAAAAACATATGTGGGACAAATTTCATCAGTTTTTTCACTAAAATAATTAGTTTACATTGTAAAAGGGCTTTGTATTGGACAAATACAGTACACATGCTTTTTGTTTACAAGAAAAGCTTGTGTAATCAAAACACAAATTTTCTTTTCTTACAATATGAATGATTATTTTGTACATAAAAAATTGAAGTTATTTTGAAAATTAAAATTACTGTTCATAAAAACAAGTCGGTCACTTTTACAGGCACAGAGATTTGATGATTTGCCACATTGGTTATTAGCACAAGCCAAGGAAAAGATGTCTTATATACAGGAGACTGTGTCATTTCTCACTGAAACATTTCTTGTCTCTCCTATCAGTTGGATGGTAAGTTGTTTTTTTTACTATCACAACTAACCCTGACCCTGTTATGTATCTTAAATGGACTTGTCCATCTTTCAATCTTGATTATACCATTTATCATATTTTGGGAAAATTTTGAAAGTATATACTGAGTGAATAGCGGAGTTTGCAGACTATGGTCAGACTGCACAGAGCCAGCTGATCTTGTTCTGCAGTGGTAGATTCAGTTGCCAACTGCAGGTTACAGGTTAACATGTTGATTGTCTATGTTATAAAACTACAGCCTACATGTAGTTTGCTTATAAAATCACATAAATTCATGAGTCATAAACCCCTGTGGATATTTAAATTACCTCGCCCTGCTTTAAGCTATTTATTAATATGAATGAAATGGGTTTTGCCTAATTGATAGCACTTAGAAATGCATGCATCCATCGCAAAGTAGGTTTTTTTCCCTGTGCACAATTTTATGTTGTGATGATTTCCCTTGTATAAGGCATATTTGCAAGTATTTGGCTATTACATGTAAATGTAAAACACTAGTACACTTGTGACAGCTATTTTGTATGGCATTTTAATAGAAGTTATTGTTGTCTGTTAAAAACCGAAGTTTTCAATGTGCTGTAAAATCTTTTCAAGTTTGCATTGCATGCTAGCATCGGCTAATCAACCTTGGTATCTACCTCTGAACGAAAGGAGTACAAGTTTAAAGTTTAGACCAACTGAAAACCAATTACTGAAGCAATGTATTATCCTGGAAGTGATACAGTTAATAAGCTACCTTTTTTTTCGAATTGTTATTTAGTCATATGAGAGAAAGGTTCTTTTACAATAAAAGAGAAATTCCAAGCCACTTTAGTAAAAAAAAAATGAGTAGCATGAAAATAGGAAATTTACAATTACCTATTGTTTTCATAGCCACTTAAATATCCATTTACTTAGTTAGTACAGTCCTTGATAAAATATCTTAGTAAAATATACCAGATATTACTAACATTTATGCAACCCTTTATTTTATGTTGGGGGAATTATTTTAGGACTTATTAAAAATACAGGAAAATTTTCATGATAAAAATGAAATAAGGGATTGTTTTTTTATATCAAATTTTAAGTACATAAAGAAGGGCTGCCTTTATAAGTAGTGCTAACTTCGTAGTTTAAAAGCATGTTTTCGGGTTGTTTTTACTAACATTTCCCCTGAATTTGGGACAATATGGACATATATATAGTATATAGGTATGTCTCTGTGTTGTGCTTATAAATATTTTATTTAAACAATTAAATATGAGACAAGTTATGTGATCTTGGGAGTGGTGTTAGCAAAATTTATTTTGTTCATGCTTATCTTTATCATTTAAAAATGAAGGTCAATAAAATAGGTATTTCATAAAAAATTGCATTGTATCTTGCCTGATCATCAGTGTGCTAAGATGCTAGAACTGTTGTTAAAATTAAATGAGCTTAACTGAGAGTCCTAGGCCTGAAAACATGATATTTGAAATTCTTGCATATATCAGCTGTCCAGCTAACCTACAAAGGTTATAAGAAATACGGTCAGATTTAAATCTAAAAATGATTACTAAATAGAATTAACATTTAAATTGTGAAAAATGTCCACCAAAAAATGAAAAGTGTTAAAAAAAACCTTTAATGGGTTTAAACTCATATCAGGCTAAGACATACACAAACAATCTGAAATTTTGTACAAAAATTATTGGCCTGGTCCCTACATCATATTTCAAAAATAATTTGAATCCTGTCTTGTCAAAAAACCTCAGTCCCTTTAAGCTAAAAAGAGAATTGAATGAATAGTTCTGTAAAAAAAGAAAACACATCCCTTGGTAGCACTTGACTTGGCTCATATTAGTTTTATATTTGTTGCCATGTGTAGTAAAATGTTTTTTGTGAGTTTGTCAGAAATTACTGTTTATTTGCACATAATACATTCAAGAAAATGTTTTTAGGAAGGATTTAAACAATTAAATATGTTATGTAACAAAAAGTCATAATTATATGATATATTGTTCAGACATGCATTTATCTACCACAGTCAATGTTGGATGTTAGATAAAGTTTCTTACGTAATATTTCCTTAACCCATATACAAAATGTATATGTTATAGGCCTACATACGGGACAATTCTGACTGTTTATTGACCTTGGCACTGTTTTAACATGATAACAGTATGTTATCTGTGCATGAACAAGTTATTTAGCTAGACACAGTGTATTTCTCACATGATTTTGAAATGCTGCATTAGTGACATTTCACGAAAGTGTGTATATAATTAGTATATTGCAGTAAATGTCAGAATAGTGAAATGTAATAGGGTCAAGGAAAATTACAATTATTATAGCACTTGCAGTTCATCTATTCATAGCAACATCAAGTTTTCTCAAGTTTTTATCTGTAGCTTTCATTCTATTCCTACTGAACATTTGAGTTTAATTCACAGTAGTGTGAGTTTTTTAGAGTTTAAAATTGTAAATAAACTTAATTAGATTAAAATGTTAATTTCTGATAGTAGGAAATATTCAATTAAGCAAAATGAAACTTGCGATAAAAGTTTCACATGTATGTACTTTATATTTGAGACTAAAATTTGTTATTAAACTATAAATGTAATATTAAGAGTCTCCTATGTACCATTATTAAAAGGTATCTGTAACTTGCATGAAATAAATTAAGATGATCAAAATGATGTTTATTTATTTCAAAATACGCATTTTAAATTGTAATGGGAAAGTAATACTAACTGCAATTTTACATATCTGGGAATTCTATAGTTTTACCGCGGTGCATACTTTTATCTTAACTTTGGGGGAACATTTAAAAACCATTTAATAGGGGGGACCAATTTTTTTAAATTTGTGTTTTTTTTTTTTCCCCGCGAAGTCGTTTTAAATTAAAAAATTGTATTAATATTAGTTTAAGTTATAGAAATAGGTTTTTTTTTAGTATTTTTTTTTTTCCTTTTTATGTTTTCCTACTAAATTTCCCACCCCCCCCGGCATTGTTGTTTTGGGCCTTTATTTTTTTCCCTGTTAGGTTCCAAAGAGTTTTAAGAACCTACCCCGGGGAAATGCCACGCCCTTGATGATTGATTTTCAGGGATGCAGAAAAAATGGATTCACTTCAAAAAAGAGGGAAAAAAAGAGGAATAAATTGACTTTCATATCCAAATCTGTGTACCTACCGTTTTGACTTGTTATATTTAGAGATAACATATTGACTGATGAAATGCAGAATAAACATCCATATTGACAAATTAACCAGGATAGTTTCATCTTAAATAGATACATATATTGACTAGCTATAACATAAAGAATAACTTCCAATATTGTTTTGATTATTGTAGAATAACTTGATTGTATTGTTGATATCCAAAAATTAGAATAGAACTTCCCATATTGACTTACTAGATCTAGAATAACTTCCCATATTGACTTATGGTATCTTGGATTATTTTCCTATATTGATTTTTACTTTTAGTAAAATTATGGAACAGTTTCTAATTTTCCCCACATTTTTCGGTATTTATGAAAAAAAAAAACGTTTGTAAAATCAAAAACCTAAGGATTTGTGAAAAAATGTTGTTTTTAATGATAAAGATATGGTCAAAGTGAAACTTATTTGTTTTAACAAGTGATCATGGTGGATTTTGTTGTGATTGTTTTTATGACATTTTTTTCCAGCTTTCCAAATGAAAGACATATAAAAGATAAAAAGAATTATATTACATTGCTCTGTTGTTGTTTATTTTACTGTAATAGGATTACATTATTTCTGTTTGTTTTTAATAAGATATTATTAAAGTGAATTGGTCTGCAATTTGCATATTTTCTAGAAATATTTCAAAACTTCATAAAAACTATAGAAATCTATCAGTTGGATATTCCTATGAAATATTGCTTGAAAGAAAAAATGTTGATAAAGTTTTAAGTGATTCTGTTTGAAATTTTTGATGATGAATAATAAGATTTTGCACTATAACAATTAATTATTTGCATTATAAACAAATGTGATATCAGATCATGTATCTCACACTTGGGAACATTATTAATTCATGTATGATTCTTTGTGGTTTGTTGTTATATGTGTGTTGTTGTTGTCACAGTATTGTGTCACAGTCACTAGATTTCTCCAAAGGTCATTGAAATTTGGGAAAATTAAAAATGAACTGTTTAAATTATAAATATACAGCGGAAAAATTTAAGAACTTCAGAGAATGTTGATGAATTGTTTTTGTTTTCTTTCATGAATTTAATATTCAAAATAAAAAAGAATGCAAATTGAATAATTTTTTGCTTCTTTATTCTTATCCTCAATGCCAGCATTTAATTGTTGACAAATGTTCATTTCATATTACCACAGTACTGTTTAGGGGTGTCTGTGGCTGAGTGGTTAAGGTCATTGACTTCAAACCACTTGCCCCTCACTACTGTGAGTTCAAATCCTATAAGGGACTTTTGATTCTTTCATGTGAGGAAGCTATCCAGCTAGGTTATAGAAAGTCAGTGGTTCTACTTTGGTGCCTGAAATAATACATGGTGGTGCTCCTGAGGTTTTCCTCTACCTGGAAAGTCACTGTATGACCTATACTATGTTGGTGTGACGTAAAACCCAACCACGTGAATAAAAACAATACTGTGGTATAACTTATAATAATAATTGTGATAAAAGCCTTACACACTTAATTTTTGCAATATTTATGTCCTGTTTTGAATTTAGAATACATAAATACTAGTAGGTTTAAAATGGAATTTGATATCTATATACTGAAAATGAGTAACCGATTCATGGTGCACAGACCGGCATGATAGGCTAGCTGGCCCCTGTAGGTAGAACCTTTTGATTGGGAAAAACCACAGTAGTTACTGCCTTGTAAAAATGTCTGTTTGTCTCAAAACTTGTCTAGCCTTCTCCTCAAAAACTACTGGTGCAGTGCATTTCAATCAAACTACAGAAATGTCAGTACCATGTCTAGTTCTGCATAATGTCGGTTTTTTTTAGTTCAATGATTTTAGACAGGGTTATGGTTCTTGAAAGATTTTTAAGGTTTGTTTGGACTACTACTTTTACCCCTTATGCAATTTGAATGAAAATTTACAGGATTGATGGGGACCTCAATTTCTTGTGCATATTTAACTGGTTTTCCTGTTGAATGATCTTTGGCTTGGTTATGACCCTTGAATAAAGAAGGCGGTTTGGCCTATTTATGATTTTTGTGTGTACTGCTTCAAAGAAGCTGCAACATGCTATAATTTAGCTGCAAGATATAGGGAACACACTGTCCAATCGCCCCTTAATGCAACTGCTTAATTTCCTATCATCAGATGACAGCTGTAATCATTGATTGCTCTTGTTGCTATTATTGGCTATAACTGTTACGTATGGATTTTGTATATAACTTAAATACAACTACCTATAGGACAATGTCTTACAGAAAATCAAACTAAATTGAACTTTAACTCATAAGTGACCTAGATTATTGTAATTTTATGTCTTTTTGCTATAATTGGCTATAACTTTTTAAGAAATAAATGGATTGTATAAGAAGTTTGAATTGAACATGACCTTGACCTTTATTTAACCTTCCTGTAAATGTTCAAATAAGTGAATTTTGATAAATTGGCCATAACTTTAATTGTTATTTATTTAAAGTTTGATTTATACTTAGACAAAAAAACACTTATTTCAAAATTCACATGTTGAATGTTTTAAATTTGACATTGACCTTTAAAGTCAATTTATTGAATTAAGCTTAAATTTTTATAGCTTTAATACTAGTATTTATTTAGGAATTAGATTCATACTTGGACACAAATAAAAACAGGTATGACAAACTTGACATATCCAATAATTCAGACATGACCTTGACCTTTCAATGACATTGTAAGGTTTCTATAACCTTAAGAAATTGTAGATTAAAACCAAGTTTGTTTTATAACAAGAGATGATGATTGGTTTACTAATTATTATTGACCGTCACTCATAAATAAAATTGAAGGTCAATTGAAGTTGATTTTTATAAACCCGAAGACTTGAGGGATGTATTATCATATGGCATTGTCTGTCCATGAGACAATTGGTTTCTATATTATAACTTTTGAAGGATATCAATGATTTGATTTTACTTAACATGTAAGTATGTTATATCAAAACACAGTTTAAGTTCGATTTTGGCTTAGGAATTATGCCCCAATTTAAGCTAATTTTCTGTGAAATTATTGGTTGCCACAGAATAACTTTTGAAGGATGTAAGTGACTGTGTTTATATTTTGCAAGTAAGTATATTATCACAAAACACAATAACACAGAATGCAAGACATCAGCTCATTGCTCCTCTTTCAATAATTTTTAGGCTCAACTTTTCAAAGAAAAATTTCAAGCTATTGCTACAGTCAGGTAGTCATTCTTAATTGTCATCCAGAAACTTTGGCCATTTTTTTTTTATTTCTCAATGGATTGTCTTCATACTGTGTACAAGATGTTCAAGTTGTCTAAGACTAAACTTGAATTTGTCCAATTTTGTCTGGAACACATCTCCTACACACATGGATTGGAGAGATTTTATTGAAACTTCATAGAAATGTTCACCACTATTAGAAGCTTTATCTTGCTCATGAATAAGGTCTCTAGACCAAAGGTCAAGGTCACACTTAGAGCTCAATGAAAAATGCTTGTCCAGAGCAAAAATTCTACATGAATATCAGGATTTCCATATAACTTGGCACAAATGTTCACCATTTCAAGGCGGAATGTCCAAGACTAATTCAGGTCCCTGCGGTCAAGGTCATGCATAGAGGTCAATGTTCAGATAAAAATATGAAGATGTGTATAGGGACCCTCATTTGTTGAGGGGTTTTAATACAAATTGCCATTATCATGATTTTGGCTGTGACACCTGTAATTGAGGTCAATATATGCAAGGTCAAGGTCACTAAAAATGATAAAATATCAGGAATTTGTCTGGAACATATCTCCTAAGTGCATGGAAGACTTTTTAAAATACTTTGTTGAAATGTTCATCACCATGAGACGTATCACTTCATGCATGATCTAGGTTAAAGGTCAAGAACATATTTAGATCTAAGTGAAAAACGCTTGTCTGGAGCAAAACTTTTACATTCATATTTCTCTATAACTTAGCAAAAATGTTCACCATTGTGAGATGGAGTGTTGGGAATAAAATTTGGGTCCCTGTGACTAAGTCAATGTCACACATAGAGGTCAAAGTTCAGATATGAAGATGTGTATAAGAAACCATTTTAGTCATCATTTATTACAAATGGTAACTACCATGACTACAGGTGTGTCACATGTAATTTAGGTTAATATTTGCAAGGTCAAGGTCACTAGAGATAATAAAATGTCCAGAGCATATCTCCAGCATGCATGAAGGGATATTAGTATTACTTTATAGAATTGTTCACCAACATAAGTTGCAGTGTCCTGCAAATGAACCAGGCTTCTAGGTCAAGGTCACAGGTTCCTGGGGTTCACTAATGTAATTACGTTATCGTAACTCGAGTTTGAATGTAACTTTTTGCGTAAGCAGAACTTATGTATTTTTTTCTGTTCCACTAAATTTTCTAAGCTACGCATTTGCGTAAATTTAAACGTAAAGTTACGCTCTCTTATTGCTTGCAAAAATTGCATGTTCTGTTTAGTGAAACGCAACTTACCTAAATTTATGTTTTGCGTAAGTCAAAATTTACGTAAAACTTACGGAATGTTAGTGAAACGCTTGCCAGTAACCCAACTTTATGGATTATTCAGCTGATGTATGTTAATGCATGCAGACATTTATTAGAGACTTACTGTTTTGACAATATCATGTCTTTAAGATGAAACAAGTGATTATTTGATTTGACCATTCTCAGCAGTGTTTTAAAGTAAAAAAGAAAATGTTACTGGAGTCAGTATGATACAATATATCACATAGAGTTTGCATTCTTTACCAGTATTGCATTTGATGCCACAGTAATTGTACCATAATTTATGTTGGCATGCTATAATTATGTTAGCATGATATAACTATGTTAGCATAATATAATTATGTTGACATGCTATACTAGTAATTATGTAAGCATGATATACTTCAAAATATACCAATCCCTTGTCATATAATTGTATAACTTTTTACATTATTCTAATAATAATAGATAATTGAAAATGATAATTGTAAATGAAATTGATTTTATCCCTTGTCACAAGGTCCAGTGCTTTATGGTTTATCATGGAATTAGGTACATTGCATAACGTATGTTTGAGCATTTTAAATCAGAACATAATTAATTAAACAATAAATTGTAGAATAGCATATATTATACAGAGATAATATTGTTTATATGAAGTGTGCCACTGATTTTATTACAGTTTGATCTGGGAGTATCTATTGATGGTATAGAGTTAGATGACCCCTCAGATATGATCAACCTACAATTTCAAGTGCCTGTCACATTGAAACACCTTCCAGCAGCCTAACCTACATTACCATGGAAACAGAATAACTCAGGGATAGTGTTCTACAGTTATATAGTAATGACATTAAGACTATTGAAACATTTATTTTTTAACTACATGTACATTATTTTCGATGTATCAAAGAGTGAGATATTTTTTTAAAAGTACATTAACTTTATAATGAGAGAAGTATTTTATTTTGAAATTTTATATTGCCTTTTTTGGGTGAGGAATTTTAGCATATGTAGCTTTTTTAAACTTTTAATGCCTTTTTTGGGTGGGGAATTTTAGCATATGTAGCTTTTTTAAACTTTTAGTCACTTTTATGCATTACTGGCAAGCATTTTTGAATACATTTACTTTGGAAAGTCTCTTAACAAGAGGAAAGTATAAAATTACTTATGAAACATCTAGTGGCAAGAATGAAAATAATACAAATGTTGGTTTAAGAAATATTCTCAATTTTATACTTTATTTCAAAATCAAATAGGTTTACAGTAGAATAATATTTTTAAGTGTAATATTGCTTCATAATATATTAAAATTTAATCCCTGTGCTAAATTTCTTCAATGAACAATAGTCAAGATGATCCACTTTGAATGAGGATTTTTGCTAAAAAATACACAAGAAGACATCCAAATCTGAGAGAGGTTCCACATAACTTGCCAAACCCAAAGGATTACTAGTCATGACCCCCAAAACACCCCCTTCCCAAACACTCCTCTCTGGATCTGCACATGGTAGCTGCTTAGTTTAAAAACTTGTTCTTTATACAGATTTAGAACAGTAGTGTTTGAAATTTGTGCAAAAATTTACTATTTTATAGATTATTATGTTGAACCATTGATGTGTTACATGATTTAGTGTATTATTTATATATATTACTGTGATTATTATTTATTTCTGGCAACTTTTACAAACAAACCGGTGATTTGATCCATGATGCTATAATCCTTTCTACTATTAAAATTAATGGTAGTGTAAATAATGGCTACTTAATTTATGTAGTTTGTTTTATAAAGAAATGCACAACTAACATTGTTTTCTGCCGTAATGAAAATATGATAACACAAAAAAAAACAAAGTGCCCTTGAAGAAAGACAAACAGAACTTGTACTATGTAGTAAGATTCTGTCTATCCTTGTATGTGGGATTCAACATTTTCTCATTACCTGTAAGACTGTAAAAAGCATAATGCTCCAGCTTAGATACATTCTTGCTAGATACATTGAATTTCTTGTTTTGTTTTTCTTACATTACATAAAGCAGAATGATAACTGCATAATAGAAATAATTGGGAAATTGCTTTCACTTAGTGACATTTTAGGCCAAAAAAACTGAATTAAAACATTCATAAAATGATTGTCATAAAGTGCCTTGGTGCATATAGTCAGAATTGTTTTACTTGATTGTTTTTAATACAATTATACCTGTTTTGTTGTTTATTTTCACCAAACATGTATTATTGTTATGTTGGTAAGAAACCTGGTTTTGTTTTGCCTGTCATTGTTTTATATTAAAATAAGTTTATTAAAATTTATTTTTACAGTTTTCATCTTCTAGAACACAAAAGAAAAACCTCATCCCAATTAAGGTTCCAATTTTTGTCCAACACAATATTGCATTTTTGCAGATCATTCATAGAATATGAAATTAATATTTTTGCATTTGTTTTTTACAACAATATTTCTTTACTTTAAATCAGATTAAAGCCAGGAAGCACATTAATTTCTTTATCAATTTATTAAGAATAAAACCAAGATAATATAAAGCACATTGTAACTGTGATGTATTTATGTATTTTTTGCAATATCCTTTAGCAATCTCCCTCTAGTCATACTCTATTTATTACATAGTCTTATGCTTATATTATACATTGTATTGTATCTTTTTGTTTGATATAAATGTGATATTTTGTACAAGATGTACTGTTATGATAATAGTTACAGACATATTATTATTTCATACTTGTTATACTATTTCATTAGAACGGCGGTGGTTCTACTCAGGTGCCCGTTTGTGCTTGTAGTAATGCATGGAGGTGGTACCTGAGGTCTTCCTCCACCAGTAAAGCTGGAAAGTTGCAATAGTGTGACATGACTTATACTGTGTCAGTGTGATGTAAATTACGGTAAAACCCAACCCAAAAAATTCATTTAGATATTAGCCATCTTTTGATGGTTACTAATTTTACCCATACAACCAGTCAAATAAAGTTCAAGGTCAGCCAGAATATCACATCTGACTCTAATGTTAGCACTGATAATTTCCTCTTGTTTTAAGCATTTAACATTATAGCCAGGGCTTCAGTAAATGGCAGTTTGGGAGTCACTTACTCCTTGATTTGGCTAATGTGACTTACAAATTATATTGCTTTTCCTTCTTTACCTATATAATATTACTTCCAAATTTTAAGACATTTCGCAGACTCTGACTTCCAAATTTTGATACTTATCGAAGCCCTGAGAGCAGAATACGAGTAATAAGCTGATATTTCTAGAAGCACATATTGTTTCATGTTTGTATTTTTTCTGTTTTTCAAAAAGCACACACTCCCTATGTCAGATAGTAGAATAAACTTGCTATATGTTAATGTTTTTATGAGATACATGCAATAGTCTAGCCTTTCGCTAACCATGTCCTCTTTTTTTGTTTAATTTTAGTGATTTTTATGTTGTTTATTATCTCAAATTATATTTGTTGTTAGCACCAAAGATATAGTATTTAAGTATATATTAATATATTGTTAGATGTTGTAGAAATTATAGTATGAATATTATAGTTGAACATAAATGGCATTGATTTTGTAGACAAGTCACATGACTGTCTAAATTTGCTGAACTTTGTGATGTAAATTTTGTTGATGTTGTTTTCAAATTTTGTTTTTTTTATGAAGTAATTAAGTAACGGCTTTTTAAGAAATCCAACAGATAGTCATATTACTTCTTCCTTTATTTAATCTTGTGCTTATAATTTATCTATTTTTGTTGTTGTTATTATTATTGAAGCTATATATTTACATGTATATTTGTTGTTAACACTAAATACTTTTATTTCATTGTTACGTTTTAGAAAATATTAACATATCCTGGACTTAAATTGGTTAAGTGGACTAAGACAATGTTCTACCTCAGTACTGAATACTATAGCTGTTAACTTTTCTTCAGTTAATATGTGCATTTGTCCTAGAAACTGACTATGCTAGAACATTACAGAAGATGACCTCCAACTAGGGATCAGCATTTTGAACCATAACACGTTCTTTGACATTATTTCTTTACAAACTTGTACTGTTCAAGACCAATGAACTATGTTAAGTTCATTGTAAATAAGGAATTCTAGCATTAATTGGAAACCAAGTTCAGTTAATAGAATTGCACCATGTCTATCATGATTAAACTGAAATTAATGAATAAGTTACTTTTTAATTTATTTTTAACTTGAATATAGATAGGAAAGTTTTTTTCACATTTTGCATGCTAATATTATGAAAATTTTACAGCAAAAACCATGATTATCCAGTAATCAATATTTGCATTATATTTTAAGTGACAATCATTAAATTTTCTATGTCTTATATTATCATATTGCTTTTGTTTGCATGTTGTAGATTATACTTATTTGTTAATTAGCCAAGTTACATAGTACTTTTACTTTTTGTTCACAATAAAAGCTCTAAACAAAATGTTTTGTTTTCTTTTTAGTAAAACAATCATTTTCACCTGAATAACACTCCCAATTTTAGTTTTCTTGAAAGTAACCTTTTACCACATGCTGTTCATGTTGTTTTTGTTTTGTTTGGTCTCAAGTCATTCTTTTTACATGTACATCATGTCAGCATTTTTCAAGTTTCAGAACTACTGTTCACTTAAGTACTTTACAGGAAAAAAAGACCAGTGGACTAGTCTTGATCACAGATAAACTATGTATATCAGGTAGTAGGCTTCAAGTCTTACCGGTATTCAAAATTCATCACCTGCCCTTAATAAACCACTCAACATAGTGCTATCATTAATGTTCATAATTATATACGTGAAGTTTAAAAACTATGGCATTTTTTTCTAGCAATGGCACATTTTATTAAAAACAATGTAGACCAATTGCGAAGACTATTTGATAAAGTTCACATATAATGCACCAGTTCAAAAGTATAGGCCTAGTTATATTAGTGTATATTGTTGGAAGTTTTAAGGACACTGTCAAAGTCAACTTTCCAGCTTTACTGATAAGATGTAGACCCAAGAAGCTTCCTCTGCCAATTACTGTAGGGACCAGGATACTGGTGGCAGTCAAGCAGACACTAATTTTTCACCTAACACTATTTTCCCCTACTTTTTTTGGAAAACAACTTTTGAGATGCCAAGTTTTCAAATATGAAACACGGAAATTTTTTTCTATTTTTTCTGTTGATAGTTAATTAACCCATTACCGCATGAGCATTTTGTGAAAAATGGCTGTTTTCATTGAAAAGTCTCCCTTTACAAGTTCAAGTTGCTATAAAACTATAAAAACTGCTTCAATACTAATCAAACTTGGCACAAATGTTGACTGGACCATTGCCTTTGTACATTGTAAAAACATGCTCAGTCTTAAATTTCCTGTTACCATGGCAGCTAGGGAACATCTCAAAATTGCCAAAAATCACTATTTCGCGTTGATTTTTTCCATCAAAATTGATTTTAAAGTGCTGCCTGCCACTTCTCAATGGATTGAGATAGAGTCAAAGGCTTTTCACCATTGGTTACATGTTATGATCGACCTGGGGTCATTTTTAGCCTCTCACAAGTCCAAAATTTTCTTGGCGATGAGGGGGACTCCGCCCCCCTTCAAACCCCCCAAACAGAAGGGCAACCCCCTGATGTATCTTTTGGATGGGGGACGGCGCCGAAAAAGTGGTCAATTTTTTAAACAACATTTCTCAAACAAAAACAAGTGTTTGGGGGCCTAAATAAGGCATTTTTTCACAATTTGAGAAAGCAAAAAGGGGGGTGAAAAAGGCTTATACATGTATATCTGGTAATGGGTTAAACAACATTTGTAATTGCTACTAAAGACAATGCATAACAACAATAGATGATTTTTACTTGGTATAAAAGGAGCTTCTGGGTCCTTTGGCCCTCTGACAAGAGCTTTACCCTAAAACTCAGTGCTGATCCTAGATGATACCATATCTGTAGTTATTACACAATTACTTCCCCTATTTTGCCCCCTTCAAAGTACAAGAACAGCACTGAAGCACTGTTTTCCCTTTTTGCAGTAAAATGATATTGTATATATTTTTTTGAGGGAAAATGTAAGAATATACCTTGACTCTAAGAAATTTTCAAGGTGTAAAATTTTCCCATAAGATAAATAAAACTCATTTTCAGGGGTAGATAACTCAACAAGAGACCCATAATTGCCCTTTTGTGAGAGCTTTTGGGCCATTGGATACATTGTTTTTTGTTGTAATTTAACTTTCTAAGGTACATTGTTAGCATGTTATAAGGAAAACTTCTTTACAAGGAACAAACTTAACTTCAATTAAAACTAAAGTATTTTCAAAAAGGTAAATTTTATTATCTTTATGATTTATACAGATAGATGACATAACACAAATAAATGACTGATGAAGTCAGAATATAGAAAAAATGATTTCCCTCAACAGATGTAAAATTTACCTATTCATTATTCATGCAAAACAATTTTTACCTGTAAAATATAACAGTAAAGCACCTTCATTCAAAGTGAATAAAAATCATGAATTTTTACTAGTTCAAATGATTTTTAGACAATTACAAACAACAACTTCAAAACTAACTGTAGTCAATGATTTCAAATAATCTTTAATTTTCACTATAATCATAAAGGACTTCAAAGACTTCATGGGAAAAAGTTATCACTTCTTTATGAGGTTCAACTATTCCACATTATGTCCATAAGCAATAATACAAATATTTGTCTAGGTCACACATGCTTAAAATAAGTTGTCAAGCAGTAGAAGTTCTTATTTATAACATTTTTATTTCACCAAAGCTATTACCACAAATCAAAATGTATGTCTACAACTTATAAATGCATCTGAAATTCTGCATGTAAAATAAAAAAGAAATGCATTTCCATTTAAATTCTCATATCACCTCCCATAAGAACATATTCTACAACCCTCCTTACAAAGTAGTTATACTTATAATCAACACCAGTCAATACATGTATTTAACTACAATATATACTGAATAAAAATTAAGCCCATCCAAAACGTAAATGATTAAAATATACGTCAAAAAGCAAAATACAAAGCACAAAGTCAATTCACAAAGGCATAAAAATGACAAAAGTGAAAAATAAATGTATAAGGTATGGTGGATAAAAATGTCTTGTCAGAAATGCCATACAGGTATGTTACATCTATTGAAACCTATTTTTGTTCTTGCATGACAGAAACAGGTAAATATATTGTCAGTATGCAATACACTATCTTTAAAGGCATCCAAAGAAACAACTGACCATGTCAAAACCTACTTCACACACCAGTCTGTATTCCCATATTGTACAAGTTTAAAGTAACACAAGTAACCCATACAGTATATTGTGACAATTCCCTCATTAGCATTCAATGTTTGTTGGATTTTTAGTCACACCTACACTGTAAATGTCGTATGTTGAGTTTCCTCTTTTTCTAGAGGAGGAAGACCTCAGGTGCCTGTTTGTGCATTATTTCAGACATGAGCAGACACCCAAGTAAAATCACCAACTTTCCATAAGCTAGCTGGACAGTTCAAGGGAGGTAATTATGTAAACAAACAAGACATGTACAGCACAATCTGCAATGTTAGCATGTTCAAAATGTAAAGTAACTAAGTAGTAACTCCATACTGTCTATTCAGTTTTCTCTAAATATTTTATCAAATGAATGGCTGATTTACAAATGATAATTTTCACCAAATTGCATCCAATTTTTCCACTCTCTTTTTTGAAATACAGTACTTCAAATGTGCAAAATTTGAAGTTTTTGAGTCATGCAATTAGGTTAACTGGGGAGAAAAACCAGATTCTTTCCAGTCTGAATTCATCTATAGTCTTCAGATAAAAATGATGATTATCATACAGGTACTGTTTTAAACTGAGGTAAATCATACTAATATATAATCAACATGGAACATAATACCAACAACTAAAACTAAAACTTGACATGTATAACTCTTCAGCTCAAACTGTTATATAGATTTCTTAATTGTCTCTTTGTTAATATGACCTCGGCGAGTTCTGCAATAAACCTGGGAAGCAGTTTACCTCCTTCAAAGCCTAAAACAATTATTTGCAGCTTCATGAAATCATTTGTTTTTAATAAACAATCACTATCACCTGTTTTAAACAGGTATGAACACATTCGGGCTGTGATATATTGAATATTACAATAAAAACATTTAAACTATACACCTGTATTATGTACTGGCTAGGTAAAAACACAATCACACACACATACATGTATACACAATGAATCATTCCATCCAAATATAATCATAAACTTTACACGTAGCAAATAACTGAATGATATTCAGTTTATAACAAACATGTTTTACTTTGCTCACTCAATGTACAGACATTAGAAATATAGTTGTGTTGCCACACTAGTACTATACACTTGCTTGGTAGATAATATGGTTTTTAATCTATCAATAGTTAACCAGTGGCAATGCTATACCTGACATACTGTCATATACAAGAATACCATTTCATGGTACTAAAGTATTTACAAGTTGGCAACTTTGTGTATTAAAAAATATTTTAGGACATTTCTAAAACTGAATTTTTATATCTTTACTCTAAAAATAACACCACTTTATGAAAATGTGAAAAGAAAAAAGAACCAAACATACATTTATAAATAATGCCCACTTTTGTGTATAAAGGAAACACCTTAAAACACTAAAAATGATATTTCCATAACGTTAACAATGTGATGACAGAAAATATATTTATACTATTTCTTACATTCCAATCAGGAAAATACATTCATCCTATATAAGTATTAAGTCTTCAATGTTGCACAAATGGTGATTTACTAAAATGAATACAATAAAATTTTAGTACACAAACAAAGGAACAGAATTCTCTATGTTAAGAACATTTCCTAACAAAATATTCAACTTTTTCTTTAGTAGATTTACTTACAACTTCAGGCATGGGTGAATAGCTTTTATTGAAAAAATAAACATTTTTCTTTCAATTAAGATACCTTAATATGATGTTTTTACTATTACATTTTAGGATTTTAGCTTTAACCTCTTTTCAGACAAATATTTCTATTAATGATATAAAAACAAACTTTTAAGGATAATATTTTTCTGTTGCCATACATGGAAACTTGAATTATTTGCATCACTCTATGTTTAACAATATAACTTACAATTAGTGTTTTCTCATAGAGCCTTGTGGATTAATTTCAATGTCTGAATTTTCAAAGTGATTGAATTACATCATAAAATCAGTTCATAAAGGATAAATAAATGACAAAATTAATAAAACATTACCAACGATTTAAAATCTGAGCTCTTCTTTAAAATATGCAATAAGATAAAATAATACAAATGCAATCCTGAATCTTTCACCATCATGCTGCCTTTGACAGATAATTCCAATAGATCAACCTGACATGTTATCACCTGGTATTTATACTTGGTCACATTGTCTTAATTGACTTTTACTTTGCCTTATGTTTTTTTTCTCTCAGCTAACATTTTTCAGTTCTACTTCAAACACTAGGGTGCTATTAGGTGGTATTGGTCCTGACCTCTGGTTTCCATACCTGAAATATATCCCAACAATATATCATAACACTTCCATCACTTCTGCACCATACAATTTCTACAGCTGTATTATAACTAACAATAAATCATGGTTATATTGAGATGTAGATATCAAGATTTATGACCAGTTATATGACCTAGTAGCAACAGTTGTAAGATTATATAACCTGGGCCTCTAGGTGAGGATAATGAAGCATACAAGTCACTAAAAATCGCTGTAACAAATTCTGTCAGGATCAAGTTTAAGATCAGTATCAATATTGGAATATCTTCAAAGCATTTTTTGTTCAAGTTCAATATTTTTCTCTTCTAAACTATCATCATATCACATCATTTAAGATAACATTGTTTTACATAAAAGCACACAAAGTAGATTTTCTTATTACAATACTCGTAGGGCATGGGCCAAAATGATCACTAAGATTTAACACTAAGAGGATGTAGGCTTACAATAACCAATATATTGTCACTTTAGTGCAGTAACAGGTTAAGTCCATAATATAATTTAATAAGAGTTAACCTATTACTGCACTAAGGTTACCATATGCATTCAAGCAAATTGACAGTAATTTATCCTGTTGCTAGCTCAATTCTTGTAATCACTAAAATTTAAACCAAGAGTGAAGGAAGGTTAAAATGAGTTTGTTACTGGTAGATTAAGTGCAGTAAGGGAGAAAACTTACCCTTGTTGTGGAGGTATCGTCAATCTTCTCTTTCCTCCCATCTTCATACCTTTAAATACATGACGCATATGATCATTAATAATAATTTAGTAAAATGTAATATCACTTCTATATATTGTGCCAAGATGTTCACTGTAAACCAAAATTTGACTTTTTTTGAAGCCAAAGAAAAAAGAAAATGTAAAAGAGATACATCTAATATCAAATCACAAATTTACAATAAACACATGGAGCTGGCATCTTTCCTCCTAAAGTTCTTTACTTTTATATTTGATTCCTGACCTGCGCATGACACTTGTTTTGTTGTGACTATTTAGAAGTAGGGCTGCCATAGATGGAAAATTTTCTATCAATGTATAACGATGAAGATGAAATAAAAATGTCACATGTGTTTTCTCAAATACAACTGTATGTGTTATAAACTGTTTTATTTATGGGGTTACCCATGCTTGTTATAAGTCATCACAGAGTCTTTTTTAAAAAAATTGCTGGAAAGACACATAAAGGTTATATAGCAAATCAACAGGTTTTTACGTGTTTGGGTTTTACATCGCACCAACACAGTACAAGTCATATGTCAACTTTCCAGCTTTACTGGTCGAGGAAGACCTCAGGTGCTCCTCCTTGTGTAAATGGGCACCAGAGTAGAACCACCAATGTTTCGTAAGCTAGCTGGAAGGCTTCCCCTCATGAAAGAATCCAAGTCCCTGTCAGGATTCAAACCTACAGCGGTGAGGTGCAAGAGGAAAGTCTACAAACTTAACTACTCGGACTCGGACGCTCCCCTTGACAGTTTTAATGGTGAAGGAAGACCAAGGTTTAACATCCCCTGCCTAGTAGACAACAGTTTATAAAGCTATATGTCCTACATCTATGTTTAAGATAACATAATGCTGTTCAGGTAACAGATACAAAAGTATTCAGTAGTATACACTTTTTAAGTTCTGTATGTGTATTTGAATTTGCGGAAGCAAATTTTCGCGGAAAGGTCCATTTTGGGGGTCTATACAAATATTCGCGCTATTTTGAATTCGCGGAGGTGACTGCCGAAAATCATAAATTCGTGTAGACCCCTCAGGTAAACAAGGGTGCCATAGTCACAAAATACGCCCGTTTACGAAAAAGCTTTAGATGGAGATGGGGGCATTATGGATAAGTGTTATCTAGCAAGCAAGTTTTTATTCTTGGCACTGTGTTGTTAAATGAACCTTAAAACAAATCAATAGGGAAGATATGCACAGAATGTGTGACCTTGACCTTGGTCGCAGGGACCTGAATTTTATGCACGGCACTCAGCCTCACAATGATGAACATTTGTGCCAAATTATATTGAAATCCCTCTATGCATGTAGAAGTTTTGCTCCAGACAAGTGTTTTTCTATGAGCTCTAACTGTGACCTTCACCTTTGACCTAGAGACTTGGTTTATGTGCAGGCACTACGTCTCATGGTGGTGAACAATTCTATAAAAGTAACATTAAAATTCCTCCATGCATGTAGAAAATATGCTCCGGACAACATCTGGATATTTAATCATCTCCAGTGACCTTGACCTTGCAAATATTAACCTAAATTAAATGTGTAACACCTGTAGTCATGATAGTTACCATTTGTGCTACAATCCATCAATAAATGATGACTAAATGGTCCCTATAACCATCTTCAAATTTTTATCTGAACTTTGACCTCTATGTGTAACCTTGACTTTGGTCGCAGGGATCTGAATTTTGCATGCGACACTCAGCCTCACAATGGTGAACATTTGTGCCAAGTTATATTGAAAACCCCCAATGAATGTAGAAGTTTTGCTCCGGACAAGCGTTTTTCAATGAGCTCCAAGTGTGACCTTGACCTTTGACCTGGAGACCTGGATCATGCATGGAGCAATACATATCATGGTGGTGAACATTTCCATAAAGTATTATAAAAATTCTTCCATACATGTAGGAGATATGCTCCAGACAAAATCTGGATATTTCACCATCTTTAGTGACCTTGACCTTGCATATATTGACCTAAAGTACATGTGTCACAGCCGTAGTCATTATAATGACCATTTGTGTTACAATCCCTCAATAAATGATGATTAAATCGTCCCTATACACATCTTCATATTTTTATCTTTTTTTAAACGGGCGTATAAAAAGTACATGTAATTTAATAACTAAAAAATTCTGATTTAAGATTTTATTCTAGGGAAATCGTTTCATTACAATTCTTAATCTTTGAATGAGCTGAACTGATATTTACTTGAAAATTAAAATATAATTAAATTTCTATGAGAAAGTATTTACATTTGATAAGGTAATTACTGTATGATCTTTATGAACAAATACCAAGTCTACAGAACACCATAGTTATCACAGTTAAGAATCTTGACCAATGAATGAAACATGTGTAAATAAATGTTACATTCTTTAGAACATACTCAAGTCCAAGAAAGAGGATTATTTCATGCCCTTTGATTAAATTCTATTTTTAGAATTGAAAGTGAAGGGGAGTAATTGTGTAAGTCATTTATGAACAAAGTAATAACTTTGTTGTCTCCCTTTGATTAAATTCCTTTTACAAAATCTGGATATTTTATCATCTTTAGTGACCTTGACCTTGTATATATTGACCTAAATTATATGTATCACAGCCATAGTCTTGATAATGACCGTTTGTGTTACAATCCCTCAATAAATGATGACTAAATGGTCCATATACACATCTTCATATTTTTATCTGAACTTTGACCTCTATGTGTGACCTTGACCTTGGCCGCAAGGACCTGAATCTTGCACGCGACACTCCGCCTCACAATGGTGAACATTTGTGCCAAGTAATATTGAAATCCCTCTATACATGTGGAAGTTTTGCTCCGGACAAGCATTTTTCAATGAGCTCTAAGTGTGACCTTGACCTTTGACCTAGAGACCTGGTTCATGTGCGCGACACTGCTCCTCATGGTGGTGAACATTTATATGAAGTTTCATTAAAATCCCTCCATACATGTAGGAGATATGCTCCGGACAAAATGACTATTAAGAAATTATTGCTGTAGAAATATTCACGCTAAACATGAATTCGCGGATCGAATGTCAGGGTGAAGATCGCGAAAATTTGAAGCCCGCAAATATTTCTACACATACAGTAATTGCCTGACAGTAAACAACTGTAATACTGTCAAGACTAAATTCAAACAAACTTTCCCCTCAATATTTTATTAATTTACAATATCTCATTACTTAAAAGAATTTACCTTCAACACCTTTATCCCAGCCCTGTATAACTTCACCAAGTCCAAGTTTAAATTTAAATGGTTTACCAGATGTACAGGAATCAAATTGTCGACCGTCCTTCTGTAGTTTACCAACATAGTACACATGTGCCTAATGTATAAAATAGTAAAATATTAGCCTTCAATATGTCTAAAATGTACAAGTAATTAAAAGTAATAAATGTAACTGGTAGTTGTTTATTGATAATTAATATGGGACAAGTTAGAATAATTGAATTAGTAGCAAGAACTTAACAATTTTTTCCTGAACCTTGAGAAAAAAGTTCTCAGGTCTCAATCAGTGCATATAAACCATTTGAGCCGCTTCATGACAAAACCAACATAATGCGTTTGCGACCAGCATGGATCCAGACCAGCCTGCGCTTCCGCTCATTTAATTTTAACACTTAACCTGCTGGCCTCAACAGACCAGCAGGCACATCATGCTGATTGATCATGGTCTGCACTGTTCTCTGTTCAGTTAGTACATATGTGAAATTCTCCCCGAAAAATGATGAATGGTTGGATGCAGTCCATTTAATTAAGATATTTTATGTGCATACGGTTAAAGATATTTATTTTAGCCAGATTGTGATGTCATAAAGGCTTGAACCTTCCAGCAAATACCAAGCACTGATGTTCAGTATTGCACAAAAACATACTTCTGACACAAGAATGATTAGATATCCATTAAACAACTTAGCAACTTGACTACAGCTACTCAACTACAGCTCCCCTTCCATATATGCAGTTTGTACTACTCCAAAACTTTTCTTTTAAATAACAGGAAAACTAAATATCAAAATAAAACAATTAAGGTTTTAACATTAAAAATTTAATATTTTATAATCGATGTTTCAGATTTTATTACCATTCTTCCTTTCTTAGCTGGAGCACCATCCCCTATCTGTATATCCTCGGCAATAATTCCTCCAGCAAGCACTTGTTTCTTCGGGGTCTTATTTGGTTGAGGAGTTTTACTCTGCTGTGGGGTTTTACTTTGTTGTGGGGTTTTGCCCTGTTGATCTTGTTTGTTTTGTTGTTTCTGACCAGGTGTCTGCTGATTCTGTCCTGGTTTAGGAGTGTTTTGTTGTCCTGGTTTAGGGGTGTTTTGTTGTCCTGGCTTAGGGGTGTTTGGTTGTGGTGTTTTTCCACCTTGTTGCTGAAAAAATATTTTGCCCCATATTTACCAAATCATAGCTAAATCTGAATAAAGAAATTGTCCCAATTCCTATATGGCAAGTGTGATCTCAATTTTTGGGAGATCAAGATGAAAATTTAAAAGTATTTATCTTAATGTGTAGACCCTTGGCTTGACGGACTTCACATAGTGCTGGTGGCAAATACTCAACCTTTCCCAGTCAAGAATTTCGAGACTGAAGTACCACCAATAATTTGGACATATTAATAGTAGAGTTTATAACTAATTCATGTAAACAATTCAATGACTACGTAGAACTGCTAACTGCTCTTTATTATTATAGAAGATGGTAAATTCAAAATGCACTTTAACTTGACCTTATCTTCCACTCGAAAGAAAACAACACAACATTATATGGTAGTGAAAACTTGGATTATAATGCCCACATTCCCTTTTGGTAGAGACTAAGAGTTAACAATTAGCTGGTGCATTTCATGCTACAAATTCAATTTAAAGATGTTCCAGCATTTCAGTATTAACATTACATCAATACCCCTAATAAGCATGTAATATAATCATACAATGAAACATATTTTTACCTGGTCTGCGTCCCCATTCTCTACGTTCTTGTTCTTCTTCTTCTTTTTTTTCTTCTTCTTAGCTGACTGTGTCTCGGCATCTCCTCCAGGACCTGGTGTGGCAACTGGAGTAGCTGTGACCTTCTTGCCCTGATCCTGCTGTGTAAACAACAGTAAATATTTATAACAAAATTAATTGTTAAATCATGCAGTGTGTATCACTTAGTCTCAAGTAATAAGTATGACATCCAATAAGCATCAATTTAACCTACAGCCAGATAAAATCTTCTAGCATATCAGACTGGCGTTTCCGTAAGTTTTACCCATGCCAAAAATTTCATCTGGCATGGGGGGTTCCAGATGAGTCGCGTGCTGTACAATGGCACGATATTTGATGACGTAATTTTACCGTTATGAATGATTTTGTAATTCATACGCTGTTGAATGAAAGTAGTTACGGTTGTAATGATATAAATTTTCATTGAAAATAAAGATAAAGAATTTAAAATATAATGGAATATGGTAGAATATGCAAGAAAAAATATCTGACATATGTTTGCGGTTCGGATCGGAATATCCGTCCCTCGGTCACCCGCCCATGGGCGGGTCACCTCGGGACGGATATTTCGATCCGAACTGCAAAATATGACAGATATTATTATTCTCAAGTCTTCTTTCTAATAAAGCTCTATTTGAAAATCAATCAAAACCATAAGCAAAATGAAGTTTTCTTCACTCTTCTGTCATATAAAAACCTCATAACATGATCATCTGTTTTACTAGACAGAACAAGAGATCTGCTTACATCACTGCTGTTACATCACATACAGTCAGACTAAACTAGAACTATCACTAAATGTGATTAATACCCCCACAAGACTGCTTCGGAAATGAGGATGTTACTAGTAACAGAATTATGGTTGTGGGCAATTAAAGATAGTTGTGGTTCTTGTATGTTGCATTTCCTTTCAATGTGGTAGGCAATTGATGAAGTTTTATTGAATTACTCTGTAATAAGCCCAGAAAGACAAAGAAAAGGAACAAAGGGCAATAACTCTATAAATATTGAAATGGAGTTATAGTTCTTGTGTACTGCACTTCCTCTTTTTGTGCTTGACCATTGTATGAAGTTGTTTTGAATTCCAACCAGTACGTTTTAAGTTATGCTCCAGACAAGGAAAAGTATCAAAGGGCAGTAACTCTGTATTTTGTCAAAATGGAGTTATGGCTCTTATGCACTGCACTTCCTTTTAATGTCCTTGACAACTGTATGAAGTTGTATTGAATTCCAAACAGTAGTTTTCAAGTTATGCTCTGGACAAGGAAAAGTAACAAAGGGCAATAACTCTGTAATTTGTCAAGATAGAGTTATGGTTCTTGTGCACTGCACTTCCTCTCAATGTGCTTGACCATTGTATGAAGTTATATTGAATTCCAACCATTAGTCTTCAAGTTATGCTCCGGACAAAAAAAGCAATGGAAAAGTAACAAAGGGCAATAACTCTGTAATTAGTCAAGATGGAGTAATGGCTCTTGTGCACTGCACATCCCCTTATTGTGCTTGACAACTGTATGAAGTTGTTTTGAATTCCAACCAGTAGTTTACAAGTCATGCTCTGGACAAGGAAAAGTAACAAAGGGCAATAACTCTGTAATTTGTCAAGATGGAGTTATGGTTCTTGTGCACTGCACTTCCTCTAAATATGCTTGATCATTGTATATAGTTATAATGAATTCCAACAATTAGTCTTCAAGTTATGGTCCGGACAAAAGAAAGCAATTGAAAAGTAACAAAGGGCAATAACTCTGTAATTTAGATAGAGTTATTGTTCTTATGCACTGCACTTCCCCTTACTGTGTTTGACAATTGTATGAAATTGTTTTGAATTCCAACCAGTAGTTTTCAAGTTATGCCCCGAACAAGGAAAAGTAACAAAGGGCAATAACTCTGTAATTAGTCAAGATAGAGTTATGGTTCTTGTGCACTGCACTTCCTCTCAATGTGCTTGTCCATTGTATGTAGTTATATTGAATTCCAACCATTAGTCTTCAAGTTATGGTCTGGACAAAAGAAAGCAATGGAAAAGTAACAAAGGGCAATAACTCTGTAAATATTTTAGATAGAGATATGGTTCTTGTGCACTGCACTTCCCCTTATTGTGTTTGACAATTGTAGGAAGTTGTTTTGAATTCCAACCAATAGTTTTCAAGTTATGCCCCGGACGAGGAAAAGTAACAAAGGGCAATAACTCTGTAATTAGTCAAGATAGAGTTATGGTTCTTGTGCACTGCACTTCCTCTCAATGTGCTTGACCATTGTATATAGTTATATTGAATTCCAACCATTAGTCTTCAAGTTAAGGTCCGGACAAAAGAGAGCAATGGAAAAGTAACAAAGGGCAATAACTCTGTAATTACTTTGGATAGAGTTATGGTTCTTGTGCACTGCACTTCCCCTTATTGTGTTTGACAAATATATGAAGTTGTTTTGAATTCCAACCAGTAGTTTTCAAGTTATGCCCGAACAAGGAAAAGTAACAAAGGGCAATAACTCTGTAATTAGTCAAGATAGAGTTATGGTTCTTGTGCACTGCACTTCCTCTCAATGTGCTTGACCATTGTACGTAGTTATATTGAATTCCAACCATTAGTCTTCAAGTTATGCTCCGGACAAGGAAAATGCAACGGACGTCTGGACCGACCGACCGACCACCGGGTGACTCCTATATACCCCCCCCCCCCCACCCCAAACTTCGTTTTTGGGGTATAATTACAAAATATCTTGAGTTTTTACAAAGGACAGTCAAATGTCTACTTTGTTCTTAACTTCAGCTTACTAGTTACTACATTTAAAGGTTCATATGTATTAAAAAACTGTTATTTTAAAAGACAATTGACTAACAATAGTGTTTTGTTAATCATCTGTGAGTTAAACTTTACTTTAAAATTTCTTTACATACATTTTTATCTTGTTTTGGGGTTTTATTTTTCTCTTGTTTTGGTGTTTTCACAGCATCTTGTTTAGGTGTTTTAGACTGCTCTGGTTTTGGGGTCTGCTTCTCCTTTTTCATCTGCTGCTTTGGAGTCTCTTTTGTCTTCTGTGGCTTTTGTTTTGGTGTCTTCTCAACTTCCATATCCTCTACAATACCCAAACAGATATATCAAATTATTTCATATACAACACTTCTTTCTTTAAGTGAAGAGAGCTCTAATAAGACTAAAGTAATTATTTTAATGATAAAGTAATTTTTAGATCTACCAATTTTTAAGAATGACAAATTGTTTGATCATGAGGTGCAATGTGCTTTTTAACTGCTGCAAGTTATTTTAATGATGCTATGTATTAATTCTGCGTTCACCTATATAGTGTAGAGGATTAAACAAAATATATATCTTCTCTTTGTGTACTCAAAAGATGTTTATTTTACATCTAAAAAGAGACTGTATATTTTCAGTATCTTCATAATATATCTAAGTCACATACAGCTTTAAAGTTTTATACCAAGATTCTTGACACCAGCAAAGGAATACCCAACATGCCCTATGAACAGTATATCAAATGATGTGTGCAATACAAATCTAATAATTTAATCAAGGAAACCATGACACGTAAGTTTTACAAATTTCATTTTGCAAACAGCAAGAAAATACAAGAAATGGAAAATATCTCTTAAAGTCGGCATGTCAAATTCATTCAGCAGTGCAATACCAATCACATACAAGTAATTGTCACCACTTCTACTTTCAAGAACAAATTCATTACCATCACTTTCGTCTTCTTCTTCTAAATCATCAAAATCTTCTTCTCCAAAGTCGTCGTCGTCATCATCGTCATCATCATCATCCTCATCATCTTCTATGTCAAAATCATCATCATCTTCATCATCACTCTCAGCAGCCATATTGTCCAGCTATATTATTTGTTGTTATGAAAAGCAAGGATAGTTTATGTGAAGTTAATTAAAAGAAATTCAAACCTCCGAAGCATTCATAAATTTCACTGAGTTTAGAAAAATATGTACCATACATACATAATATAGCACAGAACATACATATTGTAATGAATAGGAATTACTCACTGTCCCTTCTAGAGGATAAACATAATCTTATTGGTAATACAGTCAGTGGGTTTTCTGTTAAGCAGATTTAGGGAAACAAATAGGGCCCCATTCACAAAGCATAAAAAGTGTTGTTTTTTTACTTTTTTCACAATTCTTCAATGAAAATACACAGTAATTTGATAATATTGTCAATTTGCTACTCCCAACATGTGAACTTGATATCTAGCTCTACTTTCAATCTTGCAAGACATTGATTTTCCAATGCTGCTCATAGCAAAGTACAAAGCCTCACAAAGCTACTGCAACAATATATTCTGAGGGTTTTTTTCTTCTTCAAATTATCAACATATTACATACCAGATCTGTTGTATTCAAGTCTTCATCATCATCACTGTCTTCATCACTATCTTCATCATCATCTTCAGAAAACTCACTGCCCTATTGATTAAAACAATATTTGCATCAATTAAAGAATAATACATTGTACAAAAACACATATCATCACAAATTATCATGTAAATTCTTTTTTTGTATTAAAAAATGTCACAATTTCTATTCAAATGTACATGTATACTGTAACAGTTATGATACGTACCCCTGGTGTAAGCCATTTAGTTTTCTTGTTTGGAACCAGAGCTTGAGAACTCTTCTTTCGTTTACCAGGAGTGACCAGTTCTGGTACTGGAAATAAAATACAGTAATGTGAAATAGAAGCTTTATCAACATGAAACATGGACCATTTATTAACATTAAAGAGTACACATGGAATACATTTGCATGTTGTCCTTAAGGAATTTTAATATTTCTCTCAATACTTCAATCACTGATGGAAGCCAATTATTTCTATAGCACAAGAAGATGTATTTGACTAATAACAACTACAAATGGCATATCTATTATGACTTAATTTCACAAAATAAGATTTAAATGTATTCCTTAAAGATGTTTAGAGTATTCTGTGGGACAGTATACAGCTATTCCTGTTTCATGCTAGCTAGCAACTCACAGTAAGGGTACAGTACAGCAAAGTTATTATACTGATCAGTCAAATGGGAAGTAACCAGATAAATAGCATCAATATTGATCTGCTAAAAACCTTAAAAATTTATAGCCATTTTCACTTCAAAAATTATAGATAGATTGGTAACAAAAGATTTTACATTTCATGCGGCCTTGTCAATATTTCAAATACAGCATTGATATTGGACACTGAGAAACTGAACAACTTACACCATCATACAGACTTCTGATTACCAGAATACTTATGCAAACATGAAACCTTGGTAGAATCAGGTAAATTAAGACCAGTAATTAGCTTCCTTTACGGCCTGCACATGCTTTTGCATGTTTATGGCTTCGGACCTATGTCCTGACTCCTTAGTTATAACGTCATAGCAGCAAATACAAGAACCCAAGTCTTTCTACTGTTACTGAGTAGATTTTAAGCAAGCACTTTAAGCTTTTCATGTAATCTTTTACATATGGCAAAGCAGCGGTTTTTTTTTCTACTTTGGGAATGGTGCCGGTACCAGACTGATTGGGACAAAATGCGTTATTTTGACTTAAATTGGGAATTTTTTCATTCATTTTTTCAGCTACAAATAAGATTAGCCATCATGAATAAAGATAGTTAACAGCTTCCACTGTCCAGGTAGAACTATTGAGTGGTAATTTAATATGTTGGATTTAAATGATTTCAGAGAAATCAGTTGGCCTTGTGGGAATTTGAACAGCCATTTTGGGAATTTAAACATTGGAAATTTTAATGCCTATTTTCTATTGGGAACAGTAACGTTTTAGGGTAGTAGTTATATAAAGAAACAAGAACGTGTTTGTTAAACACAAATGCCCCCGGCTCAGATTCTTGTCAGTAGCAGTATTTCAAAAAATGTTTACCCATTCACTCAGTTATGGACAGAAAAATTGCCAAAAAATTGTAAACACAAGTTATATAGCTTGACAAAGTCATGGCATTTTGTAATTGTGAAAAATATAAGTTGCCAAGTCATTGCTCTGACTTGTGAAGTTGAAAAATATTCAACTTCATGCAAGTTATCTTGCTACCAAATATGAAATACATTGTCATTAAATAAAGGCTGTATGGGCAAAAGTGTAAAAATCTATTTTGAGCACTGGTGACCTTGACCAAACTGACCCCTAACTCTATCCAAAAGAAGAATACCATGTAAGTTATCTTCCTACCAAATATGAATACATCTGTCAATAAATAAAGGCTGTATGGGCAAAAGTGTAAAAATCTATTTTTAGCACTGGTGACCTTGACCCAACTGACCCCTTACTCCATCCAAAAGAAGAATACCATGCAAGTTATCTTCCTACCAAATATGAAATACAGCTGTCAATAAATAAAGGCTGTATGGGCAAAAGTGTAAAAATCTATTTTAGCACAAGTGACCTTGACCCACTGATCCCTACCCCAATCAAAAGGATGATTATCATTCAAGTTATCTTCCTACCAAATATAAATATATCTGTCACTTAATAAAGGCTGTATGAGCAAATGTGTAAAATTCTATTTTTAGCACTGGTGACCTTGACCCAACTGACCACTAACTCCATCAAAGTGTGTGTTTCTATCAATTATAAATAACATCTGTCTTTAGAATAATGTCAATATACCTGTAAAATGTAAAAATCTATTTTTAACATTGGTGACCTTGACATTGGTAACATTGACCTTGACCCAAATGACCCTTACTACACCCAAAGAAGGAGGACCTCCCTTGGCATGTTTAAACTAAAACATCAACTAAAAAATAAAGGCTGTATGAGCAAAAATGTTCATATTTATTTTTTAAACCAGTGACCTTGACCTTGACCCTAGAGACGGCTTACTCCATAAAAAAATAGAGGACCATCAAAGGTATCCACCTACTAAATATGAAAGATATCATTAAACAAATTAAGCAATTAGGAGAAATTTAAGATAAATCCAACTTGCCGAAATAGGTTAACCAGACAAGGCCCTATTTTCAAAGTGAAAAAAGGGAAATAACTGGGAAATATGGATGACACAGTTATATAACTTGGCAATATCATGTACATTGTATTGATAAGTAAGTGTGGAAATTATAAAGCCATTAGTATAGATAGAACTTAAGATATTTCCAACTTGCCGTTTAAGGTTAACCATTATTCATTTTAAGTGCTGAAAAGGGCAATAACTTGGTAAATATGAAAGCCAGAGTTATGTAACTTGCCCAGATCATGTACTTCGTATTGATTAGTAAGTGTGTAAACTTGAAAGCCATTGGTACAGGTAGAACTTAAGAAAAATCCAACTTGCCATTCTAGGTTAACCTCGTACAGACAGACGGATGGACAGACGGTTCAATTACTATATGCCCGGGGGCATAAAAAAAACACTGCAAAGTGTATACTTGAGTATAGATGCCTGTTAAGTATTTTATGGCCCTTTTGGATGAAAACTATATTGCAACCCCTGTATTATAATCAAACATATTGTGATATTGTCCTAACATTACATCCTGAATTTTCCTATACAAGTCTATGTAAACTAAGTGATCCCAAGAGTTGTGGCTATTTTGACTTGTGGGCATTTGTAAAGGACCACAACCTGCTGTTAAATGCCAAACATCTATTACACCTTGTCAAGAAAAGAAATATTACAGATTTCATTTTGAATGTCTATTCATAACTACTGTGACCTATATAAGTATCAGACTGGAAATATTTATATACCTTTTGGAGAGGGCTATTTTTGTGAAGTTTGGTCAAAAACCACCAAGTTGTTTAATTTGGGAAATTGTTTTAAAGAGCTTGTGGGTTATTGACAAAAGCTTAGGACTAAGGTAAGCTAATAACTACCTTCTTCGTCAGAATCCTCCTCTTCCATATCAAAATCTTCCATTGCATCCATATCATTATCTTCAAGTTGGTAGCCCGTCAAATGTATATTCCCTGAAAATGATCAAAATTTAAATGTTGCAACTTGTAATTAACATTTGAGTAATAACCAGTCAAAATACCTGTTTATGCATATATTTCTATTAAATAGTCAACTAGTCAAATAAATAGAACCCGAAATTATTTAAGAAAAGTGACATATATTTTTTTTTTAAATACTTGAAATATACATGACGATATATAAATATTTATCTAAAAAACATTTTTGTTACAGTTACAGTACTAAGTAAGTTTATCTTGCCAGATTATGTAGAACACAAAAGAATTAAAGCTACCATTTGTTAAAGATTACTGTCAATAGTTACATATAGTACTTACTGGATAATTCTTTACATTGTGTTTAAAAGTAGTTCATTTCTTCAGGTAAAGAATTTTTCAAATTTTAGATAAAAAATGTTTTCATGGAAATTAGAGTTCTCCCATAGGGTGAAATTATTAATTTAGAGGCAGGGGGAACATTTTACATAGAAAAAGAAGGGAAAAAATCAACAAATGTAATAAATTCTCTTTTTTCAATAACAATCCCCCTTGTTTTTCGAATCCTAGAATAGACACTGAAGTCACTTTTAGAATTTTTACCTGGCCCGTTAATGAAAAATGTTACTTCCTCCCCCTCATTGAAGTTGAGATCTAGAGGTTGTTGTGTCTGATGTTTGTAGTTTAAAGAACAAATCAAAAACTCTGACTTCTGGCTTGCCACCATCACCGATACTGACTGATGATGTTTACCTTTCAATGTTTCTGTAATAAGTATGCATAAAAAAAATTTCAATTAAAAGTTGAACTGTTAAAATTCTTCAAATCTTAGGAAATATAACAAATATTCATATTATTCATATAATCATGCATATAATGATAAATCAGGCCCATCCAAAAACTAATGCAATATTTCTACATAGTTTCCTCTAACACAATCGGCTAACTGCAGGCCTTTTTTCCCCTATCCCACAGATCCCATTATGGGGCCCATTCCCCATCCAAATTATGTTGTGTTTTTTTCCAATCCAAAAAAATATTCCCAATCTAGAAGTCAGCAATTTGAAAGAAAAAGTACCGCATTTTCTATTTTGATGTTGTGAAATAGCTTTAGGGAATATATTCATGTTTTGTACAAAAAACATGACTTTTAGTTGATTATCAGTTTAACATTTGCACACATTTTGGCCTATCCTTGTATTTTTGATATCACAGAAAAAGCTGAACAGTTTAAGTAAGATTTATTTAGATTTATTTTAACAATTAATTGTATCACCTTGAATGCTAGCATATTTTCCCAAATTGACATTTCATGATAACCTTTTTCCTAAATTGGAAAAACTTTACGACAAAAAAAGGCCTGAGCTGCTAAGCAGATAATTTTTTCTTAATTAAGCTTCAAAAAGTAAGAACCAATATCTTTGTTTGTTTTTTTTATCTTTACTTAGATTTTTTTTAATTTAATAAACAGCAAAATTTAAAGTTTGATGACAAAATCTCATTACCAGGTACATGTACATATTAATTATTTCTATCAGCAAAGTTTACCTGCATCTGTTGGAAGTTCTAGAGCTGCCATGCTTATATGGAAAGATTGCTCTACAATCTGACTGTAGCGCTTTCCCTCTTCTAAAACAAGTGCTGCAAAAAAATGAAACAAATTCTAATAAAATTTACAATAGAGCTGTTGCTGACTCTCTGCAAAGCATATCAGTGATATATTGTATCAGATGACAAATATATATGATACACAAATTTATGGATAATTACGGGACTCTTTCCAGGGGTATTGAAACAGGAATTTTTCCACTTGTGGAAAAATGAAAATTTGAACCAAAACAATTTTACAATTGTAACTAAATGTGCATGCTAAAATTTAATACTTAAATGACTGGTAGCCTTCATATGACCTAAATGTATCAAGGAGCTTGCTTTCCTACAAGAGTTCTCCCATAGGGTGAAATTATTAATTTGAAACAGAGAAAGTACATTTAATCATGGTTAAGTTAATAACTAAGATTTCCTTAACTTAGTTTACTAAAATAAATGTTCCCCATTGATAAGGGATATATGAATAGGAAGTGGCTAGTACTGCCAGCCAGAAGTTCTAATCGTACAACATGTTTTCAATAATAAATAAATGCAATGATGAAGTCAGTAACTTGGCTAGCACGTCTTGTTACATTTTGACAAAGAATGAACATGTATGTTTTTTGTAAATAATTACAGATGTTTGGCATTTATATTATATCGGATTAATCTGTCAGAAATGAATTCACCCATATAATTAAAGAGTTTTTGTGAGCCGATGGAAATTCTAATTTATTTACAATTTATAATTATTAAAAATACTTTGTCATAATCTGTTTTATTTACAAGTTATAATTGTTAAAAAACTTTGTCATAATCTAACTACCGCTGGAAATTGACCTTTAGACTTTATTGTCAATTTAAGTCCCGGACTGACACGTTAGCAGCTATTGTTCTTAAGCAATCGTGAAAAACTGGTGTACTGCATCATTTTATTGGTGAGCAAACAACCAGCTTTAAGTGTTCAAGATGACATTTTCATTACATTATATTGTCAATAGAAATGATGTAATACTGTTTCAATTTATTTCCCCTCATATTTTCTCAAGGAGTTTAATTATTATACTCTGTGATTTTCAGAAGAAAAAACTTCTGATCATCAAAAGCTAAAAATTAATATACCTTCATTAATTGATAAGTTTTCATGATGTTCAATAAAATCTTCTTTTAGAAACACAAGCTTTCATATATTCATTAATTGTTTTAGGTTATTTATTTTAACAATCTAAGTGATCAGTGATCACATGTGTCATCTCACAATCCTAGTCCAACTAATTAGACTTGTCAAAGAGACACCGAGATAATTTTGGACGGGCGCTGTCTTTTTCCAAGTCCAACCACGAACTGCATTTTTATGCACGGACGCTTCCCAATTAGAAGTTGTTGGGAGCGAAAACTAGAAAAGTTTCAAAGAAACGGTATACATTACCTGAACGAGAATCGTTTTTTATGCAAGGTTCCAAATTATCATACTTCAAAGTCGAACAGAAGACTAAATATTCCACTTTAATTTTTTAATCGTTGAATGTTATTGAAAGCGGCCATATTGGAAAGCGGTGTAATGGTAAAATCCATGGTGTAACACAGGTATCGACGGCGATCAATTGTATTTGCCAAGCTTTATTATACAATTTGTTTATGTTATTTATATGAATTATTGCAGGATAACTCTTTTATTCACACACAAATATTTCAGCATTAAAAAGAGAATGTGAAAAGAAAATTCTGATAACCTTACTTACAAATTAAATAGTTTATGATGTCAGATCATACTGCATTTAAGTCCGTTTAAATTGTCAAATTAGATATTATTAAGTTGGATTTTTTAACATTTGTGATCATTAGGTGAAGTTTCTGAACTACCTTTTTATTTTATAACCCTGCCATGATTTCCCACATACGAAAATACAATGTAATTGTAGGTACATCTTAATGAATTATAATTATAATTATACTATACATGATGAAGCAAAGAAAAATTTCAATTTATATTACACTCCATATCAATTTCTAGTTTATTATCTTTAAAAGAAATTGAGGACGGTTGTGAAGGGGAAGAAGTTCAAAACAACCAAAAATAACTTTAAAATTCCGAAAAAAAAATCTTAAAATTTCAAACTATAAAATGGAATTTCAGACAGTCCTCAGTAAAATACAATTGTCGCACAGATTTGACGGGGTTTATGATAAAAACACAGCAAGAGGAAATTTAGTGACCGTTATTTAGACGTTGAATAGCATAACAATGTAAGACAGATGGGAGAAATGTTAGAACGACTGTCGCAAAAGGACACCAAAACCTCTGATACCCATTAAAAATTCCATGTTGTCTAGTTCCCGTTGAACGGCACCTCGAATGTGTCACATTGAAAGTTCCATGATTACCGCCGTATTATGTACACATTTGTGGATGTTGATTAAAAATTTCAACATTATTATGTTTAAGTGGTCAATTCTGTTTAAACCGGCGAAAGGGAGCACTTGCACCTACCAGAGCCGTCTTTGGCACTCCTGTGTATTTATGTTTCGATTTTGCAGTTTCAGGCGTTTTTGGTGGGTTTTTTTTTCGAGGGTGGATACATGAATGTGGATAAGTTTTTTCTGTTTCTTTACATTTCTTTGCTTGCTTGCCGAACCTTGTATTGATAATCATTATCTGTTTGTTACGGTTCGGTATACATGTATACAATATGATAAACAAGATGAACAAGGAAAGGCGGCGTTCAATGAACGCAACTCCCACACGACCCAGGAACATGAACCATTGGCAAGGAGCCCAGGATGATTCTAAATTAAAACGGGACAGGGCGCAAGGGAGAGCACGGTCAGGCTTATCACTAAAATGTAACTGAGAAGGAAATCAAAGAAAATAAATAAATGAATGATTAATAGGACCACTAAGTTAACGAGCACAGGGGAAGGGGATAGGAAATTCGGGGAGGGGGCGAAATAAAGAAATAAAACTAGGGGCAAAGGGAAGATACTTACCAAAGACGAGAAAACAACAAGGGACACAAACAAAAGTGTCACCAAAACAGTATGAAACAGGACCACTAAGTTAACAGGCACAGGGGAAGGGGATAGGAAATTCGGGGGAGGGGGCGAAATAAAGAAATAAAACTAGGGGCAAAGGGAAGATACTTACCATAGACGAGAAAACAACAAGGGACACAAACAAAAGTGTCACCAAAACAGTATGAAACAACAAGACATACACCTTATACATTTATAAGTCTTAATCTGTTCATTTGAAAAATCTGATCTTCTCAATGACTTTTTTTTAATATCCTATATAAAAAGATTTAAATTATTTCAATTAAAATATGTGACCCTTCCTTTATAGTTACACAGCATATGGCTGGATCACAATAAAGTTCCTTTTTAGTAAATTAATAAAGTATGTCAAGAGAACATTTAACTTTATCAATAGGTTTAATATGGTATTATACATCGGCAATCGGTGAAAAAGAGCTCTTGAAATATTATTTGTACAAATACTGAATAATTTGAAGTGTATTTCAAATAGTTTCCTTCAATATTTCTTTTACGTTCTTAATTGTCATATAAATATGCATGTATAAATAAAGTCAGTATTTTATCCGAGAGTGACATTTGGCAGTCATTAGCAGTAAACAAGAAGGCAAACCACCAATTGATAAATGTTGAGTACATGTATTAAAATATTTAAAAAATATTAAACAACAGGACCATTGCATTTTAGGTTAAATACAATGATACTTTTCAATAGTATTTAATAATGCACACATTTATTAAAAAATGATGAATAGATTTATTTCCCCCGATATTTTGTTTAATTTAATCTTCATGCGTAACCCACACTTACCTGCTAGACACACTGGTAGCTACTACCAGCTTTCACGGAATCGATTTTTTACGATGACGTCATAACATGTCCGCCGAAGATAGAGTAGACAGTACAAATTTGAAATAAATCGCATGTATGCGTTAAGACAGGTACAATCTAATATTTTTTCTAGGAGAAGTTAGTACTAAAATTTATATTCTATTGATCTTTAGAGGTAATTGAAGTTACTTTTAGGTTTAAGCAGTAAAAATCAGTCCAAACTATCGATAGTGTTACCGGTAGATTTTCCGTGCGTAAAAATGACAGTTACAATTAGGCGTAACGGTTTGACAGTAAGAAAAAAAAGTCTGTAAAATGGGTCAAACCGATCACGCCGAATTAATTAGGCTACTCACAATCCCTAATTGCATGTTGCAGCTACTTTGTAGCAGGGCACACAAAAATCATTAAAATAAAAGGGCAAAACCCCTTTTTATTCATAACTCGGCCAAAATTTATTCAACATGAAAACCCATGTATTATTCTGATACTGATCATTCCTGTAAAGTTCGGATGAAATTGCACCAGTAGTTTCTGAGAAGTTGTCTAAACAAGTTTAGACAGACGACGGAGAAATGATTCCTGTATGTTGCCTCTACTATGTAGAGGTGACACAAAAATGCCTTACGGTTAGCCCGACAGGCCCGTACAGCTCATAGCCCACTGCCATATAAATATCCCCGTACTGCCTCTTTCCGATCAGCTAACAGATTTTTCAACAATAACTGACAGTGAAATTATATATAAAAAAATTCTCTTTCAATTCTGCGAATATTATCATTTCAGCTAATAAATGAACCAACTTTTTAAAATTTTACTTGAATTATTACTATGAATCGAGGACAAATCATTACTGACCCATTTTCCAGTTCTTCAAAATTTCACAACCACTTTTCAATCAGTTAACAAAATATAAACTGTATCACATAAAAATTGTCATACAATGTTAAAATATAATTAGTTCTGTATTTTGGAGAAATTTTGACAAACTCAACTTCAGATAAATGGTAATAAACAATTTTAACCTAATTATAATGCCATTTTTCAATCTAGATATCTATTTGCAGTGGTAAAGCTGTCACAATTGGGGTATGGATGTACATTTCAATTTGCATAACAGAAAAAGCATGTTCTTGTGAAATTTTTAGGATCTTAGGGTCTATATGACCCCATTCTAGTGACTGCTTACTGAAAAGTTATCACAGACAATGTTTTTCCTTGGTTAAGTGACTGTTACTTTACTGATGTATTACCTTCCAATTAAGAACTGAATGGTAAAATATGTACATATTAAAATTACAGCTTTTGAAGTGCAGTATACATTATGACTTTATGATATTGAAACAGTTGTCCAACTTAATTACCATTTCTGCAGACTGACTAAAAACTGAGTCTGTAAATCAATTATTTTTAGAAAACTATTGCGGTTTGTAACTGGGTAAATAAAGGATTAGTGGAAAACACACATTTTACATATTTTGAACTAAAATGCTAGCATTTTCTTTTTTATCGCCATAATTGACATTGCTGCTGATAAATTTAGTCAAGGTGAATACAAGATGTGCTTACAATTTGGTGACATGACAAATAAGGTCAAAAATAAAAAAATTCTAGGGATGATTGAAAAGTGGTTGTGATTGAAAACTGGCAGTATGTGGATACTGTAGATCTAGTTGATTTTTTTTATATAAATCGCATTTGTACCATGCATGTTGAACTGAATTGAAATAGAAAATAAAGTGTGTGGGTAAATTCCATTCATACTTGGAATTTGAATTAGGGTTTTCCCTTTTTCCTGTGTCATTTATGCTGCAGTATTTCTCCATCAGCATTACAGAAAGGAACAGGTCGATTTGAAAATTAAAATAAATAGCGAACCTATCGTCTCGCAAAAACAAGATGAGCAAAAGAAAAACGTAATTTTGTAAATTAAGATTTTAATATAACGATCAATATTAGTATGACACAAGACACAATTGCTTAAAAAGTGACGTAATATTATAAATACCCCAAAACATATTTTCTACTGATTTCAGTTGTACCATTGCACATGTGCTATCGTAAAGTGGTCTTAAAAGTTTTCCCGTTATAATGTCGTAAAAGGCTAACCATATTTTACAGGTTGAAAACTACTAAATATTTTCCTTCACTTTAAAACGACCCAAAACACACTTTATATTATTCTAGTATGAAGTAACTGTTATGGCACACAGTTCCTTTAGAAATAAGAAATTCTACAAGTGTAAATTGTTTAATAAAATCACATTTCAAACATTCATTATCATCAAAAGATAAATTATAAGCAATATCCCTATATATAATATCTATCGTTTTTGTTGGATAAGATGATTGTAATGAATGTTTTAATTTTTATTTTAATTACTTTTAATATGTCTATTTTTATGTTAATTGTTGTAAATAATACATTTATTTTGCATTATATGTGTTATCTTTGGTGCTTTGATGAAATGTCTTAATAAGCTACCTTCGTTTTAAATGGGGGCTGAGTGGTTAAGGTCGTTGACTTCAAAGCACTTGCCCCTCCACCACTGTGGGTTCGAATCCCACAGGGACTTCGGATTCTTTCATGTGAGGAAGCTATCCAGCTAGCTTATGGAACGTCCCTGGTTCTACTCATTTGCCCGTTCGTGTCTGAAATAATGCACGGAAGGGCACCTACTTAAGGTCTTTCTCCCCTAGTAAAGCTAAAACGTCGCCATATGACCTATACTGTGTCGGTGTGATGTAAAACCCAATCAACCAAACAAAACTTTCGTTAAATAAGGAGTTTATTATTATTATTATTATCATTATCATTATCATTATTATTATTATTATCATTATCATTATCATTATCATTATTATTATTATTATTATTATTATTAATAATATTATTATTATTATTATATCACTTGGCAACCATACGATTAATAACAACTTTCTATAGCAACCGGTGATTTCCATAGCAATCATAAACTTCTATTAGCAACAGTGACTTCCATAGCAAAAAGTCTTTTTTTTATACTGCAACCAGTGACTTCCATAGCAACCATTGATTTGCCTTAGCAACCATTGCTATTTTTAACATGTTAACTAACACAGATTTGAACTTTGATTTAAGTTGTCCTACCTGTCTTCCATTTTGTCAAACCCCTGTTGGGGACCTATATTTCATTCATTCATTCATTCATTCATTCATTCATTCATTCATTCATTCATTCATTCATTCATTCATTCATTCATTCATTCATTCATTCATTCATTCATTCATTCATTCATTCATTCATTCATTCTATTCATTCATTCATTCATTCATTCATTCTGTTTTTCTGTGTCGATCTTAGTACGTTATATTCTGAGATAACGGAATTAGATCAGAAATATATGCTGGTGTTAATTTTTTCATATCTTTATACACAACTGAATAAATCCAGAAAAGTAATAACATCTAGATGGAAAAGCTAACCATTTTAGATTTTGAAACTTTTCAAGAGAATTGCTTTTTACGGGTTTCTTTAAAATAATTCTGGCGGTTCTTTTTTGTAAATTCATTATTCTGTTTAGATCTGATTTGTTACTTTGGGACCATACAGTTTAATACATCCATTATCAAAAGTACAGGCAATGTAAGCGTTATAATATAATTGTTTCATTTCAGGTTTAAGAAATATTTGAATTCTTTTCAACAGGGATATTTTATGAGCAAGCTTAGAACACGTTTTGTCAATATAAATTCTCCAAGATAGACAGTTATCAATATGAATCCAATTAGTTTTTGACAATGATCATTATTTATTCTCGAACTCTCAATATTCAGAGAAAGATTACTTAAGTTATTTATTTAACATTTTGATCCAATTATCATACATGTTGTCTTTCTGGATTAATATCCATGCACCATTCCTGTATTTTACTAAGTCTAGCAGCAACACAGCTGTGTATTACTAAAACTTTGGTCAGCTTTATGTAATGTTGAATCATCTGCATACATATGAATTTCTGAATTCGTAGTGAAATAGTAAAGGACACAATTGACCCCTGTGGTAAACATGATAAAACCGGCAAGCTTTCATATTTATAATTGTTCACTTTTATAATTTGCTCTCTAGTGCACGACTCAGCTCAATGACACATGGGCCATCACAAGTTGTACAGTAAAATGCATGTATTTAAATACTTTTCACATTTGTCAAAAACTAACTTTTCTTTCTTCTTCACTTGGCCCCTAAGCCCAACTCCAGACATGGTTGCTTACACGTGTTTACCCATAACCTCTGACCCCTTACTATTGTTCTATTTGTATGTGAAATTTGAATTTTGGCTTCAGACCCACAAACTTTCATGCACATAATGTGGTGGGTGGTGTTGTAAACCACTTTTATAACAAATCATCACAATAGATTTTGCTTGTGAAATCAAGACCGGTTAACAAAGTTTTTTTATAGTGTTTTATTTTGTTCTTTTTCATCATAGATGTTTGTATTTAATTAAAGATAAAACGTTTATAAGTAGTTTGTTTTTATACTTTCCAATATCCTTTACTTTGTTTCAATTTGCAATATTTGCAATTTTATTTGATTCTTTTAATAATACTGCCAATGTTGCATATGATTACCAAATTTATAATTTATATAATTTATTTTCTATGTTTACAAATGCAATTCTTTTTATATCATTATCTATTATGTCTTTGTTATTTAATCATTGCTAACAATTCTTTATCATTACGAATCAGAAACTTAGAAATAACATATGCAATTAACCCCTTTTACTTCGGCCGAGCATCGTTTTTAAAGAAACTTAGATATTTGTGTCAGTTGTCATTCCGTCTTTATTATCGACTTGCATACATGCATACATTTATATTTAGTATCATTCGGGGAAGTACTTTATTCATAGGTCACCTTTTGGCAGAAAACAACTCTTAAGGACATGAATGGTGATATATAATAAAGATTTTGGCAGGTAATATGGCCCTACATAACCAGCTGTTTTGAAATATAACCCAAGCCGCTAGGCGAGGATTATATTGCAAACAACCGTTTATATGCGGTCATATAACTTGTCTTGAATATTTATTACGAATTAATAATACAGCAAACATCCTTTTTTGAGAGAAAGTGAGATTTCTTAGAAAATTGACAGCAGCTGTGTATATATTAAAACTATATAAATGTCACGATTATCCAATGAAAAGTGACTTTACAAACGTGCAGTATTATAAATACATGTATTGTCACAAACGTTAATCAAAGTCAATAAACAATACACGAAAATATTCCTCTATGAATTTCACGCATTTCCATTGTTGTTTTTTCTTTTCAAATAAAACGCTTCTCACACTTGAAATATAAATATTCCTAATTCTTTACTTTTCAGAATTTAATGTTGTTTACGTTCAACTGGGTGTAACAAATTCAACAAGGTCTTATAAATTTGCGCCTTTTTTATGATAAATAGATCTATCTCCAAAACAACTTAATAAAGTTATATCTAAAGATAAGTTAACAAAAGTTATTTTGTAATGAACTTTAGAACATGTTTTATGTTTAGCTATTATATACCCTTTGTACAAAATTTACGCACGGAAAAATAATAAATTCGGATTATAAACTAATATTATATACATTATATACAAAAAAATATTCTTCTTACTTTAGGATGTTTTAAAAATATCTTTTTTTGAAATAGTGTACGAGTATTAGATCTATATCAACATCAAAACATACAAATAATAAATCATTCGAAGACTGCACAGGCTGGGCCTGTTAATGTACTATTCTCCGGTTTCTAGTTTTTACCGGTCAAAAGAAACCGGGTGAGACCGGGGACCGGATGCGACCGGACCGGCGAATAGTATATCCTTTTACCGTGCCCCATTATAGAACGGTGCGCACGGCAATTACAAGTGATTCAACAACAACAACATTATAATTTATGAATTTATGAATTTCTGAAAATTACGATGTAAGTTTGCTTGTTTTAAGATTTTTAAATAAATCCTATGTATACTTTCGGTTCTATCATCTGCCCTCATGATATTTATCTGTTTAAACTATATTTGTGTCTATTATAAGTATCAGACATTATTTGTTCCCCTCTAAAGATGTCCAGCATCCTTTCACCTGTTCACTGTTTCAGTTCCTGTTCAGTAACTTAAACTGCATCAGTTGATCCGAATTACCTGGGCTTCTGGAAGTTCTGGGCTTGAGGGTTGCTGTAAAAATACTGAGACGCGCTCTGAGGAAATATTTATTATCAATCAATATGAAGTCTGGCTCGCGCCATGAAAATCTTCAGACGGGTGCGCATGCTTGAAGGTACTTAGTGTGAAAATAGAATATTTAGGATTGAGGCCCGTACCAGTGGTTAGTACATACTTGTTAATAAATGAATGAATGAAGAAATGAATGAATGAGTAAATGAATAAAAGGATGAATGGATGGAATATAGGAAAAGGGACACAAATATAGGGCTACACAAGATATATATACAGTAACAGATACAGCAGATATGATATGGACATGTAAATAACATAATCTACGGTGTACAATATGGGACATACATTGACAAACAACATAGAACATTAAGATTGCGACAATTGTATCACGGTAGTCAGACTATTTTCCTCTTGCCAGTTCCTGCCTTGACATTTCTTGTTCTTCCCAGAGAGCTCTCAAAATACTGTATGTGCAATTATTGCAGACTGTTCCTCCCATTTTTATTGTTTCTTATAGACTGATATCTATAAAATCTTAATAAATGGGTAATAGTAATGATATAAATAAGAAAATGAAAATATTTTTACCTGATTACTACATTATAAGTTATCCATGGGCGGCCATGATTCTTTACCCTTGGCATTTTCACTGTGCTCAGGCTTCGCGAAACTGCTGAAACATTTGCCTGACATTCGGTCAGACAAACTTTCAATTCTTGTCTGACTAAATTTTTTTTCCAAATATATGTATATATCTAATACCTTTGTGTTTTTTTAAAGACATAGGAACTTGTAAAGATTTGCAACACAATTTTATTCTCTTATATAAAACATCAGTTTATCCAGATTGATGGACTCTGTCTGGAAATTTAAACATTCATCACCAAAATCAT